TGCTTTAATTGTTAATGTCTGTATATGCCACAAAAGAAATGCGATTACAAATTGATTTTATGGGTAATAATACTGTACTTTGCCATTTAAACTACCTTGACTTTATAGTCTGTAACAGCGATTTGAAATACTTCCTAATATATCAATTTTCATTGTGGTGCAATTGTATCCTGTATATCCTTAAAGAAACTTGTTTCTTCAAATTTGATTCTCCATGAAGCATGTTTTATAATTTTTCCCAGACTTTCCCATATTATGCTAACGCAAACAAATAATTGAATCGTCTTAGTGATTCATGAATGTTTTGGGAGGTGATTCCTTTTCTAAGGTGGGGAAATCACGGCAAAGTCTACGGGATTAATTCTTTCGACCCCTAAACTTGAACTGGATGGAACCCCAAAGTTCCTGATAAGCCCCTCTGCGAGTTGGCTCGCCGATCTCCGATCTCTCCGGTTCTCTTGGGCAATGCCCCATTCTCCGAAGCTGTTCTACATTATAACGAGATCTCGACGCACACACACGCACACCACTCACACTCGACAGCCAGTGTGTGTAATGTAATGTATGTACCAAGCATAACGAACAAATGGAATGGAAAATTTTTGAAACCACATATCAAGTTTCTTCTCTTTTTTGTAAAATGTGGAAAATTTTCACGACAAATCCGAATGAAATGCAATTAACACTAATTGCTTGGCGGTTGGGGGTAGTTAATAGCAATGTGGCTGCTGTGGGTCTCTGACGAAAAAAACAAAAAAAAAAAACACTAAACTGAAAACTCATGTCTGAAAACTGAAGCTTATCAGCGAAGGTGACGGAATCGGAATTGTGGAAGCGGACTTCCTCATCGCATATTCATGGCTTACAAATCAGCATGCGGTAAGTGTGATTTATCAATTAACCGGCGACGATTTATGCGAGCACGGGTAATACGACTCTCTGGAATTCCTCGAATATCGTCTTGGGTGTCTCTTCTTTTTTCGGATCTCCGATTACCGGGCGTTGTTGGTGTTCGTACCTTCTGTTTGTTGTGCAACTGGCCCAAAAGCCGAAAGAGAGGCAAGCGGAGACCCGGCTCTCGCCCAATTTGCGTTCCGATTGCATCAGCCATTTAAGCCGATCCAAGCCGTACCCCCTCCCCTATTTCTACCCCCAACCCTAAACCACCACCGGTGTCGTTGCTCTGGGTGCGCTCTTCAGCGCAGCGAAAAGGTGAGCCCGAGAGTTAGAGCATAACCCTGGGACCCTCGCACATGTGTGTGTGTGTGTGTGTACGTGAGAGAGAGACCCGGTGAGTCATGGCAGTCGGCAAACTAATGTATTCAAACGGTTAGTGGGTTGGGTCACTCGAAAGTGCATCCAACTAGCAGGGAATTAGCATTGCTTACATGACAAAACGGTAAATGGTAGGGTGCTTGAGAAACCACTAGAGAGTTCCGATTACGGAGGACATTTTCTCAGGACTAATTAACGGTTCTATTAACTGTATCTCAAACTGACTTAAAGTAGTTTCCAAATATCTCAATCTTTTGATATCACAGAATCTGTTACTAATTTAACCATTTTCCAGAGGAACCATGAGTTTAACTTACTAGTACAGTCACATCAGTTATCGAAAAAAGTCCAGTGAACTGCGTTTCCGATATTAGAGGTATGAGTATTAGAACGTGCTATATGTCAACAATCGCCCATCCCGCCGAGTCCCCAACTCTTTGCGCCCCCCATTGACAGTTCTTATCTTCTTCGTGTTTCATTCTAATTGTAATCATTCCATTATAGTGAATTGGCAAAAGAAAACAATAACAGAAAACGAGGTTAGATTTTGGAAGCCGAACAATTAATACCCTTAAAAAGTAATTTCTTCAGACGAAGGAATTTATGATATCAAATATACTAAAGTTAAACTGTATTAACTCTAAGTGAATTATCTCAAATTCGTTATCTCGAAGATGAGGTGGCAATTCCTTGAATAAATCTCTTTTCTTATCTATATCGTAAAAGTCCAACCAATACTGATAAAAAGGTGATGTGGCGAATTTAGCTTTAAATCTTTTACTTAGGCTTACATTTTTGGCGCGTTAGTAAACTTTATACCCAGAAAAATATATCTTTATCAGAGTAATCGTCCTAAACAGACAACAATACCTTAATAATAAGTTGGTTGGGTTTGGTCGTGCAAGCGTCTTTTGTGAGTCCTGTGATTCTAACTAGCTAGCATATGCTAGATGTATTATGTGATGTTTTTATTAAAGACCCCCCAGATTAGCGGCATCCCTCTTTTTTGGGATAGGGTGAGCAGATGACGTCCGATGACGTGTGAGGCGATGTTATTTTCAACTCGAGCGTTGTTATCGTCATCATCATCAAAGCGCCAAGTTCAATAGAGCTTGAAAAACAATTATGAAAGCAAAAACATGTACATATGTATAAAAGGGGCTCGTTGCCCCACTCACACACACACACACACAGAAGAGGGGGAGTGGCAGAGGGGGTATGTCATTGAGGACGGGGCTGCCAATTAAAGATTCCTCCTAATTGTCTTCACTTACTGTGCGTGTGTTTGTGCGCAATTCATATCTCCATTCATTAGTGTGTAGCATAATTGAGTGTACCGCTGTGTGTGCGCGAGTGTGTGTGAGTGGATAAACACACAGCATCAGTTGGGGGCTCGTCTCTCTCACACACACACCCCCTTAAAAGGGGGGCAGCGCTGCCCGCCATAAAAGAGCGATGTTGGCTCTTTCATGCTCTTATCTCTCCCTCTTTCTCTTCAGCCTCTTGGTTCGCCCGCTCTCTTATCTCGATCGCATGCAAAAAGGAATATTGCGAATTAAACTGCGATTGTGACGCATTTGAACCCGCGACTCTCTGCCCTGACCCACCCCCCTCCTTCCCTCGCTCCCCTCTACCCCCCACCAACTAATTTCATTGCGAAAAAATCGAAGGCAACGAGATTTTTGCTTAGTCTGTCTTTTTTTGCATTTAATAAAATTGCAATTTATTACAAAGCGATCTGATTATTAATTGCTGTGAATTGGCTTCGACTCAGAATCGTACGATAGTGGTTTTTGGAGGGGGCGGGGGAGGAGTTGAGTGGGGGAACAGTGCCTGCGTGACCAGCGCAACGTCAGGCTCAAAAAAAAATTAAAACATGTAACCAATTCTCGAGGAGAGGTGGCTTTTTAGAGGTGCTTTTAAAGGTGTACATATATGTACGAGTATGTGTATGTATGTGTGTAGTGGAGCTGGAGATGTTCGGCGGCTCACGTAGACACCGCTCCACTTGGAACAGAAAACCAATCGGGGAGGTCTCGAGCTGACACGACACTAAATGCATAGCCGCTTTTGCCTAACCCAAGAAAACTGACTCAGCAGCCGGCCAACTGCAGATCGGATTAACCCTTGACAAGCCAAGGTTACAAACGGTTCTGCCATTCCAAGCTGTAGGAAATAAGGTAACTGAATTTCTCCAATATCTTAGACCTTTGTATATCATTTAAAAAAGAACCCAAAATTGCATACAAATTTTGATTAGTAATTGCTTAATCAAATTATCTGTCATATAAACCGATTTGCACAATGTTATAAAAGAAGATTTTTCCAGACTATACTGGTAATTAATAGAAGATTAAGAAACAATTAAAAGAAGAGAATTTTAAATAATAATAAAGAAGGTAACAGAATTTCTTCAATATCTTAGACCATTGTACATCATTTGCAAACAGAAAGTAATCTAAAAGAAGCTAATATAAAATACAAATTTTGATTAGCAATTATTTAATCAAATTATCTGCCATATAAACCAATTTGCACAAAGTTGTGAAAGAAGATTTTTCCAGACTCTACTGGAAATGAACAAATCGCAAAGTTCTCAGTAAGACAGCTAAGAAGATTAAGAAACAATAACAAGAAGGGAATTCTCAATAATATTCTTAAGTTTTGTTTGACAACTCGAGTTTGTCTCACGCTCGATCGCCTCTGAGGACTTTGTTTACTCTGGGTTCCTCGGTTTTCGGCGGATGAAAGCATATTTTTGCCAAAGTGATGCACTTATCATTATTGCCCGGGTTTGGCGACTCTGGGACTTCTCCGAAAGATAAACAATCTCGGATCTGATATCAGGGGGAATCTGCAGACCCACTGGCGACTTCTCTGAGAATTGTGAACTGCCACATTTCTATCCCAAGTTGTGTTCTATTAACGAGTTTGTGACTGCGGCCTGTTGCCTAGGGCGATAACGAATCTAGAATAGTCATTTTTGTTGTACAATTAAAAATCACGAGTGTGCTAAATTACGGAGATGAAATGTTTCAATTAAGTGTTTAACTTTTGCCCCTTCGGAACCGCGTCACATGAATCAAGGCAACTTGAAATTGCTCTGTTTCTTGGCACTCTCATCCCCAAAAGTTGTGAATTGATGGAACGCGATCAGAAACTGGTACAAACATATAATGTATGGGAATTTGCTAACAGCTCAAAGTCTACTTCAGACCTTTCGACACTCTCGCGATGAGTCAAGCGGTGGAAGCTGCTGTACGAGTTTTGGAGATGGTTCCGAACCCCGTTCCCCAGTTAACTGAGCTATCTTTTCTGCCAAATCTCGGTTTCTAGGCGGAGATTTATAATATTGGGGCAGGTTTTTTAACTTTTATATCTATATAAATAATAAACCTCTTTTGCTTATAATATTTATCAAGTTGCATTCATTTTGGATTACTTCATTATTTTTTTTAAAGGTGATCAAAACTTTAATATCTATCTATGGTAAGGATGCTTTAAATTTCCGTAGATAAAAATTTATAAAATATTTCATTATTTTTTAAAATTAACTTTAATGGCACTTTAGTAAACTTAAGAAATATTTTACCAAAAAAATATTTTTTATTTTTTTCAGAAGTAAAAAAAATAGGTATCACCAAACTTATGTTAATTGCCTGATATTTATTTGGTTATATTTATTTGGTTATATTTATTTGGTTATATTTATTTGGTAATCCTACCTGCATATCTTTGGTTTCTTCGATGACGTTCACTGCAAAGCTTCGTTTGGCACTTTCACTAGAGTTCTAGAACTTTCGCTGGAGTTCCCGGTGGATTTGGAATACTTTAAGGCGGGCTTTTCGACTGGGCACTTGGCACACCAAAAACGCAAGATGCAGCTTCGCTGAGTTCTGGGCTCTAAACACTCGGTTCCCAGTGGAGCTCCGTTCTGCTCGAGATGTGGCGAGTGATGGACTGTGTGGCGGAAGATTGAGCGACCAGGCTTTTATATCTGGCATGGGCATGCCCGAAACAAAAATCAACAAGTGGGCGAAGCGGGACGAACGGACGACGAGCGGGATGACGAGCGGACGGGCGGACAAACGGACGAGCGAGCAAATTGGACTCCTCTGGGGCTTTAATAACGGTTATGGCGTCGGCACTCTCTACAGATACATCTACAAGTACAGATACAGATACAGATACAGATACAAGTAGAGACACAGATAGAGATTCGGACACAGCAGGCACACAGATACACAGATACAGATACAGTATCTGAATCCGTATTCGCATCTGTATCTGTGCTCGTTGCGTTGCTCGTGCCTTGAGCCCCAAAAAGGGGGTGGCTCACAGGGGATGGCTGCGCCTTACTTGTTGCTCTCCTTTGATTGATTGGCTCGGAACTCGCAACTCGCCACCGATGAAAATTTCATGCAAATTTATTATTTTCAATCACATTTTTCTCATTAACATTCGCCGAAGATTGGATCGCCTGTGTTCGGATCGGACTGGAAATCGAACTCAAAATGAAATGCGTGTGCCCCAAATGCATACGGCAGCAGTACGGTTTTTCAACCGAAACCGTACACCCCTTCGATCCATTACCATATGGCAAGCACCCCCGGCAAGGATCAATAGATGTCGGCCAATTAAGAGTTCGAATGCCGTCACTCTTCGGCTGATAAATCCAGATTTTTGCAGGTTGCGACTTAAACTCAAATTAGTTCCATCTGCTTTCCGGTCAGACAGTCAATCACTTGAAGTCGGATAATGGCGGACATCACTCGTCACGGATATACTCGTAGTATATGTAGCTATAGATATGGAAGATATATGGAAGACATGGCAGACCTGCTGCCTCCAGTCGGGGTTCTGCATCAATTGCTGCCACTATTTGCATTCCAGAGCCCCGGACCAATTGCACAAAGATCCCGCCGCAGACGATGCTGCAATTGATTTTGGTGTGGCGTCAATTGAAATGCACTTCGGAGTCTAGGAGTCAGGGCACCGAAAAAAAAAGTACTGCCAAAATAGTTAATCCCTGTCAAAACAATCAGCCCTTACCCGCCAAAAAATAACAATAATATCCCTCCTAATTAGAGCTCAACTGGCCATTGCTGCCTCTCAAAGTGGTTCTTGCACACCCACACTTAATTTAAACAATGGCAAACAACTTCCGAAAATATCTGAAGAAGCACAGTGAAAAATTATGAGTCAAAGAATATGACTCTTGATTCGGTTTTTGGCAACAGGCTATTATCTGTATCACTTCTACGTGATTCGTCACCAGGCGGTGATATTTTCCAGGTGTACATTTACTTTAATTAATTAGAAAGCGCTTATCTGTGACAGCAATTGTCTTACTTCTGTGACACATTATATTTTTAATCAAAACAAAAAATGAGAAGATAATTTGTTGATCAAAATATTGCTTATATTTTGGCATCATTTTTCTCAAACCAAATGTTGAAAATTTAGAATAGAATCCAAAATCCTTTTAATAATCTTGGCAGATTTAATCTGTTACACATTCTCCTCCATTTTTTCTCTGTGTGGGCCTACGTGCTCCAAGTGGCCTGCCACCGTTATATTCAAATGAAGTGGAGCTCTCGCAATCACGGGCAACCGACAGCCGGGGAAAGTCATAATGGTGACCACCAGTTCGGTCATCATCGTGGCGGGAACTTGATGATGATGGGCTGCTGGGACCTTGCCACCGCAGATGGAAATCGGAATGGAAAACGGTCACTTGGCAACAGACGGGGTGCCACGCCCAATTTAAAGTGGCCAACGCCCAACCAAAGCCACCCAGCCACCCACTCGCTCCTCCATATAAATGTTTATAGATACATTGGAGCTCGAGCCGCCCACGCAGTCGCGCAGCCAATTTGGCCATCAGTCAATAGGGCTTCATTTGAATTGCCAGCTTGTCTCCAATTGATGATGGGCCACCTCATGGCGGGTCGGGCCCACGCTAGGTCCTTGCTGGCAGGACCGGCCCCTCAGCCCCGCCCACCTCTACTGTAGATGGATATATGCTCCCCACATCTGCAATCAGTCGTCAGCATGGCGTAATTAAACCCGCCGCTGTCACAGTTGTCGTCGCGTGGCGTTTGACATGTCCGCCGACGTTTATTGGCAACATTGTTCGCTTAATCATCCAACATTTACCATTACACTATATTTATTAGCATCGATGCACGTCTGTCTATCTGTCTGTGGGGCCGTGGAAAATCCCTGGATATGACGCACACCCGAAGGGAAATTATACTCGGAAGTTACTTATTTCCTTAAAACCAATTAGCTGACGGGAAAATCAGTTATGTATGTTTATGATGCAAGAAAAAATTACGTTTTCATGATCTGATCCGCCTTTGTTTTAGATTTAATTTTAAAGCAGATGTAATAGGATTTTCTGAGCTGTCGGGAAAATTAGTTATGTATGTTAATGATGCAAGAAAAAATTAGTTTTTCATGATCTGATCCGCCTCCGTTTTAGATTTAATTTTAAAGCAGATGCAATAGGATTTTCTAATCACATGGCACTGGAAAATTCCTGAAAATGACACATATCCAAAGGAAATGAACAACTATTCAAATATAAATTGCCGCTTATTTCTGCATATTATATTATATTATATTATATTACCTATATAGAAAAGTGGATGACCGATGGCATGCATCAATAAAAATAGATGGCGACCTTCATATTCCGATTAGACTTGTAGAGTCTATTAATTGACCACTTAATGTGCATATAATATAGGATTTCCTTGATAAGGCAAAGAAATAAGAAAATCAAATGTGAACAAATTGTCACCTTTATATATACTTGAAATCTAAATCTGAGCAGCTGCTCAACCATCACCTTACCTATTGTTCAAAGGTGAAAAAAATATTTTAAAATTAATTTTTTAACCTTAATTTCTTTTAAGGAATAATGTCCAATATCAACATAATAAAAGCTCTTCCATTTGATAAGATTGCCCCCAGAGGTATGCCACATAAAAAAACCAACGCATTAAGAAGGCCAACAATAAACCATAAGCACTTGGCCCCAATAAGCAGGCAAATATTTGCTTGTGAAGAATCAAGTACTTTTATTCTTAGAATATGATCTCATGGGTTTCATATTCCCGGGCTCCACTGTACACAGTTACTAAGTGGTTCGAGCATACGCGCAATCTAAAGCTTTAGATTATTTAGTACCTTACTATAAGCTTTAGTAAACCAATCAGCTGAGAAAAAAGCATGCTAAAAAGCTTCAGAAATCTTTCAAGGTTAAACATTTAATACACCCTACCAAAAATTGGAGTACAACTTGTAGAACTACTTTTATTGCCCTTTAAACAATTCCAAAAGTTAAAAACAGGTTTTCACCCAGACACATTGACTTTTATGGCTGACAGGCGAAGCGAATGCCAATTTAATTTTCTGGAAACCTGACATATTTTTTAAATTAGTACAGTGAGGTGATTGAAATTGAAATTTTGAAATACTAAACTCTCCGTAAACATGATTTGTATCTCTATTTGTGTCTAAAATCATTTGAAATTATAGATATGGTTGACAACTTTCCGCAGACACTGTTTGTTGTTCGTAAAAGTAGGTTGAAATGCAGGTTTTTATTAAACTAAATTTTTAAGTTTTCCAAATTCCAAATTGCCACGCAATTCTGGCAGTGTAATCGGTTTGATAACCCCCCATCAAAAGCTTTTTTCTGCGCCAGTCGACCATCGGTTGTAGCCATTTGCAGTCGATCGATAGATTGGATAGATCAACCTGTAGCCACGATGAGCCGACGTCTTCCAGGCACCTTTAGCCAGAGCCAGAGACTCCTGTTCGCCACCAACCACCACTCCTGCCCAGCCTTTTCCACCAGGTTCCTCTCCACATCGCGAGTGAACCTCGAGCGGCAAGAGTAAGTTTGTTTATTTTCTGTGAAAGTTTAGCCGTTTTCTGCGAACCGGATGGCATGGCAAGTGTTTGGTTCGGGTGTGTGTTTATATTATATTATATATCTACCAAAACAAATGCAATTAGTATGTATTTGTTGGGCTTAGCACGTAGACTAGGCATATCTAATAAATGGCGATAATGAAGAGCTAACTTACGGGTCATGGTTTTGTTACTATGATTTTTTAGCTCTCTCTTTGGAGGGTGTGGTCACCATCTTCCTTAGCAGCTTCTGTCATCAATAGGTTATCAAATTCCTTAGCTTTTTAATTGAAATCTATTTCCCTTCTAGATGCCAAGTGTTGGTTGTGGGAGGCGGCTCTGGCGGATGTGCCATGGCCGCCAAGTTGAGCTCACGCCTTGGCGAGAACAAAGTCATCGTCCTGGAACCCGAAGATGTAAGTAAGCCATTTTGCATCTAATAACCCTTCACAATGATCATAAAGGCTGATACTTTCCCTTAGAAACACTACTATCAACCGATGTTCACTCTAATTGGTGGAGGTATGAAAAGATTGGACCAAAGTTATAGGCAAATGGCTGATGTGCTGCCCAAAAAGGCCAAGTGGGTTAAGGAAAAAGCTGTTGAATTCGATCCGGATAATAATACGGTTTCCACTTCCGGTGGCAAGACAATCAAGTACGACTTTCTTGTCATTGCCACAGGACTTCAACTGAAATATGAGAAGGTAAGTTTGGGTAAATCATTTTGGGAATACCCTTCTTAAAAGATTCCCCTTCTCTAATAGATTCCAGGACTTGTGGAGGCCCTGGAAACACCGGAAAGCAATGTCTGTTCCATTTACTCCCCCAAGTACGTGGATCACGTGTACGAATGTCTGCGCAGGACATATAAGGGAAACGTAATCTTCACCTTCCCCCACTGTCCCATCAAGTGTGCAGGTGCACCGCAGAAAATAGCCTACATATCGGATCATTATTTTAGGAAGGTGGGTATATGGGTTTCCAGTAGTAAAGCAGGGAAATCCTATATTTTAAATGTGCTTTTCAGTTGGGTCGCCGCGACAAAGTCAATATCAGTTACAACACATCTCTTCCCGTGATTTTTGGAGTAAAACATTATGCAGATGCCTTGATGAAACTGGTTAAAAAGCGAAATATCACCCTCAATGTGAACAGGAATCTCGTGGAGGTCAGACATTGTGATAATGTAGCCGTTTTTGAAGATCTAACAAAACCGGGAACGTTACACGAGGAAAAGGTAAGACCAATCGGAAATGGATTTCTTATTCAATAGAATAATTTATGGATACCTTACATCGATACGTAACCACTTATTATTCCTGCTCCCTTAGTACTCCATGCTCCATGTGACGCCACCGATGACAGCTCCGGATGTAGTGGCCAAATGCAAGCAGCTGGTCACCGACAACGGATTCGTGGACGTGCACCAGGAGACTATGCAGCACAACAAGTACTGCAACGTGTTCGCCATCGGCGATTCGGCAAGCTCCCCCAATTCGAAAACGGCGGCGGCGGCAGGTAAGGTTTTGATTCCGTTGGAAATCGGAATTGGAATACTCAATGATGTGGAATACGAAATGAGTTTTATACGCTTACAGCTGCTCAGTCGCCGGTTGTCTTTAGGAACCTGATGGCAACGATCGAGGGCAAGTCGCTCACGGACAAGTATGATGGGTACTCCTCCTGCCCCATCGTCACCGGCTACAACGCCTGCATCCTGGCGGAATTTGATTATACCCTGACTCCCGTTGAAACATTTCCATTCGATCAGGCCAAGGAGCGTTACTCGATGTTCTTTATGAAGAAGGAACTGATGCCGCCGCTCTACTGGCAGCTTATGATGAAGGGTTATTGGAACGGACCGGCATTGATGCGGAAAATGTTCTCAATTGTTAAGTTTAATAAAAAGCAGTAGTGACCTCGTATTACTTTGATTTCATTTTAAAATTTTCAAAAGACCGTTAAAATTGGCATTCACAGCGGAACCGAATATTATCACGCATGTAGCCCTGGAAAGATTTCCAGTAAGTATCCCGTCATTAGAATTGCTTTGGCGCTTACCTACATTAAAATTGTAGTGGATTTTTGTATTTCTTAAAAAATTATTGTGGACGTAGATAATTTATTATAAATAAGGTGTCAATTAAATTTTGGTGGGTGTGCTGCTATCAAAATTGCTTGCAGTGTGTATTGTGGTATATTTCAGTATATATTGTAAAAATACTTTTATTTTAGTATTAATCGAGTTCACATATTCGGTCACTCTAAAACAAAGCGTGGCGTCGCTTGGCGCTGGAAATTTGAAGATAACGTACTAAAAGAACGATCGATTTGTGCACCAAAACAAAGAGAAAATCGACCAAGATCATCAAACTAGTGGCAATAAAATTCAGAAAACATGAAGGCAGTGTGAGTATAATGCCAGCCTTAAAAAGATCGACCCTAGCTTTGAAAATTCCCTTTCACAGTCCCCGAACGCCGATGCGCGTCATCCCGAAAACACCGCGGTTGCAACAAACTACGGAAAAACAACGAAGAGACACCTCCGATAAAGGCCGAGATCCCGTCAATGTCTTTTGCCGTGTGCGACCTCTTCAATCGGATGCCGATCTCACCTCTCTGAGGGTCAAAAACTCCACAACGATTGCGCTGAATCCGCAGGATCAACTTCTGCAGCATCACAAGCCACACAATGGCGCTCAGCGCGAAATCCAGTACATCTTCAAGCACGTCTTCCAACCGGATGCCACGCAGCAGGATGTCTACGCTTCAGTGGCCCAGCCACTGGTTGAGAATCTCCTAAAAGGCCGAAATAGCCTTTTGTTCACATACGGAGTCACTGGGAGTGGTAAGACCTACACCATGACCGGAAATCTGAGACACCGAGGCATCATGCCGCGCTGCCTGGACGTGCTCTTCCGCACTATTTCCGACTACCAGGCCAAGAAGTTTGTTTTTAAGCCAGATAAGCTTAATGGATTTGAGATCCTTTCCGAGGAGGATGCACTCCTTGAACGCCAGCACGAAATGAACCAGCGATTTGCAGGTGCTGGACGTTTTGCCTTTAGGCACAAGGATTCCGACCCGGAGATAGCATCCCAGGCCTCTGTGGAACCCACGCCACTCTTAGGCTTAGATGAGGACAACATGTACTCTGTCTTTGTCACCTACATAGAGATTTATAACAACAGCGTTTATGATCTTCTAGAGGATTCGGGTATACAGAAGTGAGTAAGGATCCCTTAAATTTATCGGGCAAACCTAATCCGAAATTCTCTCCTTTCAGGACTTTGCAGAGCAAAATCATTCGTGAGGATGCCAATCGTCACATGTTCGTCCATGGCGTGACCGAAGTGGAAGTCAAGACAGTGGAGGAGGCCCTCGAAGTCTTTCAAATGGGCCAGAAACGCAAGCGCATGGGGCACACCGTCTTGAATGCTGAATCCAGTCGCAGCCACTCTGTTTTCAACATACGATTGGTACAGGCTCCCACTGATAGTCAAGGTGAGAATGTGGTTCAGGACAGGCACAATATAACGGTCAGCCAGCTGTCCCTGGTGGATTTGGCGGGCAGTGAGCGCTCCTCGCGGACCAAGAACACTGGAGTACGTCTCCGTGAGGCGGGAAATATTAACAACTCGCTGATGACACTGCGTACTTGCCTGGAATATCTGCGCGAGAATCAGTTGGCTGCGGGAAACGGTTTGGCGCCCAAGAAGGTTCCCTATCGCGACTCCAAGATCACACACATGTTCAAAAACTACTTCGATGGCGAGGGGCAGGTGTCCATGATTGTGTGCATCAACCCGAGGATTGAAGACTATGACGAGAATATGGTGAGTCGTGTTTATTATTATAAAGAATATTTTTTTTTATTATACTGTTTTTGTTTTTAGCAAGTGATGAAGTTCGCAGAGATGACCCAAGAGGTGCAAATAGCGCGTGCCACACCCATGAAGCAAGATTTGGGCTTGACTCCTGGCCGTCGCAAGGCGAACAAGCTATTTAAGATTGCAGTTAACAATCTGAATGAGTTGGGCATTCCCGAGGCCAAGGATTTGGAGGTCGACGTGGGATTGGTGTACAGTTTGGGTCCCGATTTTCCCACCTATCAAATGGATAGTCCCGAAGCGGAAATTAAGATCCGCGAGTTGATGCACTATTTGGAACAGCGGATTGAAAAGCGCAAAAAACTGCGGGCGAATTTGGACGTTAAGTGTAAGTATTTGCTTTCTTACTCTTAACACAATAATTACCTATATTTTTATTTAGGTGACAGTTTCCGGCAGATGCTGATGAACCTTGACCGGGATAATCTGCAGCTAAGAACAGAACTTGCCTCCCTAAAGGCTGTCTATAAGCAGGAGCGCGATCGTAGCGCTGCTCTTGAGAAAAAGGTTCGCATACACGAAAGCTCCATTGACGTGCTGAACAATACGCTCAGCAAGCGGGAACGGCAAATTGAGGAACTGACCTTTAAGCTCAACGAGAAGGAAAACATGCTTACCCAGAAGGAGCACGAAAAGGAGAAGCAGAAAAAGAAGTTCAGCTCCAAACTGGCTGTCGAATCGGACAAAAACAAACGCGAATTGGAGCTGAAGTTACGAGAGCAGCGAGCTAAGTTACAAGAACGTATGCGCATCAAGGACGAGAAGCTGCGCCTGGTATCGAATATATTGCAATCAGAGGATCTGCCCAGTTTGCCACGTTCCCAGAGCTCCGAGGATATACTGAACGAAAAGGATCGTGGGGCATTTACAGTGCGCACGGAGTCATCTGTGCCGGCTACACGTACAGATATTTATGCCACTCCGCGACATGTAAGATAACTTTTAATTGTGTCATATTTACGTATTATTGATTGCTTTATAAACCGACAGGGAGCAGCAGCAGCCAACAACCGACACAGACGCTCTCGTTCTGCTGGAGACAAGTGGTTAGAGCACCGCGCCGCCAATCCTGTGCCTCTCGGCACTATCATGCAGCCATATCTCAAGAACCGCAAATCGGTGACAAAACTAACTGACATGAAGGAGTTGACTGCCCACGGAGCAACCAAGTACTGCCTTGTCTCACAGGACGCGGACACGGATGGCGATGTGGAGACCAAGCTGTACAAGGGCAACGTCATCCCTACATGCGGAGGCGGTGCCCAAGTGGTGTTCAACGACGTGGAGTGCCTCAAGCAGAAGTCGCCCGTCCACTCGCCCACACGAAAGCGGCCCAGCAATGGCACCATTTCAGCTCTGGGAGGCGGTGCCGTGCCCAGCACGGTCACTTCGGCCCAAGACGTGGCCTCACGCTGCAATCTCGGTATTGAAGGACACAGCAGCAAGAAGTCAAAGATCTAAAGTGGAAATCTATACAGATCGTTGAATTCTTAAAGTCGTTTACTCATTTAGTTTTTAATCGTTTAGTTTCACTAACTTAAATTTAAGTTTATTATTTTTCCATTATAGCTTTGAAGTTGAATCGCATCGATGTGATTTGTTTGATTAAAGCTAAGTTAATCTGTATAAATAATCCCGTAAATGAATTCGTAGCTCCTCGCACATGGAAATGTTTCCTTGCTTGAAATCTGTTGGTAACCGGAAGATATCAGCAATGAGCCGTCATTGGAAACTTTCCAAGCATTGTCCATTATCAGATAACAATTAGATTTACCTTAAAGTATTGAATATTTTATTGTTTTTGGAGTAATCTTCACTCAAGTCCAGTTATGAAATGAACTAATAAATTGAAATTACGCACCTTTACTGAAAATGCAATATTATTTTCGTTGTTTTTATGATGGCATAAGTTTCGAAAAGCAATTAATGTTTTGCTTCCAAGAGTTCAGGCTCAATTTTACGATCTTGGGTATTGCACAAAGTGGTCCCTTTAACTTCCAATGTCTTATGGTTCACAACATAAACAAATAAAACTTAGATGGTTTTAACTATTTTTATTATTATTCCTGCGTTTATTCAGATTTATGCTTAAACCGATAAATTTTATTGAAATACATACGGTACCATTACACATACATATTTGTAGATTAATTTCAATTACTAATAAATCAGTCTATAATTAAAATATATGTTCGCTTAATGATTTCACGTGTGTGTAAGTGTTGTTTGTTGTGTTGCAGTTTTGTTGTAGCAGTTGTTTTTGTTGTTTTATGGGGTGAGCTGCTGCTCGATGAGTTCGGCAGATGACTCTTAAACACTATGTACGACAATTGTGGCAGGTTCCTGGCAAATGGGAAATTTTGAATTTGGAATTGGAAGCCAGTAACGCTAACTCTACTACACGACAAAAGAATCAAATCAAGTTAATTTTATTTTAGGGGAAACAATCAGGGCAAGCCAATAGAATGTAGGTAACTCCAAGTACATTTAAACAAAACAAGTTGGACGAAACGAAACCACAAATGTAAACATAATAGACGGCAAACTCAACTCAATTGCTGGGCCAATATTAACATATCCATATTATCCGCATTTCATTTAAACAAATTACAATTTAATCAATATAAAGCTCTGTTTTCATATTCCTTCTCTTGGGTTCACACGGCGCGGAACAAAGTATTTGCATCTGCAATTGTAAATCTGCGGTTTATAATACGTACTCATTACATTATCATTAATTCAATCGACTCTCGCCATATGGATAATCGTGATAAAAACTAAGAAGCGAAATTATTCTACGGTGGAAAACGAATTTTGGCTATAAAGCAACGTAAATTAAAGAAGGTATTAATAACAATACACACTCACAGCCACAGCCACACCCCAACCACCCGACCCCCTTTCTTTTTCCTTAATTCTTTCGTATGTTTACTGTGTATATGGTGTGTGGTGTATGTGAGCAGCTGCATTTTGTTGGCAAGGCAATCAACTTTTCATTGCGGACCTCTGCGTCCGCGGTAACTGTCTGTGTGTGTTTCTGTGTGCTTAGATGAGTTTGCAATGAAATCTCGCTTGAAGCTGTATACTAGCTGCCTCGTCCTTGACCTTTTGCTGCCTGAATAGAAAAGCGAGGGCCAGACCGGAAGTGCCTCACCGGCTCCTATGAGCACTTAACACAAGCCCCCTCCACGTCGAAGTCCAGGACCATGAGCTTCGTTTCCTCCGTCCCGTTGCGGGAGCCCACGGCACAAATGAGTTTTGTGTCGTTTGCCCTGAAAATATTTAAGCCATTTTAGTTTGAATTTCATTAGCAAAATCTTCTTTTCCAGGACTTACCTGATCCGCCATACAACACCGCCGGATCCACCAGAGTCCAGAGCCACAAGATTACGTATAAAGTCGCCTGTCTTAACGTCCCATAATTTGACAGTGCCATCGTCAGAACTGGTCACCACAAATCGGGAATTAAATTGCAGGCAGGTTACCGCGGACTGATGCTTGTTGGGACCTGAAAGGGATTTTTGGAATAGCAAATTAATAAATAATTCTCACGGAACACTTTAACAGAACAATTTTAAATCGAAGAATTCTTGACTTACCCGACAGCGTTTGCAGACATTGTCCGGTTGTGATGTCCCACACCTTAACGGTGGAATCCGCGTTGCCAGAAACGAGTATGTTTTGCCGCAGTTCCATGCCGGAGGTTAAACTTTGATGGCCCATAAGGGTGTGTTTGCAATTGCCCGACTCCACGTCCCATACGCGAATTGAGGTATCTAAAGAGCCTGAGACCACATGCAGGCCATCAAACTAAAAATAAAGAAATAATTAATACCAAATTCAAGGAAAATAAATGTTCTATCTTACCTGCAATGAGTACACGCGGTTCGTGTGTCCCTGCAGCGTGTGCAGGCACTCTTGGCGCTCCGGATGCCAGATCTTCACCATGTAATCGTAAGCACCTGACACAATCAGCTTCCCATCGTACTGAACACAACGCACAGCGGCCAAATGACCAACCAAAACATGCAGACAGGAACCCTGTTCGATGTCCCAGACCCGCAAAGTTGCATCTCGCGATCCACTGACCACCCTGATAAACAATTCATGAAAAATTAGCATTGCTCTTGTTTTGTACGTGTGCCACACTTACTTGCTGCCATGAAGATGCATGCACCGCACAGTGGACGTATGCCCCTGAAGCGTATGAACACAAGCGCCGCTGTCCATGTCCCAAACTTTGAGTGTGCGATCAGTGCTGCCAGAGATGATGATGTTACCGGACATTTGGGAGGACCAAACGCCACCGGTGTGGCCCACCAGAGTGCGCAGACACTGTGAAGAAGATTTGTATAAGAACTCCATAAAATCCATTAATGGTTGATTGACTCACCTTCCCATTGACCGCCGACCACACTTTGAGCGTATTGTCATCGGAGCCGGACACAATGCGATTGCCGGAGAATTGCAGGCACGTGATCACATGATCGTCGTGGCCCTTGAGAACCTTGGGCTTGCGCACAGGTCGCGACCGCCAGTTCATTTCAATGATGTGCTGACGCATGTAGGCGGCCTTCCACGGCGAGGCAATCGGGGGCATGTTGCCATCGCGTCCTCGCTTCGGACGGTCGCTTCGCGGCTCCGCGAGAATCTGAGCCTTGCGGCACTTCTCCTTCCACAACAGGTTGTCGTCGCACAAGAAGCGCCAGCTCCGGCAGGTCTGGGCGGCCCTAAGCAAGTCCTTGGGCTCCAAGTAGGAAAGCACAAAGAGGGCCAACTCCCGTGGAAGCAGAGAGATAAAGTCGCGCTGGAACTGCGGCTCAATGACCTTCATCATGTGGCGCACCTGTGATGGGTCGCAGTGGTCAATTAGACGGTCCAGGGCCAGCAATCGCTCCACATGGGACCATCGTTGGAATTGGGCCAACCAGTTCTGCAGCTCTGGCGGCGGATTGTCACGGGTCGGAACAGAACGAGGCGTGCGTCGACCCAATCCCGATCCCGGCGAAGCGTTTGCCAGGTGCGAAGTGGGCGTAATCAGCACTGCTGTGGGTCCCGAATGTTGTGAGGAGCGCGGCGTGGAGGCGAAGTCGTAGGCGATCCGTTTGCGGCAATTGTCGCTGACACCCGAACCCGGTCCGCTTACTCCGCCGCTGGACGAGATGGTTAGCGAGTAATCACCGCCATCTAGCAAACGACCTTCGTTATACTTCCGTTTGCGCTGCTGCGAGATTAACGAGCTTGGATTGGTCAGCGAGCAGTCGGCGAAACCGGTGGCGGAGGCAGCAGTGGAAAGTGACAGGGAGATGGGCTCATCCGGATCCATGGCGTCGAGGTCGAAGGTCTCGCTGAGACTGGCGTTGCTACCGCCGTAGCTGCTTACGTTGCCATTCTGGCATGTGCATATCTCCTCCAGATCGGAGCAGTTGTTCTCCTCATCGCAATTGGCCCACGGTTCTTCGGCGCTAAAGTCACCCGGCTCGACAATGGCGCCGTCTCCGCCAGCGGCTCCATCCTCCACAACCACTTCCAGGTGAACAACATCGCTGGAACCATTGCGACGCTGTCGAACTGCTGCCACCGGCTGTGGCGCAGCTGATCCCGCTCCACTGCCAGCGGACGGGTTACTGCGCGCCAGGAAACGTTCCTGGGTCTGAGCGCTGGCATTTACCTGGCGCGTTGCCTTCGTCGTCGATGCCGTGGCATACTGGCATCGATTGGTGTTGGAAGCCCCAGCGGGAGCGGAGGAGGAGGACGCCGAAGTCGAGGCCTGAGAATCACCCAAACACGCAGTCCCGGCGGAGCAGGCCGCCGAGGGATTGTGAACGGTGGTGCGACTGCAACCACTTTCCTGAGAGGTCTGCGATCCCACCGAACTGTACGAGACCGATGCAGTCGTCTGCTCCTCCTGCTCCTGCTGACAGCTGCCGCTGGATGTGGACGAACCGGATGTGGTTGGAGCCAAGCCTGGGTAATCATTCGAGTTTGTGTTGGTGTATACATCTGTTCGGGCTGCTCCGGTGCAGCTGGTCGACGTCTCCGCTGACTTCGATGTGGAACTGGAACTGCTCCGGTGCTGGCTGCAACTGGAGGCGCCCAGCGAGGAGCCCAGATTTAATTTGGCAGTGGACTTGCTTAGCCGGCTGTTGGTATACTTGCGACTGCTTGTCGGTGTCGTTGACAGATCCTTGTATGTGTACTTGCTGTCCGAGGAGACGGTGCGCCCGTTGCTGCTGCTGGGCCAATCATCGCTGTTGGCAGCACCCGATCCATTGGCCGCTTTGCTGCCCCCTGCCATGGACTTGATCAGACTTAGATTCAGTTTGTTCTGGCTCATCATAGAGCTGGTGCGCAGGATGATGCCGCCCGTTAGCCGCTGCTCCGTCTCGAAGTCGCGGCGCTCGATCAGATCCATAGACTCAATGTCTGCCTTGGATAAGGCAGAGCTGGAGTTTGAGCTGGAGCTGGATGTGGAGGCCTCCTCTGGGGCGGCGGCGTTGGCAGAGGCTGCTGGCGAGGGATTCGAAACAGCATTGGCCGTGAGGCTCATCTGCTTCAGGCGCACGGACATGAGTCGGTCGTGCAGGGAAGAGCAAGTGGCCGCATCGTCGCCTTCAAAAGGATTGTCTTGAACGGCGCCAATCGGCTCAGACTTGATGATTCTACCCAAGGCCAAGTTCTCCGTCTGTTCTTCATCACCGAGCAAGAACTCGTCGCTTAATCTTTTGGGCTTGCCCGTAAGCTCAGACTGGGGTCCTACGGTGACCACCTGGCCGGGATGCGGCTGGGCCTCCTCCACAACGGGCGTCTCCAGGAAGATCTTAGATCCATCGGCCGCCACGATAGTGCCATCGGCCAAAGCCAATTGTGATGTGTTGGGGCAGTCGATGGCGGCCACTACAATGTCCACAACTTCCTCGTCATCATCCGCGTCTTCAATCAGCTCCTCCTCATCCTCGTCCTCCGGCTCGGGCTCCTCATCATCGTCATCGTCGTTTATAAGGCAGACAACCGGAGGATCTTCATTATCCTCGTTAAAGAAGCCCTGACGACTGTGCTCCGAGGAGGCGGGGTGACGCAACGGATGGGCACCGTTCAAGGTGTCCGTGGAGGAGCTATCGTCGACGGCAACCACGCCCACGGTGGATGCCGCCCCCGCGCTTGTGGGCAGTGAGTTGGAAGAGCTAATCTCAAAGGTACTGGACTCGTCGTCCAGAACTACGGCGAAGCCATGTTGTGAGTTTGACGACACACACACGTCCTCCACATCATCCCTCAACGTTGACATAGATACAAAGGCTAGACGGCCGGCTCCTGGTGTTTCGTCTGCTTTTAATAATGCCCCAGATTCCTCTGATGACCCTGCTTTCCGGCTGGTTGAGGCCTGACTCTTGACCCACGTGGAGGTGGAGCTTCTGACTGCTGACTGAGTACACTCCCCTTCACTGGCCACAAATTCACTGCTAGCAGCTGGGCATCCTCTTTCCATAATACTTTTCAGGCATCCAAGTGGTCAGCACGCTCTCCTGGAAAGGTAGATTATGGTGTTGTTAAGAAGAAGGGCTTTATAATTTTTGAAAAAGTTTTTTTTTTAAGTTATGAGCAGGCAATTTTCTGAAAAAGATATCTATCTAGAATTGCATGATTGGAAGTTCGAAGATATTTAAGGTTGCCTTAAACATTAAAACATTTAAGGATATAGATTCAAGTAAAAAGTGAGTGTAAAGTTTGCAACTTTAAATAAAAGCAACGGTTTACAATTGAAAGGTTGGAACCACACATCAATGTCTGTTCTGGAAAATGTAGTGATGTAAAATTTAATGATTTGAATACGGTGATGTGAAGTTGGGAATATACGATCCGAAACCGAGAAGTTTCCTTGGCTTACAGCGAACGATCCTTTTGAGCCCTGAGAATCAAAGATGATCTGAAATTCCCACGCAACAAGCGCAAACTGATGGTTGCAAAAAAAAAACCGAAGCAATGAAAAGCAGTGGGAAAAATTTGTTGTAAACGCTGCCTCTGTCGGCGTCGCTGGAACTCGAAAAAGGAAATCACAAAAGTGCATCGGATCGGCGGAAGAGGCTAAAACGGCGCGAAGTAGAATGGGAAAAAGAAGACGAAACGGGTATTACAACAAAAACGAGGCACACACATACTGGGAAAAGAGAGACAGCAGGCTGCAAAAAGGTATATCGGGGTGGGGAGATGGGAAAGCGGAGATGACGAGAGCGAGAAGTAACGGACGTAAGAAGAAGAAGAACCAAAGATACACAGCAGCCGCGCCACCAACAACTAAAACAACAACATCACGTACACCTTGCAATTCAAGCCGCTATCTTTTCCCTCCGCTTTTGACTGGTTTACAGAGATGATCAGCCGTAGGAGCAGTCACTGTAATTGTGAAGACAAGTCACTAAAAGAATACTGACCAGAATTAATAATAAAAGGTCTTGCTTAAAACTTGTCAATCATTACAGAAATTTAATAAAATACAATTTCTTTATGTTCTTAGTTTTTCTTGCAACTAATAGCTTTGAATTTAGTCACAAGAGTAAGTGCTGACTAGTGAAACGCATAATCAAGCCCAAGCACACAGATAACTACAACTATGTTGAGTCACTAAATGGTTTAAAAAATATAACAATGTCTCATCCAAAAATAAAAGATACGTGATGATTTTAGCTTGGTTGTTAAAATTGAATTTGGCTTTAATATTAATTTAACATCGACTTTAACGTTTTTATTTGGAACTTTGCAAGCCAGTTGGCTGATAATTTTTTTGCACCGGAATTACAAAACGACAATTAAATTGTATTAAATGTTTAATTGTAAGGCACTGGGAAACAATGATACTAAAATAGTGACTGCTCCTTGCCTGTTTCCAGTCGCAGTGACCAGGGGATCACAGATGTGCATCTCTGATGTTTGACAGCTTGACTGGCCATCACATCCTACCAACACACACGCACCCGAGAGAGCGTGTAGAAAAAGGGATCGCTGCAGGCAGAGATTGAAAGATTCCAAGAGGAAGAAAAGAGGAGAGCAGGAGGCGGATGATCAGCCATTGCAGACTAGCATCCACAGAACAAAAGGGGCGAAAGATCACAAAGGAATTTTCAGCGCTCCTGCTGTTGCATCACTGGCGAAACAGATCAGATGTGCAGGCATTTCTCCCGAACATTTTCTTTTATTCTTTTCTCACCCTCCCCTTACCCATGGCCTTTGGCTGTTGACCTCCCGAAACAAAAACCGAAAAACGTTTTTTAGGGTCCCTTTTCGGGTTCTCCGCTTTCACACCGTTTCTTAAACACGTTTACCTGTGCTAAAGGACAATCGGGGATGCGCTCAAGAACAAATTTTCTCTCTGTGGATTTTAACCACGGGTGGGGAGTCGTCATAATCGTTGCATACACACACTCGCACTCACACAACGCAGATAATGGGCAGAGACCTGTGGTCCCCCAAAAATAGATTACTTTCGTTGCAAAAATTCAGATCAGCAATGCGCGTTCCTTGTGGATTTCCGCTGCTGGTTCCCTAACCCCACTTTTCTGCACCTGCAAATGCAGCGGATGGAGGGGATAGCCCCATAATTCGTGGAGCAAACAACAAAAGAAAAATGTGGACATTGTTGTACACACAGGCAGAGTCTCACATACACGCACACTGTGGCAGCAAAACTTTAGGTGCGCGTGGTTCCAAACAAATTGTTTATAAACTTTAAGCTGGCCTATAAGATTAGAGGGGCTTCGGAAACGCACCCCGCTTTGGGTCTATAATCTGTTTTAACTACATTTAATTGCATATTTCACGAGTTAAAACTTTTTGCGTTGGGCCCACTCTCACACACACACGCGCAGCACATACGTTTAATCGAGTTTTCACATACGTTTTGGGGCTGTTGCTCCTCGGAGAATTGCGAACTGTTTGCTTTTTACAGCTGACTCTCGCGCTGTCTATCAAATTTTGCAGTCTTTAAATACAAGAATATACATGCAATTTGCGGATTTCGACAGATTTTGGACCCGAAAAAAAACTAATGCGGATCTAGTGTGACCGCCTCTCGACCGTCCAAATATACCATGAGAACTTAAAGTCGGGGCAAGATGTATACGATTAACCATTTCACGACCCGAAAGTGTATATATGAATAAGCAATAACAATTCATTAAATTAGGAAAAATGGTCTCAAAATGTTTCATTTATGCGCCACAATCAACTTATCCCTTCGTAGTATTTAATTTTTAAAATTGTGTTAAAAGTTTACTATTTTTCGTTGGCTTTTTGAAGTGAATTTTTATTAGTTTCTTTATGGTAAGAATTTAGCTATAGTTTTAATACGACTGTTGGTCAACGAAAAAAGTACAACATTTATGCCTTAATGTGTTTAAAAGAACTACATATTTGAAAGATCTATTACAATTTATATTACCAAAAAGATGGTGTGGTAACACTATTCATAAACAGGATGTATAGGTCACACTGGTTCACAGAAATTGTAAATTTCGAATTTCGACGGTCGCAATGAGTGGAGCTCTCGGAGATGTGGTGTCCGAATACCTGGAGCGAGGCTTGGTGCTGGTCATCGCGGACCTGCTGAGCTTGATAACGGTCTCGTCCTGTCTGGTGATTAAGGTGCCGCAGATAAACACGATACGGGCGAACGAGTCCTCGAAAGGTGAGCACCACCCACACATATCTGACCGACCCGTCCGCCCACTCACGATGTTTATGTTTTCTACGGATCAGGCATCAGCGTTTTGGGACTGTGCCTGGAGCTCTTCAGTTACACGGTGATGCTCTCCTATAACTACACCAGTGGTTATGACTTCCTCTCGTACATGGAGTATCCTGTTCTGTTGCTGCAGGAGTATGCTCTGATTTACTATGCGTTCAAGTACCAGGATCTGTTGGGGACAAGGACACAGGTGGTGGCCATACTATATAGTATAGTGGCCACTCTCATCTACCTAAAGCTCTTTCCTATTATCATCCTTACGTTCCTGGTGGTGAGTAAGCCCGCAAAAATATCACCTGGCTACTGATTAGTTGGGAATTCTCGCCTAGATAACGGCTTCGTCGTTGTGCAAACCAGTTCTGCACTCTCTTCCAATTAACTAATTATGCTTGAAAGCAAACGGGTTTGCTTTAATTTTTTAAATTTTGGAAGGGCGGTGCTTTTAACTGGGCAGCATCTTTGCTCAAGGTCACCGGTGTTTGTTGTATAATATTTGAGCGGCTATTAATACCTTAGCACTCGGGCAATTGCCCGATTGATATATATCTCAGATTTATTTAAATATTTGCTCTTTTAGCCATTCTGCACGCCAATTGGAGCCACGAGTAAGGTGCTTCAGCTGCTTGCCATTTTGAGGACCAAGGACGCCAGCTCCGTCAGCAGAACCACATGGGCCCTCTCTGCTTTCACCAACATGAGTGAGATCACAGTTTGCATTGCCATTTGAGGTCATCAATTAACCCACATTCATATCTTTCAGCTCGAATCTATACGGTCTTCTTCCAATCCCACGACTGGATGTTGCTGTCAAACTTTCTGATATCGACGTTCCTTAGTGCTTCCGTTTTTGCGGCCGCCTGTTTCTACAAGAAGAAGGCGAAGGCGGAATAATCGGCCGACCTGATTAAAAGAGCTCAACATAGACAAATATTGCACTGGCTGGAAGTGCTTATCAGTCATTGTTTTTATTCTATTTGCTTATCTGTTTAAATTGATATTACAAATTCTCGTTATGGATCGGTTGTTGTCACTTGTTTAACTGTCCGCGTAAAAGGCCACCGCAATGGCACCGACAACTGTGAGGATAGATACAACATAAATGGCTATACGCTGCCAGTTGATTTTGGTCTTGGCTGGACCGACATCTATCGTTTTACGCTCTTTGTGTTTGCGTTTGCCAAACTTCGCCTCGAATTTCTCGAGTTCCAAGCGATTTCGCTCTTCCTCGTTGCGACGCTTTTGCTCAAGATGCTGTTGCTCGGCCGCCTTGGCACGGGATTGCTCCGCCTTACAATGGGAATCGCACTCCAAGGATGTCTGACCAGCTCGATGCTTGTCGCATGCTATCTCCTGCTTCAGTCTCTTGCAGGCGCAAAATATTTTAACCTTTTTGCGGCACAACTCGGGATTAGGGCACTTGCCCGAGTGGCAAATGGCTGTGCAACGATGACCACAGGGATACTTAAAGAGTTGAGCAAATTAATAAAATGTATTAATTCCCTGTTAATCAAAAAAAAAACTCACATTCTTTAAGCAGCGATTCCCGCAGCTGCGTAGTTTTTCCCTTCGCTCGATAATCTCCTCGATGGCGCCCGATTCATCAAAATATTCGCTGCATTTGTACACCAACTGATTGAGCCCACAGTGGCATTTGGTCTTGATCACAAAGTTGCAGGCCGCACAGGGCGGAGGATGACAGCCCTTGGGGCAGGCATGAACACATCCGGAGGGTCGGGGAACAGTACAACCCTCCTCACAGTTTGCACATCCAGCCTGCTGCTGCATGTCCTCTGGAAGCGCCACAGAATGGCAAACCAAGGAACACTTGTGATTGCCGCATTTAAGCTGACGACCACACTTTCTCTGACAGGAGCTGGGCTTTGAGTTCCAGCATGGCCAGGTGGCCACCTCATGACCTCCGATGCAGGTGACAACAACGCCTTCTTCACAACGAGGATGTGGGAATGCCTTGTATTCGTACTGCAAAACGAAATAGATTTGTGTCTGATGCTTTTAGCCAATAATAGCCGTTGAAGCTTACCTTTTTGGCCTGTGGCCTAGCCTCTTTAGGTTTGTTAACTCTTACTGCCTCATGGCAACGAGCCCTACAGATGTGTCCACACTTGCTGGTGTCATTTGGAAGACCGCAAACTTGGTTACAAGGAGGACAGTCTCCCTTGTGGCAACGATGTCTAATGGCATGGTGGCACTTGGCAGTTATGCTTTTAAGGAACAAATTTTAAATTTGCTCAGTACATACAAAAATCAAATACCTACCGACAAAGTTCTAGGCACACAATGCGAGCACTCCTTTCCCTGCCACAAGGAACACTCCTCCTAGTTTTCCCACAACGGCAGTTAATTTGCGATTCCAGCTTACAAGGGTAACAGGGTCCATTGTGGCACACGGACTGACATTTGTGCTTGTTGCAGCTCAGCTGCTTGCCACAAATCTTCTCGCAAGGGGGACACTGATCACCACAGCACTATGAAAAGATTGGAATCAATTAAATATTTAATCTTTGATTGTTTTTCATACCTTTTTATTGCAGGGATGTTTGCCACAATCCCGTATCTGCTTGCATTTAGTTTCGCATGTGAACTCCTTGGAGCACGGAAGCTCCTTTTCGTGCAAGCCACACCGACATTTCTTTTTCGTTCGTATGGGGCACTGTAAGATGACATTTTTAATGAATTGTTTTTTTCGATTCTGTTGATCTTACGGAAATGCAAGGACCGCGATGACAACGCTGAGTACAAGTGTGCTGCCCACAGGACAACAGTTTCTGGCAAGTATCGCCACAGGTTTCTTCAGGCTCGTTACAGGGTCTTACTTGAGTCTACACAGAAAATTAAAAAGTTATATAAACATCTAAATAGTTTGAATACAAACTTACAATCTTTCCACATGGACAACTCCTGACTTGCAAAGGACACTCGCCATCGCCACAAGCTCCGGCGTGGCAAACTTTTTCGCAGATGTGCAAACCACAAGCAAAAGGAGCACCACAAACCTGCAAGATAATTTACCATTAGAATAATTCTTTAGATTATTGAATACTCCATACGTTTTGACACTTCCATTTGCGATCGGAACAGTTCACCATCTTGGATTCCCGCTGGCAATCGCAAGGTTGTAGGCTCTTATTTGTGCAGGGCGGACATTGTCCTGGTCGATGGCATACTTGATTGCACTTGTGCTTGCCGCATGCCAAAAGGTTCTTGCACTGAAATATATAGTTGTTAGTAGAAAAACTGAAAATCTTTCCTACATTCTTTAAACATTACCGGCTGCTGGCACCTCCACTGTTTGTCGATGCATCGCACAGACCTGGGACTAGATTTGCCGCACAAACAGGAAACCTGTGCCTGTTGTGCACAAGGAGGACATGGCCCCGGATGACATAGCAACTTGCAATCGTGTCCACACTTTGGCTGCAGCAACTTCCCGCAAATTTCTCCGCAAGAGTGAGGGACTAGGAACGGCTGGTTTTGGGGGTTCACCTCCTTGCCGCAAAAGCAATTATACTGCGTGGGCTTCTCAGTCGGCTGGTAGTCCCTGCGGCACTGTGGACAACACCAGTGCAGCGACTTTTGGCGCTTGGGCGGCACAAACTCGCCTAGGTGATTGTAATAACCCTGGTTGGACTGCCCGTTTTGCTGCTCCGCCTTCACCTTCATTTGCATCATGCTGTCATTCGCCCAACGTTGGATGCAGTTCAGGTGAAAGAAGCAGTAGCAACTCTCGCAGGACCAAATGGCCTCCACTCGCCGAATGCTTCCGATGCAAATGAGACAAGTGGCTGCGCCCGAGTGAAGAGTGTTCTCCAGAAAAGTGCTGGTGCGGGCCGCATCCTTGGAGCTTCCAGCGCTCTCAGTCGGCTTGTAGTTCTTGTATAGCAATTCTATATAGTGGTTTATGCAGAAGGATAATATAAGAGTTGGTGGTTTTCAAATGACACGTCACGTGCAGCCATTGATTTACCTAAAATATGCTGCTCATCCAATTCGCCTTCATCCTCGGAGCTGGAGGCATAGGTGTCCACCAGTTTCTGGGCAGCAGCAAGATTTTTTGCCTGCGCTTTATTAAACTTTTCCATTTTTTAGCCGGCTTTTTTTGTCTATCAACTGGGAATAAACTCTTGGGGTAGAACCAGGGATGGAAAGCACAGTGATAACAGCAATCAAGGGGACTAGTTCCATTAGGGAACTACACATTTATGGAAACTTTAAAGTTCCAATTGATAACAAACTGTCTTTAAAATTTAACAAATAAATTGTTAATTGTAAGCTGTGCCAATCGGAATTATTATTTTACATCTTAGTTGTTTATGCAATTTTAAAAAGGATAAGCTAACTACAGTTAAAACATTCTACTGCAGTATAGCCATTTTAATCATTTTTACATTTATTTTTTTTGGACTGAATGGTTTATCATATAAATCATATAAATCTGGCTGTCGTTGGAGTTTGTTTCATAAATTCAAATTAACTGAGGCGCCAGCCCTGGCAATCGATGTGAAACATCTGTTTTCGATTGCGAGGCCCTGGAACAGCTTTCACATCAATTACAAAAAAAAAATTAAATATATATCCAGACATACCGAATACAGATCCAAGATGAGTTTCCTCAATTACGTGTTCGGGCCCAATCTCTACATGGAATACCGGGGTGTTCCGGAACCCCAGCGCAAGATGTACGAGGCAGGAGCAGTGGAGAGATTCGGGGAGCAGATTCTATCGACGGTATGTGTACTCCGATCCCACGGGAACCGACGAAAAAAATTGGGGCATATGGGAGTGTAAAAAGTGGACTTTCGTCTTTACAGCTCTCTGTAATGTGGTCCGTGGGCTACTACACGTCACCACTGCTCGTCACATTCCTCTACCGAAGGGGTTATCTGGTGACCGATTCCATGCCAACGCTGGCCAAAATCACGACCAGCGTGGGTCTCATCGTCATCATCTCGCTGGTGATGCGCGGATTGCGCAGGAAGCAGTCGCGATCGTACTCAAACATGATGAAGGCTTTGGTGCAGGCGAAGGCAACTAAAACCGCAGGCGATGCCAACAGCGAGTTACGTCGCTTCGACATCGAGTTCAATGCCTGGCCCGTAGATTTTGACGTCAAGGCATTAACTGGGTTGGTATTGGTCAGCTTGGACTGGGCTATAATGACAAACTCTTCCCTTTAGGGATACCAAGAAGCCCGTGGTGACGGCCAGCAGGCGGGAACCCCTTCAACTGGCCACTTTGCCCTGCGAAGTGATCGCCTACCTGGCCATCAACACTTTTGGACTATCTATGATCTATCCGGGCTCCGTTAAGCTACTGCAGAAATTTATGAGTAAGGAAGAAAGCTCTCTTTAGTACACGGTTTACAATTAGATTTAAAAAAAATGTTAACAAGTATTTGCTGTCATATATTCTTGGTAATCTCTCTTCTTGCAGGACCCATGCTGATCTCTGGACGCGCCAAGCTCATCGAGGATGACAACGGCATCCGCTATAAGGTGAAGACCATCGATTCAAACGAAATCGACACGTTGTTTATAGACAACCGCAACGACAACGTGGGAAATGGCAAGACTCTAGTCATTTGCTCTGAGGGCAACGCCGGCTTCTATGAAGTGGGCATAATGGGCACTCCGGTTGCCTTGAAGTATTCCGTTCTGGGTTGGAACCATCCCGGATTCGCAGGTAGCTCAGGATCGCCCTATCCGCACCAGGACAAGAACGCCATCGATGCCGTGGTGCAGTTTGCCATCAATAATCTCGGCTTCTCCGTGGAGGACATTATAATGTACGGCTGGAGCATTGGTGGCTTCAGCACATTGTATGCTGCATCTGTTTATCCGGATGTCAAGGGAGTGGTGCTGGACGCCACCTTCGACGATGTGCTGTACTTGGCCATTCCACGGATGCCAGCCGCTCTGGCGGGAATTGTCAAAGTAGCCATTCGTAACTACTGTAATCTGAACAATGCCGAGCTGGCTAACGAATTCAATGGACCAATTTCTTTTATTCGCCGCACTGAGGATGAGATTATTGCAGAGTAAGTAAAGGTGTTCCCTTTTTCTTTATGTTATTAATAAAAAGAATTAAATTCCCTTAGAGACAACCGCATTGACACAAACCGTGGAAACTTTTTGGTTCTGTCAGTGCTCAAGCACCGGTATCCCAACATTTTTGGGGCCTCCCAGTTGAACAAGGCCAAGGCGCTGCTCTCGAAGCCTTTGGAGCCGTACAGTATTCCCACCGCCGACGAGAAGCTCTGCATGTCGCGCCTAATCACCTACGCCTCCGACGAGGGCAAGTCCTTCCCCATGAACATTGGAGCCGACTACTCAGACGAGGTGCGCAATCTCATGGCTGTCTTCTTGGTGGGTATATTTTGCATGTTACAAGTTGTTAGATAACAAATGTTGTTCGCCTTTCAGTTGCGCAAGCATTTACGTGACTACAACTCGACGCACTGCACCCAGTTGCCCGGGGAGTTCTTCACCATGCCGTGGGACATTCCAACCGAGCAGGGCTTTGTGTTCACCTAAGCCCATTCCGCTGGTGATTTACGGCCGTGTATGCTTAGACTTAGTGAAAAGGTTTTTTAGTCATTTTTGCATTCTGACTGCTTATTAAATTATTCTAACTGGGAACAGCCGGGAAAGCTGGACAACTGGTGTAAAATGTCTTATATACGAAATAAATGTCACAAGCTAAACTAAACAAATAACGATCGCTTGGTGGTAAGTTTCTATTTCATTGTACAACTAATACGAGGGGCAGTTCAACACTTAATTTCTACGAGTTTTTCTTGGAGCCACCGAAGCCGGAGAAGCCCATAATAGCGGCCATGTCGTCGGGAATGCCGCCAGCCTCAAAGTCCGTATCCTCGGCCTTTCGCTTGCGCTCTTTCCGCTTTTCCTTCCGGTGCTCCTTGTAGCGATCCTCCTCCTCTTTGGCCTCCCGAAGTCGACGCTCCAATTCGTAGTCCTTTTGCTTCTCCTCCATTTTCTTTTTGTTCTGCTGGAAGCGTTCCTTCACCTGGTCCACGGTGCTTCGTTCCACCTTCATGGACATGCCCAAATTGCGCTGGTGCTTTTTGCCGTTGATGTGGTCCAGGAAGTTGATCGAATCCTTAACCACGCAGTCGCAAACATTGCAATAGTAGCCACCGGATTGCGAGGTGGGAGTGTTTTTGTTGATGACCACGCTCTTGCCTAGCTTGCTGTCCAGATCCACCTTGTAGTCACGTCGCTTGAGGTTTTCTCGCTGCACGGGCTCTGGAGCGGATTAAGTTATAGAAATTGTTATTTTTTGAGGCACTTTTGCGGAACACCCATTCACTGACCTTCTTCCTTTGGAGCCACCTGATTGAGCAGCCGCTCCGCCGCCAGCTTCTCGTACTCGTTCTTGTCCCATTTCCTTCGGTGGTCATCAGGTCGCATCGTCATGGTGCCGCTGGGATTGGTTTAAGTATATTGAATTAAATAAAACTACGTCAAAAATTGTAAATATTTTTATTAGAGATGCGGAGGTTTGCGTCCGGACTAGGGTTTCAGCGGGGGATGACAACCTGATGTTAGAAGTCATAAATATTGGTAGTCGGATATAGATAGTGTGACCCTAATGTTAAATGTTAACAATATCTAAATTTAATATAAAGCTAATTATTGTAGTAAGATAAATCACAGAATTCAGCAAATATTTCAAATTTTAACTGATATTCTAAAACCACAATTGGGTGCTGTAAAATTTCGATGAAAAATGATCGATAATCTTTAACGATAACTTATTGATTTTTCACTTGCATCGGTTGGAGAAAAAGTGAAGGTTAGAAAAACACCGTTAAAACAAGGGCCACCTTTACTTAAACTATTTACATTAAAGAAAAATGGGTGCTGCCTTCTTTCCCGTGCTGTTCTTCACCGCCTTATGGGGCGGCGTGGGCATTGCCATGCCCATAATGACTCCGAAAGGACCCCACCAGAACCTGATACGCTGTATCCTGATGTTGGCCGCCGCCTGCTGCTGGCTGTTTTGGCTGTGCTGCTACATGGCCCAAATGAATCCTTTGATTGGACCCAAACTGAAGCGGGACGTGGTGGCCATGATTGGCAGGTCCTGGAGCAACCCAATCGTGGAGGGTTAAGAAGTGGATTCAAAGACAACAAAAAAAGTATTCCAGCATTACCACTAATTAAATTGTTTATATTGTGTTGTAAATAAAAGTGTAATCCATGGTTCAGTTTATTCCGTTACAAAGCGGCTAAGCTCCAAAATTAAAGTGCAAATAATTATTGATTTAAAACAGAAGTAATATGAATGTTAGTGGTTTACGTTTATTTGGATTGCGTTGTAAATAAATAAAAAGTTTATTTAAGTGCCTTTCCTTTGTTTTTTAGGAACAGTTAGGAATGAAAGCAAAAGTTAGAAATTTGCACATTTATTTTGGATTTCTTTACGACTATTGGCTACTGGGTTAACAATAGAATTTTAACTTCACCATCTATTTAAATAACAGAAGAATAACGATATTTTTTGATAAAGGAAAGGCCAAGGAAATTGCTGGGAGAGTAAGAGAGAGTAGGTGTTGTAAACATAGTTTGGGTCCCTTAACGATCAGGTGGCTCTCTCGGGTTCTCAGAAAATTTAACCGTTTGGTAAAACGGTGTCCTCTGCTTACCCGTTTAGGAAAACGTTATCCTCTGTTTATTCTTTTGAAAAAACGTTATCCACTAGGTTAAAGAAATGTCCTCTCGTAGACGATTTTTTAGTAGCCGAATCGGTTCCAGTTCAGTCCGTTAACGTTCGGTTAGCACTCTCGGGACTGACGGACCTGACGAGACTACCTTATACTTATTCTACCATGCTCCCAAGGCCAATGCTCATTTCTCTTTTCTTCTGTCTTCTTGGGGACCAGCAACTGAGATTTGTGGCCACGCTCTTCAGTTGAATTTCGAACACGGGCGCGATCAGTTTAGCTTTGAAACTCGAGTGCTGTCTAGTGTCGAAAGTATTGCCGTGAATCCCCGAATCGATTGGGAACTATCCCATAGCAAATAATCGAATCCGTGCAACATTTGTGATTGTATTGAAATACAAATCGATTGCAGGAAGAATTGCTGTACGTCTCGTGTTCTCCTCCAATGGAACCATTGCTCTTCAGCAACGGGGGACGATAACTTAGCAAAACCCGGCAGGTGAGCCATTCCGGAGTTTACAACTTAATTTGCAAGAAAGGTGCTCGGCAGCAGGATGGCGTTGGCTTTGGGCTCTCCCTAAGCCGGGAGTTGGGCCATAAACTAGTTAGACATGCAATAAAGCAGCCCGGCCTGTAAAGGTCCAAAACTGGTTACATTACTACTCCAGCGTAAGAGGTGGGAAACCATGGAGTGAAGAAGCCTGGCCAAGAGCAATAATCGCGCACAAACGAGCTGGCAAAGCTAAAAATTATGGATGTTAAAACGAAAATGGCAATAAAAAAAAGGGGCCCTCAGCAGCAGCAACAACGAAAAAACAAAACCAGTCTGTAATAAAAGAAATTAGAAATGAAGACGCCCTCCCCGCCGAAAAAAGGGCGGCAAACAGCAAAGAGCATTCCAACTCGGAAACCGACTGGCACCAATAAAAGCGTTGAGAATGGTTCAAAGAATGGCTCAAAGGTGGACAGGTGATCGTCCAAAGAACTGAGAAACAAAAGGCCGGAGAACGTTTTGTTGTCTCCTCGCGGGCTTTCTTGGTGTCGCTTTATATGTCGCTAACCGCGCAATTACCACGTTCATGAACTGGGCCAATTGACAGTTCAGTGCTCAGTTCACTTTAGACTTGGTCGTTACAGCCGAGCCACTGCCATTGCCATTTTGCCATTTTACCATTTTGCCACTGGCCCGGACCCGTTGCACTCAGCTCTGGATAAACGGGAGCGGGGGAGGAAACTCCATTATTCTCCGATCCCACTAACCGCTATAAGATGAGTGGGTCGCCCATTATGACGGCAGATTGTTAAGCTCAGTTTGGACAGGGGAGGTCACATTGATAGCAATGCTAAGTGTTGCAAAACTCTTGAAAAATAAGAAGAATAAGTTATAAAAAAATATTAGTAATTAATTTCAACTAATTTGACAAAAGAAATGTTTACAATGATAAAAATGAATTGCAATCAAGTCATGGATATAAACATTTAGGTTATTTTATTCTATTGAGCAAATCAGTCCAACGACTTTTGTGTTCTTTGTGAAGGTTTAACTGTACTTTTAAACAATTAAATATTTATGGTTCCAGCCCGGGGTGCTATTATTTCGACCGCAGCTGTGCCCATTAGAGATATGAGCGTTTTGCATGCGCCTATCTATTTGTGCCGGTGCGGAAATTGATTTTTAGTCGCAGTTTAAGTTTTTAGCGTTACGGTTCTCGATCTTAACAACGACGACAGGAAGAGGCTGTGGCTCTCGGCACTCATTTGCTGACCCAATTCGAGGGGAGGCACCCAGTAATAACCGACAATTTACGCAAATTCAGCAGCGATCCCAACCGATCCGAACTGACTCATTGATAACTGCAGCATTGGTCTGAGCCGGAGAAAGTGCCAAAAACACTGACTCAGCACGAGACACTCGGACGAGGAGGCCGAGACAGGTTGCCAAATGCCAACTCCACTTACGAGTCCACTTCCACCAAATCCAAGTCTGCATCCGAATCCTAGACGCGTAAACACACCCATATCTTTCGCTCTTTCTGTCTGTCTGTCACCAAGGCATTTTGTGTGTTTCTCCCATTATGTTTTTTTTTTTTGTTTTTTTATTTTGACAATTTTCACCTCAAATTAGTTTCACTGAGGCAATGAAAATTTTCATTTTTTTTCGTCTGTCGGAAGTGGATCAAAGCCAGACGACGAAATAGAAATGCGCAAAACCAGATTGAGATTGAAAAATTATGTACATTTTTACGAGCATTTCTCGGGTGTGAGTGCTGGTTTCTGTTTCTGTTTCGGTTCGGTTTATTTTGATTTCGTTTTCGTTGTCTTTTCTCAAATTATTCATTTACGAGTTAATGAAACACTTTCGCTCGTTAAGAGCCGGTCAAGTTGCGGCCCGAAAATCTCAGAGATCTCAGATCTTTGGGCCCCCGCCTCCACAATTTTCGGATTTCCCTGGGTTCTCTGCTTCGCCAGCGAATTCTGATTTTGCGTTGAGAATCGCAAATTGGTCAAGAAATGCGAGGCCCCATCATGAAGATATACGCGACTGGCCCAAATTGGCAGACCGACTGATCATCCATGCCGCACGATTCTTCTGCTCGAAGCCAAATGACAGAAGAACCACACTGAAGACTGCGGAGAACTGGCCATCAGATTGATCTCTGCAGCTGACTGGGCCAGCAGTTCGTGCCGGGGCGAAATAGAACATAACGCTAAGCTGCGGCTAAATTGCATTCAAATGATGTAAAATCGCCTCTAATGGGACGATCTTTTGTTTCGCCTGCCAAGAGGAAAGCGACCTCAAATGCAAGAGTTCGTTGCGGTAAAGCGAATAAGGCACTCGAGTGCACTTCGAGAAAATTGGGGGGTTTTATGTAATAAAACTGTTATGAGATTCATTAAATGATTTATTACTTGCAAGCTCGAGGTGGAATTGCAATTTAAGCTTTAAATATAGGAAATAGGGAAGGAAATTTTAAAGCCTAGTTATTAATTAATATTGCTTTATTAAACACTTTGTTATTTTTATTAAAATTAAAACTGTTATATCTTGCAAACCCGGGGAGAATTGAATTTTAAGCTTTGAATAACTTGATAAGAAATTTTAAAGCGACACTTTATTATTTTATATACCGGAATTATTCACGTAAGGGACAAATAAAATTTGGTTATAGCTCGGGTCATGCCATAGGCCATCCAGTGAGTTTGAATCATGTAGGTACCTTTAGGGAAAGGTAGAACTTTGGTAACTTGGTGGTTTACCTGCTCAGCAGTCAATTTATCTACCACCAGATCATGCTGCAAAATAATTACTAAGAATTGTTATTTGACACTCTGCATTATACTAACATTGAACGGGCAAGTGTGGTTCATATTGGAAACGTTCTTTAAAAACTGAAAAAAGTAGGAAGCAACGGGATTGGAGTTCGTGTTCTTCAAAAATTGGCACCCATCCACTGTTACATTGTAGAGAAAGGGTTTATAGCCATTAAGCCTTTGGTAGAGTGCAAAATTCACCTAAACAGGATATGACAATTTTAACTTTTTAAAAACTTAATTTTTAAGTTACCTTTAAATTGGTAAGAGGTATCTTTAAGAGTTTGATTCTTGCCGATAAGTATTTGTAGGTTCGGTTTGCAGACTTCAATATGCAACGGTCAACTTCGCAAAATGTCTTATCCAAAGTTTCGCACTCGAAATTCGTAAACTTAACTAGAGAGTTAACCTGAATACACTGCATTTAGGAATTATTTGTAATTACGTGTGTTATAAAGTTCTTACTTCTGTGAAAAAGACTGCAAAAGCCAGGACAAAGCCAATTAGAAAATAGATGTTTTTGTCCATCATAAGGTATTGATGGATTCACATGAACTAGTTTATAATTATGTTTACTCAATTTAACCGAAAAATCATCAATAAAAAAGTGATTATATATGGCACACAATTGAATTTTCCTATCAGCATTGAACAAGCCTGATTTAAATTAACTTTTAATAGCTATCATTTGTTTGTGTAATAAAGAAAGCCAGTGGCGGCTTGCAGATATTTAGGCAGAGGGAGTATTCAGAACAATTACATCTATTTAGGATTTTATTTGAGTGGAAGATATAAAGATTTTTAAATACATAAAAGTTTATATCTTAGACTATAAATTTAAAACGGAACTTTCTTTTCTTTTCTGTGTGTTTGGGATAGTTTCCATCCATCTATCTGCACTCAGACAAACAGATTCCGAGTAGAATGAAAAAGCATTGGTCTGCTGTGAGTTTCAGTGAGTATGGATCGGATGGTATGTATGGGTTGGTCTGGAAAAAAGCAGGAGTGGTTCTCCACTGGATGTGCGTGCCTCGAATGCTGATCGTGGCACTAATTGCAGTTCGGGTTCTTATCCGCCAAGTGCGTCGATGCATACAATATGTTGACATTTGCATTTAGACACGGGCTCTGAGCCACAAGCCAAATAGAGCTATTCAGAACAAGATGGGTTTTCCACTTCCACGAAATAATTAAACTCAGTTTAAGTGGTCTGTGAATATCGATTTGCATACCAATAAAGAATGTGACGAAGAAGAATAGAACCACAAATTTTTGAATTTTAAATAGAAGCCAAGAACTGAGTATTTTTTTAAGCTTAAATTATTCATTTTCTTACTTTGGCTTAAATTTCAATGAGAAATTTGACCGGAAACAGGAAACAAAACTCTCGAAAACTGCTACAATGATTCCGCAAACTTTTGTTTCCCTAAGTAATTTTTTTCTATATTTTAGCAGACTTCTCAGGTTGGCTGACAAGTCAGCTGTCATTCAGCATTTAGCACTGTTGTTAATACTGTTACCTCAGTCTAACGGTTCTGCCCACCTGACTTGACACTTTTCACCTTCGATGGGGCGCCCTGTACAGTCATCACTCGACTGTCCGAGAGCCCTGCTATCGAGGTTCTGCGACAGTGAGCAATCAAGTTCCCGAATAATTCTCGGGGGAGCTGCTCACATGTGGGAAAGACCTGTCGGATTTGTTTGTTTTTAATTAGTTTGTTTGGCGGTAAAGGCGTAACGGTGAATGCTTTTAATGACTGTTCTCTCCGCTCTTCACCATCCACTCTTCGCATGTTACAATATGCTTTTTATTTTTATTCTTTTCGTTCTTGTCAAGTTTTCCCCTTCTGTTTGTCACTTTGAAATGAAATGCACTTTTAGTTCCGCAATGGCAGAGGACGAGCGCTTTACTTTGTGCAGTCTATTTGTACGCCAAGTGGTTCGGAATACTGGAGGGGCATATACTACATACTTATATCTTCTATCCCCCGCCTTCTGAAGTGGTTATGCTCCAGTAAGACCTTGGTAGCTGGCGCCGTTAGAGCGATTACGATTACGAAACTGCAAATGCTGCAGAGATTGCTCCCGACGCATACATATGCATGTTTTAATGCCCATAAGCAATATAATTAATTTATTATCCAATTAGCGGCAACGTTACTTTGTTCGCCCCTACGGACATACAGTGGATATCTGTCTTCTTATCAGATAAAAAACCATCTGATAAAAAAGGTTTTTTTAAAGAAAATAAAACGTAATGTAAAAATCATTATATTATAAACTGTGCTTGTTCTTTATAAATCATTTTTGATAAGATAAAAGACTGAATTCTTCTTGTAAAATATATCTACACAATGCCTTATTTGAAGTACTAAACAATTTATTAAAAACCATTTATTTATTTTCGTTGCTATTTATTTGCTTATGTTTTTATCAGATTTTCAAATGAACATTTACTGTATTGTCCGTTCTGTTTACATTAGACTAGTTATCTGGTTTAATTTTCGCTCTTCGGCACCTTTCTTTGCCAAGAAAGGAAAGCAAAGAAAGAAGATTGCATAAATTTGCACCCAGCCCGGCTAAATTGAGGCATCAATTATGACATATGGCTAGCGGTATTCGAACCGGCATAATGAGTCGACTGCCCAAAAAACGCGACTGCCAATTGGCAATCACTTTCCAAAGGCGAACAACAGTAGATAAACAATCAAAATGCTGCATTGTTCGGATGATTCAATGAGCAGTTCCTCTAGTTTCCGATGCGTTCGAAATAAACTTTCCATTTCACCGTCGTTTTTTTTTTTTGATAAGCATCCATTGACATCGATGCCTCAGCTGTAAATACCACAGACCCCGCCCCCCGCCCCCCCAAAACACCTGTCACATTTCACTTTCTTCGACACTTTGTCGGCGAGGCGGCTATTATGATTGAAAGTGGCTGGGAATCTTAATCTGGCCGAAAATCGCGTTGAAGTGCCAACGCGTTTTGGCCAGATATCGGCCAGATAGTTGGCTATACGTGCTATCGGGTTAATGGCCGACTTCCGTTAGGCATTTTTTGCAGGTAGCTGCCGTCAACTGTCTGAATTTCCAGATCAAATTCTCATCAATCATTCTTTGACGCTTTTTCGTCCAGCAATTTCTCCTGTGGAGAAAATCGGCTAATGCGAGAAATTTAATCAACTTATGCGTGGCCGGCGACGTCTTAATACTTAATGCCTAAATCAAAAAAAAAAAAAAAAAAGATTCGAAAAAAACTCGGTGCAAGTGAGTGTGTGCCAGTATTATTTTTGGTTTTATTTCTGCTTTTTTTTCGTTAACTCTTTTCACGCGGCTCAGACGCAAGTCAATTTATTCTTTCTTTCTCCAAACACAGAAACGTATTTACAACTGAGGTCGTTTAAATAGCACACAAATAATTATATTTTAGCTTCAAAATATTGTTTTGTTTAAGTGGAATATATTATTTATTTAAAAGTATTAAAATTTTGTTAGTAAAAATATTTTATATGACTCTTTTTTTCAAAGAAGAACATCTTTAGTTCCTACCATTTGTTTGAACTTTCAAATACTTCAGTAATCAATGCTTTGACCGCAATTGTAGGTACGTACTGGGGGACAAGCGCAAGTTACCAGTTTTGGTTTTGGCCTTCTCCGGGCTCCACCTCACCCCCCTCTTCACTCATCGAGGCTCCGCGCATGCGCATCTAGGTCAAAAGCTGGTGGCTATGGCTTTGGGCATGGCGATGGCGATGGCGATGACGACGCCGATGGCTCCCCAAGCGTTCTAACTGTCTTGGGTGGAGGGAACTTGACTTCCCCCGGGAGCCCAGCCATACGTACTTATCTGTACATGTGTACCTCCACTCTAATTGCACTCGTTCTTCAATTTGCCTCTTTTTCTGCCAGTTTGAGCGCCTTTTTGGCGGTCTTTTTATTAGGCAAATGGGTTTCCGTTCCATTTGAATGGGAAGTGGCGGCGATGACAGAGATTCGGGGCCTGCGTTTACAGTTAATGGTGGTTTACCAGGAAAGAAGACGATACCACGATTTATGGGTGCTCGACAATAACTCAGCTGCGGAATAAAATTGAGATTTATTTGGAGCAAGCAATGTTAAGATATAGGTCATAAACCCAGCTTTCAATGTTTTAATTTATTTATCTAACTTTATTATCTAGAGCATTTATTGGTCAATGGGGCCCATGCTCTTTAAGCTGGTAAACTCATAAAAATATAAAATAAATCTTAGGTTTTTCCCAGACCCTTTCTAGCCGCATTAACATATATTTTTGCATAATCCCCATTAAGACTGACTTCGATTTCTGATGACCCAACGACGCGGCTTCTGCAGACCTGATTACCATTAAAAGTATCAAATTAGTTTCTCTCCGGCAAGCAAAGCCCATCGCCGAGGCATTCCTAAAAATAACAGAACTTTTACTTTTGCCAGCTCGAAAAGCTCAGACCCCTTGATCATCCATCCATCCATCCATCCAAAGACCATCCGACATCGTTGGCGGTTTCTGCCCGCGGCTTCCCGCACCGAAAACTATTTTTACACACGTTTCTCCGCGGCTGAACTTTGCTTTTTGCTTTTGATTGCACATGTACAACTAAACCATATATTGTGGCTTCATAAATACCCAGGTCTTACATGTGTATATGACGGCGGAACAAGCCATAACCCGGCCCCATCGCATCCCAATCTTGGCTGGGGATGTGGATGTGGCTGTGGATGTGGATGTGGATGTGGAGAACTGGTTTCCGAGGCCCATCTGCTGTGTACTTAAGCCGTTCGGATGGCGGAGTGGGTTCTTTATGCTGGAGCTGGGCTTCCCATGAAGTGAAAATTCCAAATTTGTAGGGCTCAGCCAGCGAGCGTATCAGAGTGTCGGGGAATTCTCTAATTAAATTTTTTGTTTATTCCACCGAGAGCTTTCGCTTTTTACGACTGGTCACTGGAGATCTCTTCGCTTGGCCAAGTCTGGCGGCTCAATTAATTATGAAATTTATGTGATACCTTCTTTCATTGAGTGGGTGGAATATGGTTGGAATTTTTATGAGCATGAGAAATGTTTGCATTTGTTTGGGGAGAAAAACAAGACTTGTTTGAGATTGATGAAGACTTAAAAGAATGGTTTGTTCTTTGATTTGTTTTGACAATTGAATTACTATTAAGTTCGGCTGTTTCCTTGGATTGCTATGATTTTTTCCTTGTGTAAAAGAGCTCCTTTGAATATTTTTGAGTAGTTTGGCACTTGCAAATCAAACCGGTTAACGGCAGGCATATCTCATCGCTATTGTGCGCTGTTCTTTTCCTCTTTTCCCTGGCGAAAAGTGAGAATTTTCGTTTGGCTAATGGGCTGCAAACAGGATTAGCCGGTTCTCCGGCATGCTGGCCCATTAGTGACTTTTCCCCAACCCGATCCCCGTTCCTAACCCGAGCACGGATCACCCAGGCCCCCTCGAAGTGGTCCCGAAAGAAAGCAAAGCCCGTCCGAACGAAAGTGAAGAAAACCGCTAACAATGCTCCCCCGAAAATGTTTGTCTTTTTCAGAACCTGCGATTGGAGCCTGGAATCGTAACGGTGGACAAAATGGATACCGTCTATGGGACAAAGAAATACTTCCAGAGTTTATCCGGCGTGAGTGATATCTACAGAACGCAGACATGTCGGCAAATGGTGAGTAATCCCCATCGTTTATCACTTCGGTGTACAAAACGCTTAACAGTTATACAACGCCGATGAATTTGATTAGCATTTCGAGTCGGGGTAAGAATAGAATTGAGGCCATTTATCGTCCCCCGAAATCTCTTTGTCAATAGAATTGTTACATCAACGCGCGTCGTGTTTGGTTTTCTTTTTTTTTTTTGTATTTGTTACAAAGAACGCAGCATGCATATTTATTTATTCATCTGCCTGTTTGTTTGGGACCAGAGTCTCGGAATCGAGCTGTTTGCATTCCTCATTCAGCAGCAAAGTCGAGAGTCCGGAAAAAAGAAGCATAGGTACGAGTAACTAGCGAGTCAAACACGACAGAAGAACGTTCTAAAAGGTGAATGACTTTCTCTGGCAGCGAAGAAAGAAAGAAGAGCCGGGCAAGCGAAGAGCAGAAGAGAACGCAGAAGAAAAGAGCCGAAGCCAGTGGCAAGAAGACGGCAATTTGGTCAACAGAGTGGTGCTTTTTTTTTTTTTTTCACCAGGGGGCCAGCGGAAGGGAGCTTCCCGGGAGAAAGAGAGGAACTAAGGGAAATGCCCTGCAGCAAAGCAGTGTTAAATGGTAATCAAGAAACAATCAAACTTTCCCATAGGCCTCGGGGATCTCCTTGGGCATATGTGCACCTACAGCAGCGGTCGAGATAATAGCCCCTTGCGTTCTAGGCATCAATCATTGATACTTGGTAATTAAAAGTTGCTTCTAGCGTTCGGAATGTTTTAATGATAAAGAACTGTTCTCTGTAGTAGATAATATAAGCCTACTTAACGTATTTCTGAATAATTTACGACTTTACTTTAACAAAGCCATAGGCATATCAAAAGACTTAGGCAACAAACTTGATTTTTAACTTTTAGAGAATCTGATAAAAATCTTGCTAAATAAACAATTTTTTTTTTATATATCTCTGCAAGTTCAATTTCAGCATCCAATAAACAGTTTAATTTCATTTCCAATCACTTTAATTAGCTGTCAGCTTTCCAGATCAATGTCAAAGCCAAATCAAAAGACTTAAGCAAAAAACTTGTTTACGGCATTATTGACAACTAATCTTTAGCAAAAAGAATGAGCTGATTGAGAAAAACCAATACTTGTTTATAAGATTAAATAAAATAATAGCTTGTAATGGGTGGAGAATTTACTTAATACATTTTAAAAGAAAATTAGAAGTGCTAATTAACTGATCGTAGTTGTACCCAGGAACCCTCGGAAGTTGGTTAGATTCTGGGAATCTGACCAGGTGCAATGACTTTGTACCAGTTGAATCCAAGCAGCCCAGGCTAATTAAATGCGTTTTCCCAGCAGTGCTAATGAGATGCATTAACAAATCAAGACAAGTGCTCAACGGCGATAGTGATTCTGACATAACGCTGGGAAAGCTCAAGAGGAAGCATTGCGGTTCTTGGCAATCACACAAATTGAGTCCAAAGTGGGGCCGTTAGAGCCAACTTCCGTCATCTAGATTGGGGACTGGGGAGCGCGATAGAAAGTGGCCGAAGGGTCGAGAAAGTTGTGCGACTTCTGGCGGCTAATTATCTAATTAGGGGCCATCGGGATCGATCACTCTGGCATACTTCGGAAACCCAGTTAACAGAACGAACGACATCTTCTTTTGCAGAGCGCGGACTACACGTACCAGAACACAGTTGGCCGGAGGTCGCAACTGGGGGCCTATTACCACATGAACAAGCAGCCCTCGTACACGAATGAGCACAGTCTGAACAGTCAGTATGGCTACAACACGTGGGGCATTTGGAGGGACGGAAGGAACATCGCCCCGTCGACCTTCTCGGCCAAGACACACACCCAGTACCCCAAGAACAGATCCTTCAGCATTATCCTGACCACGGCAGCATTCATAGTCCTGCTGGCAGTCATCTCCATCGCTGGATTGGCCTTCTACTTTAGTTCCATAAAGACCACGCTGGAGGATCGTACGTACTATAAATTACCATTTGTGGAATATTTTCTAAGCTAACATCTTTATTTCTTAATCATTTTTGCAGCTGTTATGGGCTTTGAGGGCTCCTTCCGCATTGCCAAGGGAGATCTTTTCTCCACGGGTCTGAAGTACAACCATACCACAACCTACAAGCAGAAGATTGATTTCTATAAGAGATTTGTGGAGCGATCCATGATGGATAATGGATTGCAGCCGCTGAGAACCGACGTCTGGGGCTTTGGGGATGGACCACTGATTAAGGTCTCGTTTCGGGTATTTTTGGATGTCCGTAAACTGCCACAGTAAGTTGAATTCATTCGTGTTCTATTCAGTTAAAAGCAATTACATTATCATTCACCTAATTTTAGAAACATTCTGAGCGTAGAAGAGTACATAAAAGAGTCGCTTTTCCTGGAAACCTCGGCCGCAAAGTCTCTGTATCGCTCATTGCGTTTGGACACGGAATCTTTGGAGATAAAGCGCATAATGGATGAGCAGGTGGTGCGATCTGCAGCAATTTTAAAAGAAGCCGTAAGAGAAGACAACTTTGTAATAAAGAACCAGATTAATGAGAGATCTTTCTCGACAGCAAACGGTGCCCACTAGTCAGACCCAGTTGGAAAAGCGACTCATGAAGAAGGGCAGTACACCGGCACCGGCTCCAGTGCATCCGAAACCTCTGGGAGGCAATACCACACCCAAGCCGAAGAATCCTCTGCTGCGAAGCCATTCCGCCGACGAGGAGCCCGATATCGATGTGGAGAATGCTCCGGTTATTCAGGGCTCTTTCGAGGGTTCCTTCGAGATCACCAAAACGGATGCGGACATTGCACGCAAGAAGACACCGCCCACCAGAGCCTACCAAGCTAGCAGTAGTACTTTACCACCCAAGTCGATTGCCGTTACACCCTTTTCCTTGAGGGTGAAGCCCAAGAAACCGGGCATCGAGAAGCTAACTACTGTGCTGCCGCAACAGGTGCCCACGGGAAGTGCTTTCAGCACCACCAGGGCAACCACCAAGGCCACCAAGCCAAGTACTACTACGACCAAGAGAACCACGACCACGTCCACTACCAGGAAAACGACCACAACAACTACGCCTAAGCCTACAACGACTACCACAACTACGGAGGCAACGACAACCACCACCACTTCAACGACTACAACACCACCACCACCACCACCACCACCACCACCTAGCACCACTAGAGCCACCACCACGACCACGACCACTTTCACCTACCCATCCGTGGGCACTCCAGCTCCAAGTCAAGCGGGTTCCCTGCCCAAATTGGATGCGAATCTGTTTACCACCTTCCCCATTCTGGACACACAACCTTGGAGGCCGATGCATCGAGAGGTTCCGGAACTGCTGCCTGGTCCACCACCCGCGTTTCCCACCAAAACTCTACCAGGAGGCACCACACCCACTGTAAATCATATACCACAGCGGAGAATCGATGAATTTGAACTGCCCTTCATTGGAGATAATCCCACGCCTCCGACAGCAGCTGTGGCTCCAGTGACCATTGATCCCTACAGTCTTGGCTTCCTCAATCCGGGATTGAGGGTCCAGGAGCCGAAACCCAATCTGGCACAGCAGCCACAGGATCAGGACATGCTCTTCTACCACAACTTTGGCAGTCCAATCTTCATGCCGGGTACTGAGAACATTGAGCGTTTGGGAGGAGCACTTGTGGAGCCTCATCCTCTGCCAGTTCCCCTCATCGACGATGTAATTATTCCCCCCTTTAAACCCATTGATGCTTCGATGGGTACGGGTGAAAAGGTGCCCTTTAACTTGGACGCCAGCAATGAGAGATTCGAGCATTTGGGCGGAGGAGTCATTGCCAAGAAACCGCATGAGAAACTGGAGAAAAAGAAGCAGCCCCAAGTCGATGCAAAGGAACAGCAGATGAAATTGGCACAGGAAGTGAATCAAACACTGCTGGAGAAAAAGGATGCTCATGAAAAGAAAACAGATCTACTTGAGATTACTACAAAAAAAGAAATTAAGCAAACAAAAGTGGATGTCACCACACCAACCCCAAAGATTCCAACGAACAATCCGCCCAAGCCAACCAAAACACCATCATTACCTTCTCTAAAACCAACGGATAACTCGGTATTGGCCGATACCATAGGAGAGTTCTTCATGGAGCTACTTAACCTACCGAAAGAAGATAATCCTACTGCAATTAAAAAACCCACAGAAGATGCAATTGAATCCCGGATTGAACCTGAGGAAGAGGAGACCCCGAAGGCCCCCGCCACAAGCCACTCAAAACCGAACTTTTTGAACCTCAAGGAGATCATTCTCCAAAGGAATACACCTTCATCGATTTTATCTAACGAAACTTTAGAGGAGGATTCCACGTCAACGACAACACCAACCACTACATCAACTACAACAACGGAGGAACCGAGAACCACCAAGAGAAATCGCATTCGCACTACTACTGAAAAACCCACAATGATGGACGACTCCAACTTGTTTCCCTCCCATTCAAAGTGGGAGTTTGTGAATAGTTCCTCATCGAATGGATTTGGTCATAATTCAAACATGAGAAAGGTCTTTAATCAAACTCTGCAAGCTTGGGTGTCGGAGGATATTGACAAGTCAGAGAATCTAACTCTAAATGATATCAAGACAAGGATCAATAATGCTAGTAATATTCAGGATATTTCCCTCATCTTTGATACACTTGCTTCCAAGTTGGGCATTACCCCAAGTGTGCCCAACAAATTTCCGCCTTTTTCGCAAAATAAACTCAAACATGCCCCGAAGGAGGAAGTTAGGAGACCCATACCCACATCCACTACCACGGATCTGCCACTAGTTGTACCGGAAACTCTAAATCCCGTGGAGAGGGAGCCTTTTATCAAGCCCATGTCCAGTTTTCTGGAAGATGGCTCTTCAGAAGTTATAGGGGCAGCTATTCCCGTGATCGGTGAGGCGGAGGTGGAAGTCGTGGACCCACTGAACTACGAAGAGATGCTCAAGATCTCACAGTTCGCTGCCAGCACCACGGAGCCCAGTGTCCACCAACTGGTGACACTGCTTCCGGTGAGATCCAATTCCGGAATTCGAACATACAGACCACCAAGCGAAGCTGAGGAAACGCAGAGGAGTGCGAGTGGTGCTGTTCCTCTGGCAGCTCCTGTTGTTCCTGCCGTCGCTCCTGCTCCTCCTTCTTCTCCAGGAAAGATTAGCATACGGCGCAAGAGTAACCTCAACCAGAGCCGGAGATTCGGGCAACCTCCTGCAGAGGCGGTGGTCAAGGGCGGCATCCAGGTGACGGTCAAAAAGTGATTACAGAGTCGGCCAAATAGCTTCACCATGAGATTAGCGGAGATGCGACCAGTTCTAAATTAAAACCCCCCTATGATTTAGCCTAGACCCTTTATGCATGTTAGCTCTAAGTAGGGAATATAACTTTAGTTAGGTCGATCGTGAAGAATAACGAAATCTTGTTCGAAAATTGTTCGCCCAGCCACTTGGGAACAATTTTGGAATGACATACTCGGTGGTTTCTGCGACCGCCAGTCCTCAGTATTTAAGACAAACCACATCACTTTCATTGCCTAAGTTTCGCATATTAAGTATACGATCCTACGTTTTTCGAATATTTTTTTCAGTTCATTGCAATTCTAGCGATAATGTTAGCTATGAAGCGAAGTAGTTATGTAATCTTAAGCTTAATCTTTGAATAAATGTGAATAATTTATTATTAAAATTTGACTAGTTTCCTTGGTATTCTGAAGTTAAATAATTTCACTGCTTTCTTGCAGAGCGAAGTGTTATTTGGTTAACAAGAAAACAATTTTTAAAGGAGGTTTTTTATCATAGAGTACGGTTAATAGGTCTGAATAACTTTCTCTATGTTCGATCGACTAAAATAAATACTTTTATTTTTTAAATTACGCGGCACTACATTCTCATTTTTGCGCTAGGCCGGAGATTATCAGTATAATACCGCACAGTTCGACCTGGTCACACTTGAACCAAACATTGGAGGACTAGACAACGCATTGTTGTTGTTTCGTCGGTTGTGAATCAAAATAAGAACAAACAAGTGGCTCAACAAACTCAAAAGTAGCAATAAGTCCATAGTGATAAGAGGCATTAAGCCCGCTAATTACCTAAAAGTTCAAAAAGTGCGAAATGGGCTGTGCGGAAAGCAAGGATGGCGAGGGGGAGGCGCAAAACAATAGGCCTAAATACCGGTCCTGCACGGACACCTGCTGGCTGGCGATTTACATTATATTTTGGCTTTTCCTGGTGAGTAATCTCATAAATCTAGAGATATATAGAAATGTGTATCGGGAAAGTGAAAGTTAAGAGATCAATCTGCGCACTGCTTCTCTTTGTTACGATGTCTGTGTGAGCGGTTTTTGCGGGAGGAAAACGGCTACTGGTTACTTGAAAATGTCTCATTTCAGTGTCGTCATCGCTAGACACATGAGCGGAATTGTTAATTCAACTAATGAAAGCGATGATTTAACATCAGGTTTAGCACTAGCTAAGCTACACATGAATTTCCTATGAAACGAATCAATAACAGTTTTAAGGGTGTCCTCTAGGACACGCCACTCCTCGAAAGCATTTCCATGTCAAGTATTTGCATGGGTATGTCCGCCAAAGCGATTATAATAATAATGCCGCCATGACATGACATGCTGGTCGTGGGCGTTGGCAGCTTTACCTATGATCCATCCACTTTAATTCCCCTGCTTTCCATTTTTAGATTGTGATAGCCATCTTCTCGTTTGTTTACGGCAATCCCCTGAGGATCATCAATGGATATGATTCCTTTGGCAACACCTGTGGCGTCAAGCACAATGAAAAGTTCCAGGGATTTCCGCTTTCCGGCATGAATACTTTAGAAAAACCTGAGCTCTTCTACTTCGATGTCAAGGAGCTGAAAAAGTCTTTGAAAATATGCGTCAAGTCATGCCCCAGCAAAACTATGACGAAAGGTAGTGAACTGCTGGAATACTACAGCCAAACGGGCAGTCAGCTCTGCAAATATGACTACAATATGCAGCAACTGAGTACGGCGGGAAATAATGGCCAAACCTTTAATTTCCTGGGTCCCTGTCCCAGTTTACCCGTCCATGAGAGGTGTGTTAATGGTATCATGCAAATCAAATGCTAATTTCATATAAATTATTTTCTCAGTGCTCCTGTTCTTCATCGCTGCGTGCCGAAGGGCACTGGAGAGAAGGTGCAGGACTTCTACGACATGCTCAATAACTGGGATGTGGCCCAGCAGTTTGTTGGCGATATCTACTCTACCTGGCATATCATTGCCATGGTCTGTGGACTGGCTTTGCGTAAGAAAACTCTTATTTCATTTTTAATAGACTTCACAACAGCCTGTTTTTCTAGTCATTTCCATTGCTCTGGTGACCATGATGCACTGGCTATCGCGCATCGTCTCCTGGATCATCTGTGTCTTGGTTATCGTGGCCAGTATTGCCTTAACGGTGGCTCTTTGGTACGCCTACTATAATATAAAGTACAAATCTGGCATCAACACACAATACTCCCTGCTGGAGGAGTTTGTGCGCAATCAGCAGGCAGTCTTGACTCTAGCTGTCTTGGCCACCATAACTATGGTTAGTACATTCCGTAAATAGCTTAATAGTATATAATTATTGACACTATATTTGCAGGTTATCCTTATTGTGGTCATATACTTTTTGAAAAACAAATTGTCTGGACTGTCTGCCCTCTTTGAGGAAGCTGGACAGTGCATGATGAACCTGCCAGGACTTTTGATTGCCCCGCTTTTGGCTTTCCTTGTGCTTATAGCCTTCTTGAGCTTCTGGGTTGGCGTGGTCATCTGCTTGGCCACAGCCAGCTCTCCTGGCCAAAGTCCCATTGCTCCTTTCGACAACTCAAAAGCGCATCAGCAGCCATTGCCAACAAATGCCATATTTGTGCCAAATAACACCAACGCAAATGAATTGAGAAGTAAGTGTAATTATAATTTTAAAATACATAAAAACATTTCCTGCAGGAATTTCAAGGATTCTCAATTCGAAATAATCTAAATTTATGTATTTTTGTGGGGATTTTGTAACATGGTTTGGTGAATATGTAAGTGGTATTTGATAAGGACCCAGTTTTTTACTCCAATGTATATATTTCTGTGTCTTTTTATTATCTACTATTTGTACAATGATTCTAAATTTTTGTGGCAAATTCATAGCATATTTTAATAATTGTATATACAAAGATAAATAATTCATTTTTATATTCACAGAACTCGATTTCTAGAAAACTAATCTTATGGTTTCTTTATTTAGCCAACTCCCGTGTAGAATACGCCGATGCTGGAGCCCTTCGCAGCATGTTCTGGATTTATGTGGTCGGACTTATATGGACAGTGGAGTTTATTTTTGCTTGCCAGCAGTTTGCATTGGCCGCGGCTGTGGCTTTTTGGTACTTCCAAAAACCCACTACAACACCTACGATTTATGCCATTGGCAAACTAATTAAGTACCATTTGGGTACGGTGGCGAAGGGATCCTTTGTCATTACCATATTTAAGATTCCCCGCTTAATACTTACATATTTGTATGCCAAGTGAGTTGATTCAGTGCTTTCAAAATATTTCCTATTCTTAACTAATCAAACTTGACTTTTCAGATTGAAAAAAGGCGAGGACAAGGGATCGGAGTGCGCCGCCTGCTGCTTGAAATGCTGCATTTGTGGTTTCTGGCTACTGGAGAAGTTCATTCGCTTCTTAAACCACAATGCCTATACTGTGGTTGCTATTGAGTCCATAAACTTTTGTCCCGCTGCTGGCATTGTAAGTTTATCATCTGAAAACCATTGTATTCCTGATAGTTAAATAATATTTTACTTTCAAGGCTTGGAATGCCATGGCCACAAATGTTCTGCAAGTGGCCACCATCAACAGTGTGGGCGATTTTATCCTGTTCTTGGGAAAGGTTGTGGTGGCCGCACTCTCCGGCCTTATCGGTATCGTTTTGCTCAAAGACATGCCTGGTCTAAACTTCTACATGGCGCCTGTCATTATCATTATAATATTCTCCTTCTTTATTGCTCACATAATACTATCGCTGTTTGAGGTAAGTATTGAGGTTTATCCTGCTTTTTACAAAACTTACCCTATGAATCTTTTACAGATGGTTGTAGACACTTTGTTCCTTTGCGTATGCGAGGACAAAACCCTGAATGGCCGTGCTGGTCGGTGGGCGCAGAGCAATCTAGCCAAACTGGTGGGTGAGGAACCACTTCAACCCGGCGAGGAGCCGCCCATCGAGGTGGTTCAAATGATGCCCATCAACAAGCAGCCATTCAGTATTACTCGACTGCCACAGTCTGAATCCGAAGTGGCTCCCATGTCGCCAGAGTAGCTCTAAGAAGCAGCCAGATGCTTTCGCTTATGTATTCCAGCCCAGAACCCCCCGAAACTCAACGCACATCTCATTAGGATGTTAATATTTATATAATTACCATTTAACTCCGTCGCGACGTACAAAGCAGAAAAGTGGAACAAATAATAACTGGTAATCTTGTCTATTGATATATATTCAAACTTAGGATGCACAGTTTGTAAACGTATTTATAAAGTTTAATCGTTTTTGTATCTAAATGTAAAATCGAGGTGTTTAAACCTTTTTCACGCGTTTAATTGTTTTTGCCTTCTTTCTTTCGATCACTTCCTTAATTGCCTTCATCTGCTTTTCCTTGATCTTCTTGGTCAGCGCAGACTTGGGCGTTTGCTTGGCAGCTTCATCCTTCTTTTTCTTAGCTATCGCAGCTAGAATCTTAGCCGTCTCAATGGGGTCGTCATCCTCAAAGATTTCCTCATTGTCAACGCCATCGTACGCTCTGACAGGTCGAGTCGCCTCATGCTTAACCTTCTGTTCCACTCGGTTAACGTACTTGTCCTTCGCGGCCTTCCTGAGCATCTGCCTTTGTTTTGCCGGGCTTACATAGTCGGGATTCTCCCAGATAGTTTTGCCAGTGAAAGAACCATCAAAAATTTTCACTGGGTTCATCACATAACGGGGTCCCACCTCGGACAGACCACCATCCTCGGAGAGAATCTGGAAGTTCCTGAACCAGATGCGGTTGTCAAGGAACGTGAAGGTGTACACATGGTCCACAAAGGGCTGGCTCTTGGGATGGTGATTGGGAACCGAGTAGGTCTGGACGAAAAGTTCCTTAAGCAGCTTCAGGTGCGGCAGCTCGTCAAACTTGGAGTCAAAGGAGAGCAGAGGGCGTGATCCTCGCAAGCAGTTGCCAGTCATCTTTAGTTCGGCCATTGTGTGAATGTTTTCAATTAAGAATTTGGCTGAAGGACCAGTAGCTCCCGTAGTATTAGATATCCACATGTACAGATCCCGCTTCCTTCGACCTTCAAAGAGCATCGCCTTGTTGCAGTGCTTCATCTCACACATTTCATTGACTACCGAAAGAGTTTTGGAGCGCTCCATTTTTGATTCAGGACGGTGGTGGGGCATCAGTGTTTTGATATCCTTCATTAGATGCCGATCCCGGTGGCTTATACCACGGGCGGAGAAGACCAGCACGCGCTGCTTGTTTACCCACTTCTCCTGTAAATAGAACATGTTATAAATAAGAAACTCTGATTTTGTAGCAGCACCACTACTTGCCTTTTTCGGCACCACTTCATCTGAAGAGCGCTGCGGCGGCAGCGGTGGGTTTTCATCCATAGGTACGATCTCCAGCTGAGGAGCCGCCTTCTTTTTCTTATTCTGAAATTTGCGACCCATTTTAAGTTATTAAATTATTTAAAAAACAATGAAAAAGAAATGGAAAGGCAAAACAACGTGGAGCGCGAATGAAAACAACCAGGGTTGGCACGCGAGGCGAAGCCAGGGTGTCAACAGCACGTGCAACTGGGTATTGAATTGTAACATTTTCCAACATTGAATACCACACACTTACTATATACGTTATTTCAAACATTATTGAATTTTGAATTTATTTTTTATTTGAATATAGATCTTATTATTTTTAATATTATTAGTTGCTCCTAGCATTAAAGCATTCATTTTATTTCCAGGATGTAAAACTAAATATTCCTTAATCCTCCTCATCCTCGAACCCTGGCTCAGGACATAGGCGACACCTGCTCTCGTTTATGCCATAATTCATGCAGTGTTCACCCACGCACTCGCAGCAACCATCGTGAAACCATCTGTAGCTGGTGGCTCCTGTTTTCAGGCAGGTTTGGCGGCATCTGTTCCAGGATGTGCACTGATCCAAATACAAAACCGTGCAATTCAAGCCCGAATCGGGTTGGCCACCTGTTGAAAACGAGACCACGCTCCAATTGTACGTGTATCCATCGTTTGGCGAAGAAGACATGGCTCTGAACAAGGCTGACATTCCCTCGAATTCCTCGGTGTGCGATTTCCTTCTGAGTTCTGCCATGCTACCAAGCACCAATTGCCGAAACGGCAGTAGAAATACAATTAAAATAAGTAATTTCATGTTGACTTGTCAATTGTTACTGAAGCGTTGAGAGTGTGGGCAGATGGTTTTTAAATAGTTCAGGTAAAAATTTCAAGAAGCCAGGTAGGTGACGATTTACCAGCTGTCACCTAGGCATGTTATCTATTTTATCTTATTACCTAACTAAGCTGGATCCTTTTGGACCTCTACAATATAAATTTATGGTTATTAACATTACTTGAATTGGCAAAAACCTGGTGGAGTATACTGGCTGTAAGGTTTAACATTTATAAAGTTTTACAAACTTTTTGTTGTTAAGCATAATAATTTTTTTAAGTTGGCTGCTAAATTTTGTTTTTGTTTAAGTCAACACTTTATTTTTACAGCGTCACAAGACGGTCATACTTTTTTTCTGTATAAGTATACGCCATCAAAGCGGCAAAAACGGGAAATTGTTAAGTGCGAAAAATTGGAGCGGAAAAAAAAGAACAGCAGCAGAATCATGTCGGACTATCGATCCCAATCTCGCGGCGGTGGACGTGGCGGCCAGGAGTACTCCAACGATGATGATCCACCGATGTCGCGGCTCTTCATCATTTGCAACAAGGCGCACACAGAGGAGGATTTTCGCGAAGCATTCTCGCCGTACGGCGAAATCGAGGACATTTGGGTGGTCAAGGACAAGCACACGCAGGAGAACAAAGGCATCGCGTACGTCAAGTTCTCCAAGACATCTGATGCAGCCAAGGCGCAGGAGGAGATGAATGGCAAGACAATTGGCAAGATGGATCGCACTTTGAAAGTCCTGGTGGCAGCCAAGTAAGCATGCCCTACTAAAGTACTTGAAATATATTTCCTAATCTTTTTCCATTATGCAGCCGCAATCAGGGCTCTAACAAATCTGAGAATGAGCAGGAAAAGTACGTCAGACTGTTCATTGTGATTCCAAAAACAGCCACCGAGGAGGACATTCGCGAAGAATTTGCCCAGTGGGGTGAAGTGGAGTCGGTAACCATTGTCAAAGAGAAGAACAATGGCAATCCGAAAGGATTCGGATATGTCCGCTTTACGAAGTGCGTAGCAAATGCAGTATGCATAATCTGTAAAGCATAACTAACGTAATCTTTATTGGCAGGTTCTACCATGCAGCTGTTGCTTTCGAGAACTGCTCCGCCAAGTACAAAGCTGTCTTTGCTGAACCCAAAGGATCCACACGTACGCAGCGGGACCAGTACGGTCGACCCTCTGAGGAAAATCCTCTCTACAGCGGATCCAGCCGTGGCAACTCCAATTACAATGGAGGCAGTAACAGCGGTGGCGGCGGTAGCAGCTACAACAACGATTGGAATCTGTCGCAGAATAGCGACATGTCCGCCTTCCTGCGCATGCAGAACGTCCCAGTAGCCCAGCCATCGTGCCTTGAGGTCAATGTGAGCAACTGCGTTAACCAGGATCAACTGTGGAGACTTTTTGATATCATACCCGGCCTAGATTATTGCCAAATCACGAGAGAACGTAAGAAATACTGACAAATTAAAATTAAAATGTTTTAATATAGTATTTTTAATTTCTTATTAATTACTTTGCAGATGGTCCGCGCACCAATGAGGCCTTAGTTGTGTACGACAACCCCGAAGCTGCCATTTATGCCAAGTAATTATAGTCGTCAAAGGTTTATATTTAAATATTTAATAACATTTTCTTATAGGGACAAACTTCACGGCCTGGAATACCCAATGGGCGAACGCATTATTGTCAAGGTCAATGGCATGAGCTCGGCGCGAATGGACACATCATTTATAGACAGTACGCGAGTTAAAACTCTTAAGGGTTATAGGCCGCGCCATCACCTATAGCTATTTATTAAATATTTTTTGTTTCTTTTCCAAGATTTTCTGGGCTTTAAATGCATGCTTTATCTTGATGTACCATATTGTATCTTTAATTATGTGGTTTTATGTTTTAGAGCGCACCAAAAAGGATGCCATCTGTAACGTGCCTTTGCCGCCAACTCAGCCACTGGCCTCGCCCGACGCCCAGGTTGCCCAGCGTTTGTTCATCGTGCTCTCAGCGGTAGGTACCACTGTACTGTGACTAATCGCCATTAGTTATGAACCTTTCTTTTTATTATCCATTCAGAATTTGCCGCACTCCATATTAAAAAATATATTCTCCTGCTGGTCGGGTTTAATCGACGTCTACCTTCTGCCTAACAAGAACTGCGGCTACGTCAAGTACTCGGACAGTGATAGTGCTCAAATGGCCATTCACACTCTAAATGGTGCTGAAATATGCGGTACTAAGATAAAGGTAATGAACTTTTATTTTGCATTATACAGTCATTGACTTGTTTTGGTAAATCAATCCACAAATAGTAATTACAAAGTGACAATTCAGCTTCGAAAAAGTTTCAAGAATACATTTCAATACCATTACAGGTCATGGAAGCCGAGGAGCGCAGTGGATCCGATGGCGATGACGGTGGGCGCAAACGGCTAAGGCGGAATTGAGTGTAAGTACCTAGTGAAAAAAAACATCATCCCGCATCTATTAATGTAGCCATAGTGAGAAAGAGTGAGTGCCGTGGTCTGAGGTAAGTAGTTGTGCAAATTCCAAAACGAAACCTATTAACGAAACCTATTTAAATTACGCATTCGTTTAACGAAGACAGTTCTGTTCGACCAACCGTTTAGTACTTACCCCGTGCTCCGGTTGACTATCGACGATATTTATGCCCCGCCACTGAGCGCGAACGTAATAAGTCAAAACATTTTTATCTTTCTATCTCCACAGACCCACTGACAACCAAGAACTTACAGAGAACGCAATGTACGAGTACGTAACTAACTTGAGAATACAGTTCAACAGTTGTACTGACCACCACGCAACAACGCAACAACCAACCAATTACCAAACAACCACCACAACACTCAAAACGGAATGCCACAAGTACCACGAAGACTGGAGAACGCTGACCGGATACGGAAACGGCGAACGGGGACCGGAGACGGGTGAACAATTAGCCAACGTGTTCACCACACCCGTTGACTACTTTTATTGACCATAACTCAAGTAAGCTCTCGTACAGAGAGCACTCGTAGAAAGACCCTTACGACCTTAAAACGGAGCCAACGAAACCGCAATGCTTGCTATATACTATATACCTAATGTCGTATATATAAACAAACCGCTTAGGGGACTTTTGAATCTACCCGTAATACGGAAACGAACTCTATGAAACTTGTACTATTACTAACGTATTCCGACGAGATCCAGCAAAGCAATGAATTCTAACATTATGAATGTCTCAAGAGCAATGTCTCTGTCTCGTAACCTTACGATTTAGCCGTGCGTAAAAGATATTTCTTTTCAAATATATTAGATTTAACCGATACCTTATTGTATAAGTCTATAAATAAATATTAATCGAAAACCAAATCTTTGTGTATTTTATTATTAGTTGGCTTCTGCTAATAACTGATTAGCTGATTCTTATGGATTCTTGTTATACAAATACTATACAAAATGAATTATTTTTTTATGAATCCCAAACAAAATGTGGAAGAATATGCATATATTAAAACTCCTTAATTTTTGAATGGGTTTTTCTTCTAAAAGAAATTATTCCCAAAACTAACGAACCTGTTTCGAAGGGTATGAAAAGAACTAGTTCCAAAACAGTTCCCTAACAAATCGTCAGCTAGGTAGCCCTGGTAAATAATAGTTCCGCAGACAGCTGTGTTTGACATTGTTTAGATTTTGTACATTTTATTAATTGGATAAATAAGGTTTTAAATCACTTAAAAATATTAAAAAGAGCCAAAATGGATCCAGCACTGCTTCGCGAGCGCGAGGCCTTCAAAAAGCGGGCGATGGCCACGCCCACGTGAGTACCAGACCTTCGGTCTCTTCCTTGTTGATTGTTCCTTGAAAATAAAGAGATATCCTTTGAAATAGCGTTGAAAAGAAGTCTAAGCCCGACAGACCAGCTCCACCGCCGCCAAGCGATGAATCCAAGCGTAAAATGCGCCCACCAACGGCACCTAAGTTGGATGCCTCAACGTGAGTTGCTGGGGAGGATTTCCTTGATCCAGGATTGGTTAATACCCTTGTGGAACTCTTTAAACTCGTCTAGGTACAAAACTATGTCGGGAAGCTCACAATACCGGTTTGGAGTGCTGGCCAAGATTGTGAAATTCATGCGTACGCGACACCAGGATGGCGATGACCATCCTCTGAGCATTGAAGAGATTTTGGACGAAACCAATCAACTGGACATTGGTCAATCTGTGAAGAACGTTAGCTGCTGTGCTTATAATTTCCTTAGGATTGTACTATATAGTATTTCTTTATTTTAGTGGCTTGCTAGCGAGGCTTTGCACAATAATCCCAAGGTGGAAACCAGTCCATGTGGCACCAAGTTTAGTTTCAAGCCAGTTTACAAAATCAAGGATGGTAAAACATTGATGCGGCTGCTTAAACAGCATGATTTGAAGGGCCTGGGCGGCATTTTGCTAGATGACGTTCAAGAATCCCTGCCGCACTGCGAAAAAGTGCTGAAAAACAGAGCTGCCGAAATACTCTTTATTGTTAGACCTATTGATAAAAAGAAGATTTTATTCTACAACGACAGAACCGCAAACTTCTCGGTGAGCTCATATTATTGTCCTTTATATTAAAGTAAACTTGCCTTTAATAAAAATATTTTCTGTTAGGTGGACGAAGAATTCCAGAAGCTTTGGCGTTCAGCTACAGTCGATGCAATGGACGATGCCAAGATTGACGAGTACCTCGAGAAGCAGGGCATTCGCTCCATGCAAGATCATGGCCTCAAGAAACCCGTTCCCAAGCGTAAGAAGGCGGCAAACAAAAAGCGGCAGTTCAAGAAGCCCCGAGACAACGAGCATTTGGCTGACGTTCTGGAGACCTACGAGGATAACACACTAACGCTGAAAGGCGTAAATCCTACGTAGAATTGTAGTTCTTAAGTAGACAATAAAAATAACTCTCAATGGAAATAAGTACCCTAGAAAATCGGTGTTATAAATTTGATTTTTAACACACAATCTCATTGAGAAGTTCGCTTTTCTGTGGTCAAATAATCATTCGTGAAGATTTATGAAGCGAGATTGCCATTCTGCCAGTGGCTTTGCGTTTAAAAATACGACTACCAGTACAGGAAAAGATAATTAAAAAGCAAAACTATGTAATCTTGTCATGACATTCCCTACTGTTTCCCCTTTCCCTTTTTCACCGTCAGTGTGTTTGTGAGTTGGCCAGAATCGATGCTGGTGGGCCGATAAATTGGCAACAGAGGGAAGCCATAGCTTTAGTCTACATTGAACAGCAGCCAAGTTCAGTTGGGATCGATTTGAAATAACCTATATTTGCGAGGCGGTGGATTATTGTAAGTAATATTTTAAACTAGGATTTTGTCTGGGCTTAAGAAGCAAATTATGTAATCCTTGGTTTAAGGATTGGCAACCTCTCAAATATATACAGGCAGATATTGCAATACATAATTATATTTGTCCTCATAATTGAAGGAATAAGGTCAGTGGGTGCAGTAAATAAATATGTATTTTTCTATTAAACAGATTTGATAAGTTCCATGATTTGCATTCAAAAACTTCTGATAATGCATGTTTGAATTTATAAAGGCAAATAACAATTGCTACTCTTTCATAATAATGTTTAAACGTTTACCTAAGCTTTTCCTATTATGCTATATAATGCAAGAGGAAGAGTATTCCAAAGTGGACTTCGAAAAATCAAGTTCTTTGTTTACTTGTTTTGGCTCTTTGGAACGGGACAATGAGCTCTCCACTCGACGGCGAAAACTTGTTTTGAAATACTCAATTTTTTATTTAATTATAATTCCGAAAGCATTCGCCAGTTGGCTTTGAGAGTTTCTGTGCTGAGGTTGACGAAATGAAGCGGAGTGCATTAGCAGTGGCCCTGCTCCTGGCCCTGGTGTCTCAACTTTCGGCCCACAGCTCCGAGTAAGTTGTTAAAACTAAGTGGTATAGATGGTTAACACCTTGGATCACTCATTAACTTTCTCTTTAACCTGTTATCTCGATACAGTGACTTGGTTTACGGCTATGAATGCCGAAAAGGTATCTGCCAGAAGGTGGAGCTCGACGAGGAGAATTTTGCCAAGGCCATAAGCCTGCCAGTTTGCCGGCTCTTCTGCGGCAGCTCAATCGGCACCCTGTGGCCCAAACCCACGGGTACAGTGCGTCTGGACACGCTGATGCGCCAGGTGGACATCTCTTTTATTGACTTCAATGTCAACAGCACTGCCCGCCAGGAGAAATTGTGGCGAGCGGTTGAGAACCGCTTCATGGACATGCTAAACGCCCAGATTCCAGATCGCAGAATCCTCGCCCGAGGCGGCTATCGCTTGTCCGTTAACATCAACACACCGGAGGAGCCTGTCCCGGCCAAACTTACTCTGGAAACGGATGAGAGCTACAGCCTGGATATTGATACGGATGCCTCGGGACATGTGCTGGCCAACATCACTGCGGCCAATTTCTTTGGAGCCCGTCACGGTCTGGAGACCCTGGCCCAACTGGTTGTCTACGATGACATCCGCCGCGAAGTCCAGGTGACTGCTAATGCCACCATCACTGATGCTCCGATTTACAAGTGGCGTGGATTGCTACTGGACACCTCCCGTAACTTCTACTCCGTGAAGTCCATTAAGAGAACGTTGGGTAAGGCATAGGTTACGGTAGATGCGATTCGTTAGAGATCCCTTTTCAGGAATTTAATTCCTTTCCTTTTTCTCCCTTAGAGGGCATGGCCCTGGTCAAGCTGAACACCTTCCACTGGCACATCACGGACTCCCACAGCTTCCCTCTGGAGGTGCAAAAGCGCCCCGAGCTTCACAAACTGGGCGCCTACTCCCAACGCCAGGTTTACACCCGTAGGGATGTGGCCGATGTTGTGGAGTTCGGCCGCGTGCGAGGAATCCGAGTGATGCCGGAATTTGACGCCCCTGCCCATGTGGGTGAGGGCTGGCAGCACAAGAACATGACCGCCTGCTTCAATGCCCAGCCATGGAAGGCCTTCTGTGTGGAGCCGCCTTGCGGACAGCTGGACCCCACTGTAAACGAGATGTACGATGTCCTGGAGGACATCTACGGCACCATGTACGAGCAGTTCAACCCGGATGTCTTTCACATGGGCGGCGACGAGGTGTCCACCAGTTGCTGGAACAGCAGCAAGCCCATCCAGAAGTGGATGAAGAAGAAGGGCTGGGGTCTGGAGACCGCCGACTTTATGCGCCTGTGGGGACACTTCCAGACGGAGGCTCTCGGTCGAGTGGACAAGGTGGCCAATGGCTCGCACACCCCCATCATCCTGTGGACCAGTGGACTCACCGAAGAGCCCTTCATCGATGAGTATCTAAATCCGGAGCGTTACATCATTCAGATCTGGACCACTGGCGCTGATCCCAAGGTTAAGAAGATCCTGGAGCGAGGCTACAAGATCATTGTATCCAACTATGATGCCTTGTACCTGGATTGCGGAGGAGCTGGCTGGGTGACTGATGGCAACAACTGGTGCTCTCCCTACATCGGCTGGCAGAAGGTGTACGACAATAGTTTGAAATCCATTGCCGGCGACTACGAGCACCATGTTTTGGGCGCCGAGGGAGCCATTTGGTCGGAGCAGATCGACGAGCACACTCTGGATAATCGCTTTTGGCCCAGGGCAAGTGCTTTGGCCGAGCGACTGTGGTCAGATCCTGCCGAGGGTTGGCGCCAGGCCGAGTCTCGCCTGCTGCTCCATCGCCAGCGGCTAGTCGAGAACGGACTGGGTGCTGAAGCCATGCAGCCTCAGTGGTGCCTGCAAAATGAGAACGAGTGTCCCATTGACGCGTACGATGCACAAGCTTGATTTGTGATTAAGTCTTAACGGTCGCTATCCTTGTAGATGTAGTCAGGGCGGCGGGCAGCTTTGGATGATCGTTTTCTTCCAACTCACAACGCTCTCCGCCTGAAAATAAATCACAGCTTAAAGGTGGCCTTTACGCAAGTGACTTGTCGTTTATTATGTTTAGTATAAATGAGATTATTAGCCCCACTCTGCTATCTATTTCGATTCATAATGGCAAAATCAGAAAACTTCATCAGTTCCGATTCCTTTGAATCTTACTCGAAACAGAGGTGTACGAGTTATGCCTAAAAATGGGGTGAGGCTTTTGGTGGTGATGGTACATAGTGCCTCCGGCAAAAACTCCTTGGACTCCTGAATATGTACGTATGAGTCTAGATACTAAAAGCAGCGTTCCCTTGTGCATCGTTTTGGATAAAAGTTCTACTCGTTCCACTCCTCTTCATTGCGGCCGAACTTGTAGATAAAACTGGCGAACAAAATGAAGACGTTCTGCATCAGCAGGGCTACTCCAAACCAGCCATCTTTCTTTTCTGTGGGGTAGGAATAAGAGTTATTAACTTATTCAAAAACAGGACGTGGGAAATCCCTTACCATTGTTGATGAAATCGTCAATCATCACCCAAATAGCGGCAATGATGGAGGCAAAGCCCATGAGGAAGCCCACTAGCAGCCAGATCTTGGCTATCCTGGCTCCCGATTCCGAAGAGTTCTCCTCCGAAATCTACGCACCAAAAACAAAAGGAGTGAGTCATTTGTTAAGACATTTGAATGTCGATTGCCTCTTACATGTTCTCCCTTGACCATGTTCACCATGCAAAAGCTGATGGTGCCGAAGATGCCGATAAAGACATGTCCTGTGGTAATTTGGTGTTTTCCATCGATGGACATGGCATCGATTAGGACCCACCATCCTGCGAAAAACTGAGAAAAATTTTTGCAGTCAGGTGGGCGACTTGTGTCAGGCTGCGCATTCTTACCAGCAGACCAGCTATTATTGAGGAGTTCTTGTTCCTTGACGCGTCCCCCGTGAAAAAATTCCTAACATTGTCCAAAACGCCCATTGTTTAGCTTTTTAAACGTAATTTAATTTATTCTACTCTGTTCTTCTTGTTTTGACGCACAGGGTTGCCAGGCTGTCGAAAGTTTAATAGAGATGGGAAACAGATTAGTTGTTATAGGAATCGTCGGCCCTTTCAATGGTTTCACCTTTTTTACCGATTCCGTATCTACGAAAACATCGAATAGTAATCGTAATTTCTTCCATCCCTAGTTCACGTTCAACGAGATTTTAATTGAAATTTCTTATTATTTAACAGCCGATCGCAGCGACACGAGTGAGTGCGTGTGGTCAGTGATTAAATAGAAATCGAGAAGGACTCGCCGCCAAAATGCTAGTCATCAATACTTGTAGACTTGCCTCCAGATTGGCACTCCGCAGCCTCAACTTTGGATCGCCGATCGCAACGCGGACTTTCTCGACGGGATTGGCCCTGAAAACAAAAGATGTGTAAGTAGCCCACACTTTACAGTGGTAATATCACACCCCAGAGCAATATCAACATTGACCAATACATGTTTGCAGTGTTAACATAACCTTCGTGCGTGCCAACGGGGACAAGATCAAGACGTCTGGGAAAGTGGGCGATTCCCTGCTGGACGTGGTGGTCAACAATAATGTGGACTTGGATGGATTTGGAGCCTGTGAGGGCACCCTTACCTGCTCTACCTGCCACTTGATCTTCAAGACCAGCGACTTCGAGAAACTGCCGGACAAACCCGGCGACGAGGAGCTAGACATGCTGGATTTGGCCTACGAACTGACGGACACTTCGCGGTTAGGCTGTCAAATTACCCTTTCCAAGGATATGGAAGGTCTGGAGGTCCATGTGCCCTCCACCATCAATGACGCCCGTGCCGCGTAGATAGACTCCAACCACTGTTATGTTTTGTTGCAATTTTGAGTGCTAATTCGCTTTAGTTCAACCTAGATGTAGTCAATATTTTTGAATGAATTCGTATGTATTGTCCCAGGGACAAGAAGCTCAGACGGCTATTATAGATGCGTGCATAAATCCGATTCCAGATGCGGCTTTACCTCGCGCTGTTGTTTTTAAAGTGTTTAAGCTCAAAGGGATTAGATGAATATGTAAATATGTGTTCCCAATAAATTTACATGTATTTTCTTAACACTCTTTTGTATTTCTTCAAGTGGCAACAAGTAATATCTAACTTCCTACCATTTAGAATTCGCAATCATTCCTTTTCGAATTATTAATAGAAAAATTCTTACTTTTTTTTTTTTTTTTTATAGTGCCTATATTGTCATTTTCTGTGTAAAGAGTCACAATGATTTCACACTTCTTCATGGTAAATAAACGAGGCAAATATCAAGTTTTCCTCGCATCATAATGATAATGCAGTTTTCGATAGCAAACCAAAAGAGTGTAGTATACTTTTAATCCAAACTTAATAAAATATTGAAAGTTTAGACTTTTAATCATTACTAAACAAATATATAGAGCTTTATCTGTGCAGAAAGAATGAAAAACATTTATAAACAACTTCGACAACAGAGGATATTAGGCATATTCACTGTTTTGGCCAAACTCTTTATATTTTCACCCGTCACGGCCAAAACAAAAGCTTATCAAAACCGCCAACCAAACATTTCATCACCTTGATAAAGGTTGCATTTGCTTTGTCTACTTTTCCTTATCAGGAAGGGGGCTGCCTTGTCCGATTAGAATCATTATCAAAACCACTAAAAACACTGGGTGGTTAATAAAAGTAAACTTTTTATTATTTCGCAGCTATCAAATAAAGTAATAAATAAATAATTTAATATATACATTTGCTATATTAACTTATTGTAAACGATTTTCTGCTTTTCCATGTTGCCGCTACTTTACTTCGTAATTTTTTTTCGTTATTAACTTGCATATTGTAACATTCAAGGCGTATCTGTCCGATCAGATGGCCCTAAATCCTTTGTAGGTATAACTGAAACTTAACAAGTCTGACAATTCAATTTCGCTTCGTCTAAAACTAGGGAAACATATATAGAAGAAAGGGCGTGGTGGTAAAAGAGGAAACCATTCGAAAGTTGGGGGGGAGTTGGGGTCTCAATAAATAACCAAAGAATAAATAGTGAAGATAGGATAGGGTGCCTATGAAAAGATTGCTGATGAGGAATGGGAATGAGTGTCTCTGAAGTGCACATAAAACTGATTTGGTTTTCTGTTCACGCCGATCGTCGTCGCTGATGATGGTGAATCCCTTGAAGACTCCCTTGGGACTCCTTCGATTCCAGATTAGTTCACATAGGCCATGCCCGCTCCCTTGCGATCGAAGTGACGCACACGGACGAAGAGGAAGGCGGCGACTAGAGAGGCGACGGCCAGGACAAGGAGCAGCATCACCAATCCACCCACGAAACTGGGCACCGACATGCAGATGGTCTCCGCATCCGCGGAGCGTGCTGATTGGATCACCACCGTCTCGTTGCTGGCATTGCTGTTCAGAGCAAAGTTCACATCTCCCGGAGCCACCACCTGGATGATCCGGCTGGTGTTCACGTCAGTCATCTCCTGCGCATTCCGCTTGTAGATCCTCTGCGGCTTCATCACAATGTCCATGGTGTCCCTGCGCCTGCGCACGCCGCGCAGATCATCCAATCCCTCCACGGAGCGAGGTCGTCCTCCGAGTGAGACCAGGTTGCCGCCGGCACTCAGGTCATCCTTGCGCTTCACTGTGCTGTACTGGCCGCCCTGACCCGGCAGTGGTGGCGGTGGCAGGCCCAACTCGTTGCTGCCCGACTGCGGCTGCGGCGACTGGGAGCTGGAGGGTCCGGAAACGGATCCCGAATCGGCGGTGGGCACTGCCGCCGAGGTCTGCGCCTGGGGCGAGGGCACCACATCCGGCTGGTTCTCCGAGTAGGCGCCCGTGGCATCCGAGGCGGGGTGACGCGGATCAGGATAGGCGGCCGGCGGCAGGACTCCGGGACCTCCCAGGGCGAAGTCGTTCCTCTCGTAGGCCTCCGGCGGGCCGTACTCCTCGGACAGGCCGTTGCCGCCGATCTGGGGCAGACCGTACTCGCCACCCGGCAGTCCGGGTCCGCACTTGGGCTCGGGGCAGTTGTAGCGACAGACTTGGATCACACACTGGAAGTGGACGTTCATCGAGTCGGGGAACTTGAAGGCCTGGAAGTAGGCGAAGCTGACCACCGATGCGGAGGGACCGAAGTTCTTGATCTTCTGGAACTTGCTCATGATCTTCGGCCGGACGACGCAGCCGTTCTGGTCCACCAGCTGGATGGGCGCCCTCTTGCCGTCGTGAGCCACGCAATTGCGCACCAGCATGTCGAACTTGTTCTCATCATCCTTGATGGCCAACACCATGGTCATGGTCTGACCAATCTTCACAATGCCGGAGACCTCGGAGGCCCAGGGTCCCTTGCCCACTTGGATTTGCATCCAGCACTGCAGGTTGTCGCCCAGGAAGTTGGCGGTCACCGCATGCAACATGTCCACCTGGAAGGGCCTGAAGGTCACCGCCTTCTCGTAGAAATCGTACCAGGTGCAGCGGAGCTTGCGAGCCTGATCCCACACCTCCTGCACGTAGGGATCGTACTGGATGATGATCGTGTTCTCCACATAGCTGCCCGATGGCGTCGGTGCTCCGTAGCCGGCGGCATTGTGGTTGGCCGAGCTGGTCATGCCGCAGCTGTTCAGGAAGATCTCGAAGGTGGCGCTCAGGTGGCCGGTGCCCGGCTTCAGGTGCACACAGTGCGGATCGCTGTAGAAGCCCTTGGAGAAGATCATGCCGTAGAAGGGTCGATCGAACTCGATGTTCACCCGCATGTGGGTCTTCTCGCACTGCACCTGCAGGTGCTTGATCTGCGGACTGTCGTTGGTGCTGGCCAGGGGCCAGGCCTCCTCCGACACGTCGTTGGTCGCTCCGGTGCTCAAGGGACCCTGGGGCGCTCCGTAAATGGGCGCCGGCGGACCGTAGCCGGCCCTGTGTTCGAGGGGCAGGGCGGCGGACTCAATGTGCGAGGCATCGCCATGGACCGACAGGTGCTGTCAAGGAAAGAGAATATTTATAAAAATGGTTTAAAAACAATTATAAGATCTATCCAATTTAAGAACCAATCTGACAACAGTGCGTATGAATGATGTTCCTTTGACCCAAACCAATATAACGTATTCGACGTGTTGGACGTTCATTTCAAATACTCTTGATCAATTTGGCTAGAGAAATCATATGAAATCTATATTTTTCGGCTAGATTAATTAATATAAATCAATATAAATAATCAATAAAATCTATATTTTTCTAAAAAAAACAGTAATGTTGAAATGGAAAGCTAATTCAGTGCCTAATATTTTTTTATTTCATTTCTTAATAGTTGATTTTCCTAGATCTTCGTGGGCTTTCATATTTCATCAAAACAATGTCAACACATCACGCGCATCATAAATGTTTCCATTACAAAGTTATGGCTCAGATCACAGGATTGCGGAAAGCTCTCGTTTTGGGGTTATCTTATTCCGTCATATAATTGGATTTGGGTTATGCAATCCGAAATCACTCTCGACGACATTTGGAAAGAAGAGAGACGAAGCGTTGAAAATTACACGACAGCTGGAGCATTTTGAAATTAAATGGTTGACAGAGCGGCACGCTTACCAAAAAATAGAGAAAAAAACGGAGCTTAACCCATTGCGTAAGAAAGCGGGGAAAGAGCCACGCCCCCGTCGCCCCCCGCAGGGCTTTGTCACTTTCTTTCTCTCGCTGGGATTTGCTGGGGCTTCGCATCTGGTTCATAATTTTATGGGCTCTTTGCTGCACACGGGAAGCGGATGTATATAGTATCTGAAAGGCCGGCGGGGGCCCCACGAAAACCGAAAGTTAAATCCAGCACGATGACGGTGTGGATTTTTCTGTGGGTTGCTTTTTTTGTGTTTATTTACTTATTTATTAGTTTTGTGGCTTTCGGTGGCTGGAGACCACGCGCTGAGATGTCGTGAGATGATTTTGAAAGTGAAATGACCAAAGGAAAACGAGCTGCTGGCCAACAAAAGAAACAACCTATCGAAAAGACAGCGTCTGTAGTCTTTTCTTTTGGACATTCCACGCACTTGGCAATGGAGATATCAATATGAACACTACGATCGATCGATCGATCGAGCGATCGCCGCGATGGCATTGGTAATTTTTCTTCTCTCTTTTTTTTTCGATCGACGCTTTGGAGAAAGAAAACTAACAATAAATAAATAATAAAGCAATCTCTGTGAATTAATGCGCCATAAACAAGAAAGTCAAAACTGGTACAAATCAGAGCATAACTGCAATTTCTTCGCCGCCTCAGCACCCAGACACGCAGTTGCTAAGTTGGACTCCATCGGCTGGCCATCCAACTATCCAACTATCCAACAATCCACTATCCACCATCCAACTGGGCAACAGTTTCTTCGGCCAGTTTTGCGTTTTCCTTGACGTGATTGCATCGGCTAAACGCTGCAGAGTATGTGTTTTCCATCGGCCTCGAGTGATTGATGCGCTTTAAATAACCCACTGAAGGCTGGATTTTTCAAGGGGAGAAAAACAGTTTGTCTTGGCCATGCTTATCAATCGAAAGCGTGAGCCGGCCTTAAGAAACCGACCAAATTTATGGCCTTTTCCAATATTGATTGACAGACCGAATAAAAGGGGTATTTAAAAGTGAACGCCTACCATTAAAATTAAGAGATATTTTATTAAATTGTTTGCTATTCTATTTGCTTCTCAATAAAGTCTCCCCTCTTTTTTTCGAGGTTATTAATTAATATCGTAAATTAATACAATAAAATATTATATTATTGTCTGTCACTGATTATAAGACTTTTTAAATATTTGTATACCCCTAATACCAATCTTAAATCGGTGCCAAGAGGCTACAAAATCATAAGTATATTAAACATATATATTCTCTTCCACATCTCCGCCTCTCCGCCTTTCCTCTCTCGCAGCCAATTTTCCAACTCTAATTGCAATGATTAGCAAAGTGCCGTTTAGTTGCTACATTTTCCTCCATTCTCACTGGCGGACTCTCTCGATCCGGCATTGATATTGATCCGCCAGCAATCCGCTATAGTCTTCGGACTTCCCAACCGACAGGCAATACATCAATAGGCAACACTCGCTGTGATTTGCATTCGAATCGCTATTGATCGAACGGTAGTCTACTATATCTTCGAGTCGAAAGTGAAGAGATCCGCTACAGGTTGGGTCCGCATACGAAATGAGCTGCTGCTGCAAAGTGGGCCACTCCGCAGATCTTCTAACTGTTTGCTTCCTAATTGAAATGCCCACACCTTCCTTATACCCTATATAGTACCCTATAATACCCTATAATACCCTATAATACCCTACAATACCTTATACGCCCACCAACTCACCTTTGTGCTGAGTACCAGGCATAAAACCATGGCCATTAGGCTGCTGCGTCGCGTCAGGTGTCCCATTTTTTGAGTTCTGGGCTCTGTGTGTGTGTTTGGCTTTGAATTTTCAAATTCCCAATTGACGCCCTGGAAACCAAAAATGTGGATTTTTGGATTTCGCTACTCGGCCTCGCTCTGCGGCTTTCTTCTCGACTGCTGCTGCTGCTTCTGCTTCTGCTGCTGCTGGTGTGTTATTTTTGTTTTGAGTTTCAGTTCGGTGTCTGCAAGAAAAGAAAGGGGAACAAGGGTAAACAATGCGGCGGATTTGCATACGAATATATATAGTTTTGAGGCCATCCAGGCCGTAGAGGCTGTAAACGCGCTGTTATTAGCTGTTACTTGTTAGTTGTTTGTTGTTAGCCCGTTAAACAAAACACTGTTATCCAAAAAACTCCACTTTTATCTCTCACTCATTATTAATAAATGCCCGAGCAAAATCACCCTGCTCGGCACACACAGATTAAACTTTATGGCGGTCATTAAGCAGGCAAATTAATAGCCACAATTGCCCGTTTTCAGGCTCATAGTGTCAGTTAGTACACGCGGTGTAAGCAGCAGTGAAAGAAAAAAGAAGACGCGGACAACTGCATTTTATGTAAAGCAAATGAAAACTCGCGCGCACCAAACAGGAACCACTTTCTATTTTCACTATAACAGTACTCCGCAAGACAACTTCAGCTACAGCTATAGCTTCTTCTTCTTCTTCTTCTTTTTCTTCTTCTTTGAAACCGAATCCAAATCCGAATCCGAATCCGAGTCCAAAACGCCAACGCAGCGTCGGCTTTTCCACACAGTGGCTGCACTTTACGAGCAACCATTAATTTTTCGACTGTTGTTTTCCCAGCTATTTTTCTGTTAGTGGATGGAGGGGGAGGGAGGAGGAGGGGGTAGGGGGGTATGGGGGTCTTACGTTTAACAGTCGCACTCTAGCATGACTTGGCCATCGAGCTAACAGTGGCCCAAAGTCTTGGCGGCCTGGCTAACAGAGCTAGAGTATTTTTTTGGGGAGTGCAGACTGCGGACTGCGACGGTGCGCCTGCGTTCGAGTGCCGATAAAGACTGAGGACTGGAAGACTCGCAGACGCGAAGACTGCAAGACCGAAGACTGACAGCTTTCACACAGCCACCAACCGCTAGCCGCCAACCGTCGGAGCGGTGGAAAAGTAAGCGGCTTCGAAGAGTTTGCTTCTTCGGCTTCTCAGCCGCGAACGCATTTCACTTGCTGCTCTCCCGCTTCTTTTTTTTGGCTCCGACTTGGTGTCTTGGGCTGGCAGTTTTACTTTTACACATGCTGGATGGCGTTTCAGAGCCCAAGTCTTCTTCCAAACAAAAAAACAGAAAAAAAAGCAACACATGTAAATGGGTTTTTAACAAGCCGCGGCCATAAAGTCCGAGGAGGAGCCGAGGAAACCGGCTTGCTGGCGTTGAGCAAGTGTACTATTAACCCACTGAAACAGTAACGGATACTACTAAACTTGCTGCTGATTGTTTTTTTTTTTTTTGTGTTTTTCTTACTTTTCGGCAGAAGAGAGTGGTGGGGGGTGGGGAACTCTAGCTGTGACCCTACAGCTGATTCTATTATGCAATCATGGATTTCTCTCACCCCGTCAGCATGACCTTCTGTATTTAATATACACTGCAATACCATTTGTTGAAATGGTAAAACTAAAGGGGAAGTTAGCACCTTTAAAGCTAAGTTAAAATTTTATAAATATCATTAATTATTTAAATTAATAAAAATATTTAAATTAAAGTTTTATCTTGTTTATATTCCCTTCTATATTTTATGAGTTCTAATATAATGCTGCTATGCATTATTTATTATCTTAGGTCAGTGAATCTATATTAAGCATTCTCTGTAATGCCACGTGAAAATCACAAAATTAGCAACATATTATTACTTCTTTGTTTTTTAGGGGGCTCTTCCCACTTCAACCACAACGGTGGTTCATCATTTATCTGAGTGGCTATTTTATTTGATTTTCTCGGCCACTTTCTTCCCTAGGAAATGGCCAGAGATTTGCATATAAAACTAGAAATCTTTGGCAATTAGCAAAAGGCGGCGAAATTTGGTTGGCGTTTGGCGTTTTTTTTTTCTTCTGCTAATTGCTGGCACCCAAACAAATTTCTTATCAAGCGACTTCAATCGCCAACAAAAGAAGACAACAAATTTTTCCTCCTCAGCAGCTGATGGAGCTTGTTTAATGCTCAATTGTTGCTGCTGTTGCTGCTGTTGTTATGTGTAACTGCCAAATGGAATTGTTTATTGTGGCTGTTTGGCAAGTGAAAGTTTTCACCGCCTTCTCGCGTGTCTCCCTCCCCTTCTTTCTGGGTCTCGAGCCCGCTTCTTACAGATGCCGCATATAAGGGCATACCATATTTATTTCTCTACTTCTTCATCTTCTTCTTCTTCCACTCTTTTTCCCTGTTTTGTTTTCTTTTTTAATTAGCACTATAAAATTATTTGCTCACATATCGCAGGCGAAAGGTGCAACTGGAGACTTTTGTTTTCAGCTAATTAGTTTACGATCTGGGTTCAGCATTTTTCATTTCATTTCTTCGACGGCGCGCACTCATATATTTATAGTATCGGTGCATTGAATCATGTGAAAATGGCTGGCAAGTGAAAATGCAATGAAAAGTCGTCGTCGGATGGCTGACGACTGGTGGCGATGTCTCCGATTGATTGAATGACAATGCGTGACGCTGGCCAGGCCGTAAGATATATGGTAACTGGTCCATCGCAAACTAGGTGAACCACCACTGCACTCACATAACTCGCGGTTCGATCGTTCTAATTCTCGGTAATTTACGTGGCTTACATTTCGGGCCCCCCGAAGCCGGATATCGATACGAATCGGACATCTCAATGGCTGTCCAGGATTCGATTTGAATAGCCGGCATTAGTGCACGACATTTCCTGCAAATCAAACCCAAAACAAAGAACCGAGCAGTGCAATTTCACAAATCATAGGCCATTTTTCACACATTTTCAGCCCCACGGGACGCTCTAATTCGATAATAACTCTCATCGGCAGCCTGATCTATATTTCTTCTCCTTAATTTCCATGTAGGGCATGCGGCCTCGCATCGATTGATATCGGTTGTCAATTAAAAGAAAACGAAATTGCATTTAATGCCACGGCCGGGTAATTATTTATCAGCACTCGCGTTGCATTTATTTTTTGGCTTTGGCATTTGCCAAAACGGCTGCTTGGAGTCCATTAATTTAATTGAACGCTTTCACAAATCCCCCGTCGAAACTAAAACTCTGCACACTTTTTTCGTTCGTTTTCATTCATCTTTGGAGCCTTGCAGCCCCGGGGGGCATGGCTTTTATAAATACGTTTCTATATGTCTTCATAAACGTCTTGGATATTTGCTTAATTGAGTAGCTGACAAATTTGTCGCTCTTGACATGGGATAGCTGATCTTAAGATGGAATGGGTCTTCGAAAATCTTCTGTGGATTGACAAAGTTGCGGTCGCAGCCGCAAACACTTTTTTGGTTAACAAAACAGAACTTGGAATGGAGTTTTATGCGTTGGAATGTTTTTGTTGTTTGTCGATCGACTCCAAGTGGCGGTTGTTCCTCGGTAAAAGTTTCACTGCCATTGCAGATGCTGTGGGGCTACTTTTAATACACCGAAAACAATTACATCCATTATAAGTGTAATGCTCATGGATACCGGTTATTTTCAGCTATTTAAGCGCACATTATTTATGATATTGAGTTCTGTTTTGCCATAGAAACATGTTATATTTCACATTAAGATAAGATGATAAAATATATGACAGTCTGCAAAGCGATCGTGTGCAGAAAGTGAATATGAATTGTTATTAATAAAAGTACTTGACATCATTCCATTAAAAGATAGCAATTATTTCCATATTTAAAAGCAGAGATATATGTACGAATTTTAAAATAGTTTTTTTAATGCTACATTTCGTTTTGTTACAGTGCAGCATTTGGAAATTGTAACGGTAAGACCAGCGTTTCCACTCAATTTGATGTCATTTGCGGTGGCCGTGGCTTTTGTGGCCGTAAACGATCGATATTATTTGCCATAGTGGCACAGAAATCGAAGTCGGCCCCCGGCCTGTACTCCACCCCAGATAACCCCCGCCGATCGGCCGCCGGATCATGCGTAATTAACTACACATGTCGATATCACGAGCTTCGGATGCTGTGAAAGTGAAATTCGTTGGCACAGTCGTTGGATCAACAACAATGGAGAAATAGTGTGGGGCAGAAAAAGCGCAAAAATGTTAACAGCCGTCGAGGGTTTTTTCTTGTAAAAGGGGCAATTTACTTTCGTTCGTGTGTGTGCCTCGGTTAACTGGGTTTTTTTTTATGGCTATTAAGTAACTTCTTTCTTACAGATAAACAGATGGCAGCACAGGGTAAACCGATTAGCTCTGAAGCGTGCTCGAATGTTGAAAGAGGCCTCTGCTGATGAAATACCCATGTGTTTCTCCACCAATTTAATTTTCTTCCTATGACTTTTTAATTTGCATCGGTAACTGTTTCAGTTAGTGGTTCGTAAGCTTAATGGTATGATTAAATCGGTTCGGGGCAGTTTGGCCATACGTTTAATGGGGGTTATCATATTTGGTAATCATCGTAATCGTAGAGTGTGCCCTTATATATGTACATTTTAAAATGAAAACAGCAAAGTGCAGTTGTAAAAATCTCATAAATATTTGTAGTATATTTTTATGTTTTTGAACTATTATAGTAGAAGCAAAAGTTTTTCAAAAAAAAGCTGGCAAAAAAACAAAAGACTTAGGCAACGAACTCGAAGCCCGAGGAACCCGCAGTATTTCCACAATTTATGTCCGGGCAATAGATAAGCCGAGTCGCAACGCCCGGACATTATGTAAAATAGAGCAAACAATTAATTTTCTTTGCTCCAGTTTGGCGACAAGGCGACAATTAACCAATGCGATAAGGCAAAGGCGCCCGCAGACTTGCCCCAGGTGCTGTCTGAGTGGCAAATGAAAGTAAATTGTGGCAGCCGCAACTCCCCTTTTCCCGCCTCCATCTCCCTCTCCCTCTCTCCCTCTCTCTCACTCTTCGATGGCATTCCATTCACTTGGTTGCTGTTGGGAAATTTCCTTGCCTCGCATGTGCGTACAAAAATGATAACGCAATTTATCGCAAAATAGGGAAAGTGAAATTAGAAATGGGCCTCGCGAGCAATTTGCATACTGATCTGGCACGCTGCGGGTTGAAGGCCAGAAAGGAAGGTATGGGGGGTGTGAAAAATGCTAATTGAGGAAATTGCAATCATGGCAAAGGAAACGAAAAAATGCTGGCGTCAACGGCATTTTTTGAAAATTGCTATTGAATGTGTTTATGATTTTTTTTTCGTTTTAAATGGAAATTTGGTATGCAGACTTTTAGGCAATCAAAAAGTGACTCAGCAAATTTGAGTGTTCTTAAAACAAAATATTTTTCAAGTTTTTAAAAATGTAACCCTCATAAAAACCCACAAATATGTAATGAAAACGAATTATTTCACTCAACATTTTTCCCATTTTTCAGTCAACCATAACCTTACACTTTTGCCAAAAAAAGCCTAAAGTTGTCAAGAGTCCCGTTAGCTGCTACCCGTTTCCGTTATCTGACTGACCGTTATAGTAAGTCACCCCTTGCTGATCATTAGTGGAATGCCGTTAGCCAGGATCCGAGATGCAGATACAGATAACAAAAAGAAACAAGACAATTAACATAATTCACAAAAGCCCATAAGTATTCCCCTCCCCATTTTGGGGTTCCTTTTGTTGGCCATTTTTACTTTCCATTTCTTTTAACGGTAATCGCGAAATCCGCTACAAAATAAAACGACTCCAATTGCAAAAAAGGGGGCGTGGCGGGAAGGGGACTGGGATTTTGGATCGGATGCCATTGAATGGGCAGAACCGGTTACCGTTATTGCCATTGCCAACCCAACGAAAGTAAAAACTCAAGGGCTTGCACTTTCTGCCCAAGTTGTCCGGTCCACTTCGATTCAGCGACGATCGGTGAAAGAACGGCGGAGGTGAAAGAAGATGGAGGGTGAAAGAAAGCAAAAAGCGACAAGGTGATCAACGGAGAAAGGGGCGGGGAGCAGGGGGCAGGGGGCAGGGAGCAGGGAGCGGGGGCCAAGCTGCAGGCATATCCTCTAGTTGCAACTTGCAACGCATCGTTAGCCGAAGCCAACTGGAGGCCGACGTTGCACTGGAAGCCAAAGTGATATACTCGTGCACTCTAAAAAACTCGTGACTATTGTTATCTTTTCGTCATGTAAGCAAAGTTAAATAATTTCCAAATAATTTTTTCTAATATGAAATTTGCAGTGGTTAAACAAATTACATTTTGATATTTTATAAAGTACCTATTAATAACCCTCATTGCATCCAGTTAACCCACATTGTTTACTAAACTTAAGCAAAAGATTCGTTATTTATCATTGTTTATATTATTTATTTACTTATTAATTAAATTATATTATTATATATTATATTATATTATTTATTATATTATATTATTATTATATTTTTATTATATTATTTATTATTAAACTTTGTTTTTTATAAGAAATCTTAGTAAAACCTCATTTAATATTTGGTTACGATTTAAGTATAATTAAGGCAAAGGCATATTTTGAGAGCTATTTTTATTTTATTTATATTTTATAGCTCTCATCTATTTTTTTTCGGTGCAGAAACAGCTAAAACGACGCTGACGAAGCCAAAGCCGGTTGCATTTTGCTCTGAAATAATTAGTGACCCAATTTCGGGCTGCGGCGGCTGTCGCCACGAAGCGGCCTGTTCCGCTTGCCTGCCCGCTGCACCGCTCGCCACCATCGCCACCATCGCTACGATCGGCACCACTTGCAACTGGCGGCTCTCGGATCGCAGTGGTGCAAGCAAATTGTTCGACTGTGGACCCCGACGCGGTGGTGTTGGCGTACTTTGTGGCATGCATGCAAAGAAAGTGGTTTTCATTTCTTTTCAGCGCACCGCTCAGCCAGCCACACATGCAGATACGTTTGCACCGCCGAGTTACTTGAGCTCTTCGAGATCGTTTGTGCTGCTCGATTTTTGGAGTGACTCTCGTTGAGTTAATGCGCGGCTCAATCAAAACAAAAAAAAAATAAATAAAAAACCGAAACCGAAATACGAATGGATCTCTGGGCGAGCGCATTGATTTGACTGATTTTCCATGATTTTCATGATAATTTCGAATCAACTTTGATTGCGCGTCTAATGAAGAGCTTTTGGGAGCAGCTTGAATGGGGAGTGACGTGCAGCGGATGGTGCCAAATGGGTTTTTGTGGTCAACTAGCCGAAAAACGCTGAGCTGGCTGCCGGAGATTAGAGGGTTAACAGAGCTAACCAAGTGGAAAGGAAAGAAATCAAAACAAAACAAATGGAAGTAAAGTGAATTGAATTATTTGGAGAGTTACATGCGGATAATGAGAAATTCACTTTGTGTTCCCATTAAAAGCAGATTGAAAGCTGAGTAAATTCGACAGCAAATGGTGTTGTTAAAGTTGAAATGTTTATTTACTTTTTAATCATTGTTTTTATCATTAATTATAATTTTATATAATTATTTAATACGAAATTAGGAGCGGTTGAATACTTGTATTTTCTTTTCATTTCTGTTAAAGAATTTAGTGTATTTAATCTCCAAGTTTTTCTTCCAGTTCTTTTCTATTTATTCTTTTCTCTTGGCAACTAATGAAAACCGTTTTTCCACAACTCCTGGAGCTGCCAATGAAAGTTCGGTCGCTTTTCTTTTTTCTTTCAATCCCGTTGTTGTTTGACATTTTCACGCTGCCATGAAAAACTGCGTGAAAATTGCACAAGGCGGCGAGACAATTGCCGTTAATTTGAAATTGTCGCCAAGTCGCAGGCCCAGTCGCCGTGGTCTTGAGCCAAAGTCTTCAGATTGAGATTGAGCTCCAACCGAAGGCAGTCGAGAGCGAGAAACCAGTAATTATTGCAGCAAGTGGCGCAGCTTCTTTCACTATGAGAATGTCTGTGTTTGCAAACTGTTTATGTCTGTGTCTGTATCTATGTTGTGTCTGTGTTTGTGTCTGTGTGGAATCAATTAAAAGTATTGCCAGGCGCTATGTTTGGGCAGAAATGACAAGTAGTGGCCCACACGGCGTATGAGCAATGCAACCCACTTGGCCAAGAGCGCGCGTGCTAAGAGATACGGAGATCCAGCAAAGATCCAAAAGATACAGATACAGATACAGAAAGTATATCTGGCAGATAGCATCGGGGTGCCTTTTTTCTATTTCGTATCGAGTGGAGTGTGGATTGTGGAGCGAACAGAGCGAAATTGTTTTCATGTGCTCATGGCCCAAAGTGGAGCAGTTTTTGAACAAAGCAATCCGCAATATTAATCAAAAGAGAAGCTGCAGCACACACATGTGTGTTGTGTGTGCGGAAAACTTAGCGCCTGCAACTGAGGCTGCAGCAGCAGCAGCAGCAGAAACAGAAACAGAAGCCACGACTGCGAATGAGAAGCGGCACAAGGTAATTTCAGACTTTCATTCGCGCGAAACGCGATGAAATTTCACCAGCTTTTCTGCTCAGCAGCAGCAGCCACATGAGACACACAGAACGAGTGCCGGCTACTGCACCACCGCACCACTCGAATCTCGTTTCAAGTGGGTGGTTGGGTGGTTGGGTGGCTTACTACTGTCTTGGCCAATTGGAGGCTTTGAGTATGCAAATCCAAATTAAGCTTAATGAGCCAAGGGTACCACATCAGCTTCGGCTTTGGCTTTAGCCTTAGCCGCTTCACGCCTCAGCAGCTCCTTAACCATTATTAATAATAGTTATATTTCCGCATAATGCACGACGACGAAAGTTTGCCGTGCGTCTCGGCTTTCTTCTGCACTCTTTCAACGAAAATAACAAAGATTTACGGCTGTTCTCTCTTTCGAAGAAGAAGTGATTGCAACGCTTTTGTAAGCAAATGGAACTGTGGGTTGAGTGTTTTGGGGGTTTTTCAAGTGTGTGGATGGGGCAGCTGTTCAAATGGTCGGCAGACAGAATATAGACAGCGTTCAAATAACTGTTAGATGGGCCAATGATAAAACTGATCATTAATTTTTCTTAAGTTTACAGTAAGCACAACGCTTTAAAAAGGAATATTTTAAGGGGAGCACGGGAAAGTGAATTCTTTATTTTTTTTAATTATTAGTGCAAAATATTTAAAAAGTTTATTATTTTGTATTTTGAGAAAATATATATTTAGCTTTACCAATACGTAACAATTATTTATAATTGAACACATTATTTAAAGTTCGTTGCCTAAGTCTTTTGTTTTCAGGACAGACCCATTAATAAATACTTGTTGAATTGAAAACCTCGCATTATATTCAACGTTTAGCACACGAAAAAGATTTTCAATGGTATAAACTTTTATTTTTAATATAATTTATTTTTATCCCAAGGCACTTAAACGGTTAATTCATCTTTAAATCTCAACCAGTTGTTTTTCAATTTAGTCACACTTTCTTACCTTCAGGCGGTTAAAATCCTTTGCATTTGGGTTGGTTAATCCCTTTAGCTGGAGTCAATGGCACAGAGGCGGATCACGTTCGGTTTTTTTTTTTTTGGGTGTTCCACTGGAATCGAGGATTTGAATCTATTCGATGCACAAAGTGAACCAAGAGCAAGTCTCGAGTTGCTCGCTTGTTTTTGTAGCTTGTTTTTTTTTTCGATTGCTTGGAATTTTCTAAAATGTATTCCAATTTATATATGGGATCTTCGATTCGGGCACTGCGATCACGGAGCGAAGGGACGCGCAGCGGACGCGGAGGTGGCTAACAGGACGCGACTGGAGACGACAACTCGTCGCAGACAAAGTTGAAATGAAAATGCGGCCCGGCCGTATCGCTAACCAAGATTTTATATCGCGTGAAAGTTTTGACCCCTTTACCATTGGAGCTGTCGCTCCGCTCGAGCGCTCGATGCCTGAAAAGCGGCGAAGAGAGCTCCTCACGATGAGGAGAAGAGTCGCTCTTTTGCTCGGCAGCGCCTCGCCGAATGCAAAATATGCCGTTTTCGGGTATTCCAAAAACTTGTTTTCGGCCAACTTTTCATTTCAGGCCGCTTTCTGCGCTTGCCACCTTTTTCTCTTTCTCTTGCGGTTTTTTCGAGCAGGGATTGCTTTATTTTTTTTTTTGTTTTATTTTTGGCAACCGTCTGCGTGGTGTCAAGGTAACTGGTGACGTCGATCGGTGCTGGCGGATACCAGCGAGCTACCTCAACGATTGCCTAATTTCGATTGTTATTCGAAAAGGGTTCGCGTCCGGCTCTGACTCAGCTAACGGCTCTTTGCTCTTTTTGGCCACGCTTGTTATTCTGGCCAATGCATTGGAAAATGAAATTATGATCGCCAGCCGCTTATGCAATCCCTAATGACATAATGCACACACTTAACGGACTGAGAGGTGTGTACAAAGGCGCTGGATATTTTCATTTTGTTGACCTTTGTGCGTGCCTAGCGTAAATAAATTTCATTCGCTTACCAAGTCAGCTTTTGTTTCTCTGGAGCGAATAAAACGCAACGTTTCGATTTTAATTGAATAATTTACAAATTCAAGTTCGTTGCCTAAGTCTTTTGTTTCTCGGGTAATAAATTTACAATAAATCAGCCTACAATGCGTTAATTGTTAAGATTTCTTTATTGTTTTGTGCAAATTGAAATTCCGCAAATCTTTAAGAATTGTTTGTGAAAGTTTTCTCATTGTTATTTAAATCAGCTTGAAGAATTTGCTAATGTTCAATGGGTTAAAGTGTGTCAATTTGTTTTTGGTATTATGACATAGATACCGTTTTTGTATAATTTCTAAATATTGTTTTTAAAGTCTCTAACCCAAGACAATCTAATTAAGAGATACAGAAATATTTTCCTAACCTTTAATAATTTAATTTGACAATTATGAAAAGTCCCCAGAAAATGTCCAATTATTTATTGTTAAACATTGTTTGAGCAAACTTAATTTAATGATTTCAGGGCAATTTTCAAATGCTTTGGGCCAGCAATTTCATCTGCTCATTGCACAACCCAAATAAATGAAGAAAAGCAAACAACTTTGTGCCAATTTCCCGGCAGCAAATTTGATCAATTTGCCAAAGTGCAAAGCCAAAAAGTAAATTTGTCGTTCGCCACTCTCGATTTTGAACAAAAGAGATGTGTCGTCTCGTGGACCGGCAAATTTCCGATGATGAAATGGCACAAAAATGTCTAACCGAATTGCCAATCAAAGCGGGCAAGTGAATCGAGCGCGGACTGAAGCCGAAAATGATTAAGTAGAAATGCCCAAATCCGAGAGATACAACATGGATCTCCGACAATTGGCTGAGGCCGAGCCCAGCGCCAAGAAAGCAATCGCCGATCGGGGTGAACTTTCATTTGAATCCACTCGTACGCACCTTGGCTGCCCAAGCGATGACATCGAAAGAAATCGAAAGTTCCGCCTTTTGCCATAGGGTTTCGATTTTATGCAGTCGTGAGTCGATCTTGGCAACGCCCCGGATTTGAGTCCGCCGTGAATCACACGCAGCTCAATGACGTAGATCCTCTGGCACACAAGTGGGTAACATTATCACCGCGTTACACTACCCGAAATCGAATTGGGTCAGGGACGTGCCTGGCATGCTAATTGCCTTGTGATCCGTCTCGGCTGACGCACTCGTACGTGGGCAGCCCTCATCCAGTGGCTTCTTTCTGTTGTGCCCCCTTGTTTCTAGAAAATTGAGCAACTTCTGGGCCCGCATTCGAGGCGCAGGTACACCGAAGTTGGGAAAGGCAATGGTTGTCGACTGGAGAACGCCGGAGTGATGTAACTCTTCTGGAGAAAGTGAGGCAACAAAAGGCAAAAGTATAACAAAGTTCGGATTCACAGACATTTCATAATTAAATTAAATCACAGATTTGGTTGATAATAGGAAATGGTTTAGGGATGCTAAACAGTAAAAAATTATGTGGTACAAAATAGATGCTCTTAATTACAAGATGTTAATTAAAACTTTTTATGTTGGAAAACCATATTGTCAATGCGTAGTTTTTATACCCTTGCAGAGCAAAAGGGTATTATAATTTCAGTCAGAAGTTTGCAACGCAGTGAAGGAGACACCTTAGACCCCATAAAGTATATATATTCTTGATCAGCATCACGAGCAGAGTCGGAATACGTCTGTACGTCTGTCCGTCTGTCCGTCTGTCCGTCTGTCCGTCTGTCCGTCTGTCCGTCTGTCTGTCTGTCTGTCTGTCCGTCTGTCTGTTTCTATGTAAACTAGTCTCTCAGTTTTAAAGCTATCTTGCTGAAACTTTCGCAAAAGGTGTGTAGTTATTGCACGCAGTATATAAGTCGGAACGAGCCGGATCGGCCGACTATATCGGATAGCTCCCATACGAGGGAATGAAATGAAAAATTCTAACGCCGTTGTTTTTGATCAGATAGACTTGAATTCTTCAAGATGGCGTTTTCTAACTGTTATTGAATTTCGGATTAAATTTTATCAAAATCGAATAACACTATCATATAGCTGCCATAGGAGCGATCGAAAATTTATATAGATTTAATGGAAATAAATTGATAACATCGTTGTTTTTTTATCGCACGAGCAAGATTTTTTGAACATCAAGTTTTTTAATAACCCTTATAATGAGAAAAAAGTTTCATAAAAATCGGAGTACTATATCATATAGCTGCCATAGGAAAGATCGAAAAATCTATATAGAAATAACGGAAAAAAATTATAACATCGTTGTATTTCATCAGACAATCATGATTTTTGGAATATAGAGGTTTCTAATGACTCTTGAGTTACAAATTAAATTTCATCAAAATCGGACGACTATATCATATAGCTGTCATATGAACAATATAAAAATAATATAAAAATCGCCATAGATTTGATGTTGCTAGCCTTTATGTATTTTGTTCGACATATTTGATGACTGCAAGGGTATATAAGCTTCGGCTTGCCGAAGCTAGCTTCCTTTCTTGTTTTTATTCAATTAACAAATGGTTGTTGGTTGCTTTTCTTTTCTTTGGATAAGCTCTTTATAATTTTATTTTATTAAAAATAATATAGTTTTCAGTTTCTATTTGTTAAAAAGATCAAATTAAATATGTATAATATAACATTTTTAAGCAGTTAACCACTCATTTAAAAGTATCTCTCCAAGATTAGCTATATACATGCAAACCTTTTCCCCAAGCCTCTTATCATTTTCACCTCTTCAAGCAATAGCAAAATAATCCCGGGTTCATTCAGTTAATTTTGTTTTCGTTTATGAGAAGATAAAAACCAGTTGCTGGCAGAGTTTTGCACAACTCTTTCTTTTCGAGAGCCGCTTCAGCAGTGCAGTTATAACGGGGCACAATCTGGGCGCATATTGTTTATAAACAAATTATTGTGGACCATGCCCCGGTCCAAACAATGTCAATCATTAAATTATGCAAGTCGCTGCAACTCCAGTCCCGGTCATCGAGCTCAATGGAATCGCCACGCTTTTTACTTTCCATTTCTTTTGTCAGTCGCTGGGCTACAATTTGTTGGCCTTTTTTTTTGTTATTGTTGAATCTGCCGTTGGCGGCTTTTCCGTTGGGCTGTCGCGGCCCTAAATCACATTTATAAAGACAATGAACCTGGGTCTTAGATGGTTAGATGGTGGAATCAAAGGGGAAAGAGCAGGCTGCAGGTAGTTGGGTTAAAGGTGAGGAAAGCCGGCACAACTTTGCCTGGCAAGTGCCACATTATTCAATTCACGATTCCAATTCATTCTTCTGCAAAACAGGTTAGCTAGCTTACAACGTAAGTACACTCGGTATGTTGGCGAAAATATTTTTATAACCCTAACAAATCTGATATTTTGACAATCAAAATTAGTATTTTAGGCAAAACAGCCCCAAAAATAGTTAAAATATTGAATATTATACCTCAAAATATTCGTAAAAATATTTCCAATCCACTGCCATTCAAATCTGGAAAAAAATTTTTTTTGTCTTTTTTTGTAAAAAAACCCCTTATCAAAAATGCAAAAAATTGCCAAAAATTGAAGTTTTCGAAGTGGTCCAAAAAGTGGTATGAATCGTTAGCCTAGATTGTCAGCTATAAAAATCAATCAACACTTTTGCTCTGGGACCATTTTTGTTCGAAAAAATTCCAAAAAACTCCTACCACAAATGTATTTTTAAGTAAAACTCTGCTTAATTATTTGCAACCATAGCCTTTTTTTAATATTTGATAGTAATAAGGTGGAATGAAATCCATTATGTTTATTATTAAATAATCATATTCTCCCAAATGCGACATGGAATTTCGCTCCGTGTGCGCGAAACATGTCAATTGATTTTGAGTTTGGTTTCGGTACACGCTCGATGGCTGCTGCGCCCTTTTGGCCATTTCTTCGACTTGGGCCGCATAAACAGCGCTTAATTATTATTTTATGCATATGACTTTGGGCCGGGATGGGGTCGCATGGGAGTAGAGTCGAGTCGAGCATGGACGCAGCCTGAGTCATGCGCCATATATCACTTTCACTCGCCAAAAAAAAATAAAAAAAAATTGAAGAAAAAAATCGCCAAAGCAAAACGTCAAGAAATCTCAATCGGGCAACGAAAAGCCAGACGCAGACAGCCAAAGGCGTGTCTGGGTCCAAGGAACAGCTATATATGTATATATATTTCTGTATATATCCCGAAACATGGGGCATTACAAGCGGATCAGTCTTGGCTTTTCCATGCGACTCCTCCGCGGACGATTTACATTTAATTGCGAAAGACAGAGTCGCGGACTGAGCCTCTTAAAAACTCCAACTTAACTCCAAGTTGCAGTTGATGGCGTTGAAAGGTCTTAAGTCCAAGCGATTACATAAGCCACTCAGCTTCGCGAAAAGAAAAGATCTTTTATAAATAGTTTTCTAAAGAAATGATGGGGTCCACAAAAGGCCAAAAGTTTTTGTTTGCTCTGATCGAAATCCCATTTCGAATTCCCAGAGATTGCGAGACGATCAATATTGATTGTAGACAGTTGGAAATTATGTGTATCTTTCGGTTAGACTCTCCGTTTAGCACACAGTCGAGTATTTTCACTTTCGTTTCGGGCCCAAATGTAGTTTTTTTTTTTTTTGATTTTCGATATTTAGTGGTATCTGTGAACTGTGCGTATGCAAATTAGGTAGCGACAGCGACAACAAGGCGCAGAAATACCGTAAGTGGCCAAAAGCAAAATCTCTGCTACAGATTTGAGAAAAGATGCCTGAAAGATACACAGAGTTAACTGTTTTATTATTTTATTTTTTTTTTTTTCGCCAAATGAAAGAGAAATTGTGTGCGGCGGTACCAAGATTTGGGTTTTTATGTATGTATATAGTATGCTAATTGGTGCGCTAGCTGGAGCTTAAAGTTATAAATGTCTTGCTCATAAGCCATAAGCAAGAGTATTATGATTTAATCAAGGTAGTGCTGGGTGGGGTAAACATTACCTAAGTTTCCTGTAGCTATAAAGCTACCAGTTGATGATATGAGGTATCTGATTTTTACGATTCTATAATGGTATTCCTTGTATAAATTCAAATTAAATCATTGCCGTATAATGAGCAAGTAAATAAGTTTAATTTATATTTATCTTATAATTATTAAAATTTATTTGTTTAAAGTCTTAGTAATATCTTCGTTATTTCTTCTTAAGTTTCTCCCCCAAAAGAGTATCTCAATATGGACTAAGCCCTGCTAATTAATCGAATGATTAAGCTCACGCTGTGATTGGCCATGCGAATATATTATAAATTTGGCATAGCGGAAAGCATAAAACTCGTGAAATATTGTTGCTTTCTTCGGATCTTTCTAAAGTTGGGTAACACAACGCTTTGTTGTGTGGGATTCGAAAACGTTGCGCAATCCGGCAAGGTGAAACATTTGTCCCCCTTAAAATCGAAGGCATTGGTAAAATGCATTAATCAAATCCAAGTCGAACGCTTGTGGTTCGCAGAGAGTGATCTCAGAATAGCGCGGTAAAGTGAAAAGTCGGGGGAATTTGACACCTATTAAAACGGTTTGGTTTCGGTGTTTGGATTCTCTCGCTTTTGCTTTCATTGAGAGTCGAGAAATCGGCGTTAATTGAATATTGAGCCCTGAACCGAGGTTAATGGCTGCGGATTGGATGCGTTTTTCAGCATTCATAATTGCATTTTAATGCTATTTATATCGGGCCAAAAGGTGTATCATTAGGCAACCCTCGGCAGCCGGTGGTGGGTTACTTAATGACCCTCGGCCGAAAGGTCTTTTCAGCGTTTCCAGCCACCAAACTGTGAAAGAGAAATGGCCGAAAGGTGCGGAGAAAGCATCGCAGCAAGTAGCAACATCGGCAGACCAAAATCAAACCAACTGCAGCAATTCGCCAACATCGAAGAGCAACAGCAACAACCACGAGAACAGGTGAACAACTTACATGTTTTCGAGTGTGTAAATCCGCTGGGTGATTACTTTCGATTGGCGAACTGCCGAAAGGTTGCCGCCTGCTGATTTACTACTGTGTCTGCAGTGCTGCTGCTGATTAAGTTGCTGTCCGAGATTTTTTCACGCTGTTCGATTTGCATTATAGTTATCGTGCTCATTTAATAGGTGCTTGCAGTTTAGCAGAAGATAAAAATAACCTCTAACGAGTTTTCACTTTTTTTAGGTAGATGGTGTTAAACTTCTAACAAGAAAATTAAAGAAGAAAAGAAAACAGAAAAAGAAAATATTTTCAAACAGTGGCTTGGTTTTGAAAATACTTATTTTCTAACCAAAGCCATTTTTTAATTAGTAACTAGTGTTTGTATAATCATATTTGATTATTTGATTCTTTTACTTTGTTTTTCCTGAAAACGATTTATCCTTAATATCACTTATTAATATTACATATTTATATTACATTAGCTAGCTATTTTTAAATTGTATTTTCTCGGAATATTATAGTTATATTTCATAAAATACGTTTTCGAGTACTTCCCCTTTTTTAAGTTTACATGCATGGTTTTACATGAGGATTTCATTTTTACATTCGATCTTACTCAAGTGTGACCTTGTTATGTTCCTCCACAAACTGTACAGCACTGCACGCAACAGCTGATGGCTCCCGCGCCTTTCAACACTCTTTGCGCCAAAACTCGAACGCAGTTTGATGGTGTGTGTGTTTAACTCGGGAATGTTTTTGGTTTTTCTTATTATTAACAAAAAACAGTGACCCAGAAATATGAGCGAATCGGTTGCAGAAACTGCAGCTGCAGCGGAAAATGAAGAGCAGGCCGACGACTCTATGGAAAAGCTGGCGTTCGACGAGGAAGACGACAAGAATGTGTCCGCCGAAGATTTATTGGGTGGCAAAAGTTTGATGATGTCGGACGACAGCGAAAATGAAGACATCTCTGAGGAAAAAATCAGGAAAGTCTCACCCAAGGGCAGGAGCCAAAGGATGATGGAGATTGATTCAGAGGAAGAAGAAAACATGACGGAGAAAAAGCAAAACTCACCCAAAAACAAGGGGCAACGGCTGCTGGACAGCGATGAAGATGAGGTAGTGGCCTCCAGGCCCAAAAATAAGGTGTCCAATATAGATTCAGACAGTGAGGAGGAGAACCAATTGGATAAAAAGGAGGAGTGGAAACAGAAGAAACCTGTCAAGAAAAACAAGAAAAAATCTTCCGAGGATGATAAAACCCAGGAAGGTCAAGAGCTGGATAAACCTTCATTATCAGATAAGAAGAAGAAGGGGTCCAAAAACAAGAAACAAAAGCAAGAGGTGGAAGACACGGAGAAACCTTTCGAAAATAAAAAGGCAAAAAAGTTGGCGCACAATAAAAAGCAAATAAACAAACAGGGAGAACCAATAGGGAACGAGGAAATGGACTCACTAATGGACCAAGAAGAAGTTAAGAAAGCAGTTAAACCTTCTAAGAAACAACAGCCAATAAAGTTGGCCAAGAATAAGAAGCAGCAGGAGGACAATGAGGAAGATCAGCAGGTTGATCCGGAACAGAAGAAACCTACAAAAGGAAAAAAGGTTGGAAAGTCAAAAAAGGAATCTAAACTTAGCAAAGAGGAAGACTCCCCAAAGGATCACGAAGCAGCTGATGATCAGGAGAAATCTCCCGAAAAATCTGCTAAGAACAATAATCGCAATGTGGACAGTGAGGAAGAAACCCAGGTCCGGGAAAAAGATACCAAAAAGGACTCGCAAATTGACAAAAACAAAGATCAGGCGGTAAATCCCAAGCCAAAAAAGGTATCCAAGAAAAAATTACAAAAAGTGAACAGCGACGACGACATTCAGAACAACGAAGATGTTGAAGATACACCGGATCAGGACATGGAAGTGGACAGCGATGGCGGTGAGCAGGACAAACAGACCCCTCTCAAAAAAATCAAGAAAAAGAAACAACGATTGGACAGTAATAGCGAAGAGGAGACCCAGCCAAGTGAAATCGAAGAGGAAACCGTTTCGCTCAAAAACAAACTTAAAGGTTTAGTGGATTCCGAGTCAGAGCCAGAGGAGTCCGCTCCAGAAACCAGTCCTATTAAGAATAAATTGAAAGAAGTGGTGGACTCGGAATCTGAACCAGAGCTTAGCAACAACGAGGAATCAGCACAAGAGCAGGAAAATCCCTCTGGAGTTGTCACAGGAAAAGCCAAAAAGCCCAAAGTTGTGCGGGTTAGTGGGTCATATAAATAACTGAACTCGAATTCTAATTTGATTTATTTAAATAGGAATCAGCGAAGAAGGCGCTAGAGGGAATGCAGGCCATCCAAAGCGAACAGCAGCGTTTGCACCGCGAGGCGCACATCAATGTGCCCTACCATCAGCCAAAACCCAGGACACTAAAGGAGTTCCTTAGCCGGCGGACTATCAATGCTCCGTTGGCAACAGCTCTGGCTGGTGGAAGTCCCATGCCCAACAGGGAGCCAAGGAAGTCAGTAGGACTGCGGATGACCCGTGAGGAATTGGAGGCCTATGCGTAAGTTGAATAAAATACCGTAATAAAATTTAAATTAAATGTTCAAATTTTTAGGAAATTGATGGAGGATCGTGCCAAAGAGGCCACAGAGTTCTTTAAATCTGAATCCGAGTCAGAGGAGGACATTGATTCGGACAGTGAAGGGCCCATGGAGTTGAAAGACAATCCTGGGGTTTTGGATGAAGTTATAGATAATCCAAAAACCCCTGAACAAGCTAAGTCCCACACAGAAGAGCTGGCCTGCGAAGCAATGGAGGAGGACCTTGTAATGGAAGAAACGAGAGTGGAAGACCCCGTTCTCGAAGAAGAACCCATTGCATCCACATCAGCTGCAGCTGCTGTACGCTTTATAGATAATCAGGAGTCAGAGAGTCCGACAAAATCTCCCAGCAAAGTCTGCCTGATAACAGAGGTAGTGGAGCTGCCCAGGCTGGACTTGAGCACCATTAACATAACACCGCCTTCTAAACCTGCAACGCCAAGAATCAGCGAAGCCATTCGGAAATTAAAGATCGAGAAAAGCTTGGATGAAAGTCCTTCCTTGAAGGGTGATGCCAACATGGTTATCGACCTGGAAACAGGCGATATGTTCGCGAAGAAACCAACTGGAGTTGATGATTTGCTGAAGCGGCTAATGAAAACCAGAGAGGCCAAAAAGCACAAAACCACAGAGACTGTCAAGTGAGTTATACACTCTTTTAACCTTATTGGTCAACTGACATTTTTTTTAGCATTTTAACCACTGATCATGGGAAGCTGGAGATGTCCAAAGTAAGCATTCACCTGCACGAGGAGGAGATAGCTAAGGAACCCAAACCAGGAGCGGGTTACATGAAAATGCAAGAGCAGCTTAAGTCCTTGATCACCAAAAAACGTATGGAAGATCTACGCAAGAAGAAGGCTGAAGAGGAAAAGATGATGGCAGAGGACGAGGAGGAGGGCATGGATGTGGACGAGGAATATGAACCAGAAGATAAACCTGGCTATGCAGAGGTGACCATAAACGAGGATGAGGAGATCATAGAAGATGGCGAGGGTACAGCCGACGAGGATGAGGTTGCTGAAAACAACAAAAGTGATGCAGGCGAGGATGCAGAAGATGAACCAGTTGAAGAACATGCTGCGGAGGAAAACAGCAGTGAGAGTGAACAGGAAAGCAGCGAACCAGAGCCAGAACCCGCAACGCAAGGGAGGAAAAAGAACAGAATCATTAAGGCTTTTGCGGCCGACGACTCCGATGAAGATGATCTCGATCTGCTACAAACTCCTAAGCCAAGCAACATCGCTCCCATAACAGCCACACAGCTACAATTGTCCGCCCACAAGCTTTTCGATGCGGAAACTCGACGAACAGCGAGCGACGAGGAGAATGAGCTACTCGATTTGTGCTCCGGTCAGTTCCCGCAGTCCCAGATGCCTTCTTCCGCTGCACCCTCCGTGGATACGGCTGTTATCAGTCAGATTCCTATGACACAGTTTGGAGGCAGCAGCCAGGCACCCGATGAACTGGAGGGCCTTTGTTCCGGCACCTTTGCCTCCCAGGTTCCATCGCAAATTCCCACCCAGGAACCGGAGAAGCCAGAAGAATCACAAGAGCCTCCAATGGTGGCCAATAGAATTGTTTCAAGTGATGAGGAGGCGAAGGAGGATGCGCAGGATGCCGAAAAACCACGCAACAAAAAACTTACCAAGAAGAGACCAAAGAAAAAGGCTAAACTGGGATTTTCCGATGATGAGGAAAGCGATGGTGATGTCGAGGAGTTGGAGGAAGAAGAAAGCGAAGGAGAGCCTGTGGAGGAAATACCGGAAACTTTTGTGGACTACGATTCGGAGGAGAACGAAATTGTTGTGGAGATGACCAAGAAAGATCGCAAAATGAGAGCGGCCAACTTTGTGGATAAAGAAGCTGAGTTATCTGAATCCGAATGGGGATCTGCCGACGAGGACGAGAAGAACATGGATAACTACGACATAGAGTTGGGCGATGAGGATCACTTTGATCGCGATAAGCTGCGCCATGAGTTGGGACAGATTCATGCGTAAGTAGAATTAGTGTAATTATTCATTTTTCCAAAATAATTCAATTTGTTTCATGACAGCCGTAAAATGATGGATCAAGATATTCGGGAGGTGCGCAAAATCAAGGAACTGCTCTTCGAAGAGGAGGAGGAGGGAGCAAATCGTCAACGCCAATTTCGTTGGAAGAACGTTGAGAGTGGTTTTAGCCTAGAGGACCATCGTCCAGAAAATGGTGAAGGAAACGAGGGTAGTGGCGATGAGGAAAACGAGCATCTATGGCGAAAAATTCGATATGAACGCGAGCAGCTGCTTCTGGAAAAAGGACTGAAAGCGGTATGTTCACTTCTTAAGGTCTTTTTACTTATTGTCTAATAATTCTCCTTATTCCAGGAAGCAGCCTCTCCGCTCTCCACATCCGTGATAAACACCAGCAACTCTGGCAGTTCTATTCGCCGGCTAAATATTATTTCATCCAAAAAGACAACGGTGGAAGTAAAAAAGAGTTCACCGTTTCTGATCTCAAAAACATTAGTGGGCAAACAGCAGAAGAGTGCAGTTCGTGGTTCCTTTTTGGTTCGAGACCAGCAGACTCTCACAAAACTGGCAGGGCTCACCAAAGGACCCTCCGGCGATGTGGACCGAGCAGATGGTTCCATTTCTGTAAAAACAGCCAAGGCCAAAAACTTTGTGTTTGCCACGCTAACGGAGGAGGAACATGAGGTATGATTCTATTTGGATTTTTTAAATATAATACATTTATATACTGTTTTATTAACAAGTGTTTAAACTTTTAGAATCGAAAACGAAAGGCAGCCGATTTATTAAACAGTAGCACTGAAACGGGTGTGAATTTTTTGAAGAAACCTCGAATGGAACCTCGAAGGGAGAAGTGCCTTATAGATCAGCTTCTTTAAAATAATAATTTTTAATTCTAGACACACCTCTCTTGTACATTTTAGTTTAAATTGTAGTAGGATAGCTAATAAGAATAAAAAAAACTGAATACATTCAATTTGTACATGAATAGATTAAAACTAATTTCAAGTTTAATTCTAATTATTATGATTTATTCCAAGGAAATGATTTAAAACATTAAAAATAATTTTAAATTCGTTTTAAGGCAGACTAACGGTATGTTTCTATAATAAAAAGGTATATTTTAGTATATTTCTCCAGACGGATGGTATTTTGTGGCTCTCAGGCAGCGGTCATACTATAATTAAATGAATATGATTTGTATATAGAATCGTAAATATGTGAATCATTTATAAAGTGGATTCCAGGAGGCACAACAAAAAGTTCGCCGACGAGCGCCTCCTCCGCTGCCGATTACACTAATCTAATCACGACGTAGCGGCAAACTGCGCTGCTGCAGCTAAATTTTTACCCACCGGCGGAACGTATCAATCAGTAAACACACGCCCGAAGACGCCGCCGGACGTCCAAATCGAATCACAAAAAAATTTTAAAGTCCGACGAACAAATATTGAACAGAATGGTGGCCCCCTCCAAACTCAGCCAGGTGCTCAGCTACCAAAACTTCGTGCATGCCGTCTCCGGAGCAGCGGTGAGTGGTCAAATATTTGCCGGCTAAAGGTCAAGATGAAACCACTGGTGCTAATTTACATTTGGAAACCTTTTTTTTACAGGGTGGCTGCATTGCGATGAGCACCTTCTATCCACTGGACACTGTTCGATCCCGCCTGCAACGTAAGTTTCTGGGGACTGGGATTAGGCAATCGGGAAGCATTCGGCCTTAATGTAATCTTTAATGGGAACTTGATAAGCGGGCCTCGCTTTGATAAATCATATATACAATGTATATATTCTTACCTGCGGGCAAGTTCAAACTCCACTGTTTAAACTTTCTATTGATATGTTAAAGAGCCCTGTCTAATCAATTCCCGCGGTAATCCAAGTTTCTGTTTATAGATGGAACTCGATAGGATCTAGTTTCGGTTGCGAGACAAGATTGTGTTTTATTTTTGGAAAAATTCTTTTAATTTTAATAATTATTAAATTATTTATTTAAATACTTCAATACTTCCGATTAAGTGCTTGAATAGCATTATATCTTTTAGTCATTTATACTCATATGAACTCAACTCTTTTTGAGTGCCCACTTTATTTGCACCTTAAAGTACACTCTAAGTTTACAACATGCAAACGCATTAAACTTCCAATAGCCTAAGGCTTTTAGACTTTGACCTATTAACAGGTGTTATTGTCGAAAATGAAATAAACATGAATTATTAAACAATTCACAAGATCTTTTCAAAGGGCCCCTTGTTTTGTTTTCGCTTGCACTTCAACTCAAATAGAATATGTCAAATAATAGTCGATACTTACTGTACACGGTTTCATACATGCCAAGCTATAAAAAATTGGATAATTATCATAATAGGATTCAAGGTAGGGTTAATATTGTACACTTGGAATATGCGTGACAATTTAAATTAGCGACTTAATCGAATATAGGTGGGACATTCTTGTTCCTAGAATCTCCAAATAAAAACTGATTTTCACTATTATTTACCTTTGCAGTGGAGGAGACTGGTGAAGTGCGGAGTACCAAGCAGGTGATCAAGGAGATTGTGCTGGGCGAGGGATTCCAATCGCTATACAGAGGACTGGGTCCTGTTCTGCAAAGCTTGTGCATTTCGAACTTTGTCTACTTTTACACATTCCACGCCTTGAAGGCAGTGGCTTCCGGTGGTTCTCCATCCCAGCACAGTGCTGTGAAAGATCTGTTCCTGGGCAGCATCGCAGGCATCATCAATGTGCTCACCACTACGCCCTTTTGGGTGGTCAATACGAGGCTACGTATGCGCAATGTGGCTGGAACCTCGGATGAGGTGAACAAGCATTACAAAAGCTTGCTGGAGGGTCTCAAATATGTGGCCCAAAAGGAAGGCCTCTCTGGTCTGTGGTCCGGCACGATTCCATCGTTGATGCTGGTTTCCAATCCCGCCCTGCAGTTCATGATGTACGAGACGCTTAAGCGCAATATTATGCGCTTCACCGGCGGCGAGATGGGCAGTCTGAGTTTCTTTTTCATTGGTGCGATAGCCAAAGCCTTTGCCACCGTGCTTACCTATCCGCTGCAGTTGGTCCAGACCAAGCAGCGTCATCGCAGCAAGGAGCAGGATTCGAAGCCCTCCACTTCATCGGGAACCAAGCCGCGCACGGAGACTACTCTCGAGCTGATGATCAGCATATTGCAGCACCAGGGAATCCGTGGTCTGTTCCGAGGCCTGGAGGCCAAGATCCTGCAGACCGTGCTCACAGCCGCCCTGATGTTCATGGCCTACGAGAAGATAGCCGCCACCGTGGTCATGCTGCTCAAGCGCAACTAAATAGAGGCTCTAGTCTACCCGTAGTTTTACTCAACCAACCACTGTGTAATATGTAAGACAAACATACACAAAACGATTTAGGATATGGCCAGCACAACAGACTCCAAAGTTTAGCCGCTAAGCGTCAATGGATTAAAAAAAGATACAATGTTTACAAAAGAAAATAATAACTGGAGCGTTTTATTCATTTCAATCAGCACAGCAGATTGTTAAATCTATAGCTACATATATAATCTGCGCCCAAATGCACACGCGTTTACAGTGGTGACCGAAAAAACGATAACAGTTTAAATGCAATAATTAAGAATTGTGTTTTTTAAATATTCCGAGCTGCACTTCATTAAATTGCTCCCAAATCGGTAATCTTTTTTTTGCCGTAAAAAATCAATAAGTATGCATTTCGTGCTCAAAGTTTTTTATATATACTTCCAGCATTTGCTTATTTTAAGACTAACTGGCTGTCCCAATTGGTTGGAGTAAATTTCTTTTGTAGCAGAGAGTTTGCACTTTATTTTAATTAAATAAAGTAACTGAAACAAGAAGCATTTGGCCTTCACATTTTTGGCAACCACTGTAGGTGCCGATATAAATTACTTAGCATAAAATTTCCCTGCGCTCCTCCGTTGTTTTTCTCATCTCTCGGTTTTCTGGAGGGGACGACAATTCGACCGTCTCCTTAACATCCGATATACAAATATATACATGCCACACGACGACCACGAGGCAAGCTTCAAGTTCACTAAATTATGTACATTTGTGCGAGAGTGTGTCTGAACAAACACATATATTTACCCGACTTGACTCGACTTCTCCTTGACGGCCTGAACTTTTTACCATAAAGAACGTGGCACAGACAACCACCGCCATATTCACTTGAATGTATTTATTTAAGCCAAATAAAAAGGAAAGGAATGGAAAGTGTCCGGAAAAATGTGGGCCTGTTGAATCTTAAATGTAAGTATGTTGTAGAATGTAAGGAGCACTTCCACACTTCGCATGAATTCCAAGGAAAATCAATGAAGCAAAAATAGTTCATAAAGGGGCGTATAATATATGTTTAATATTATAATAATATTCTTCCAGCCGATTTAGTTTCTCTTAAAGCATAGGAAAGTGACCATTTGATTTTCCAAATGTGCAAACTTGCCTTTTTATTACGTCAGCTAAATGCACTTGAAATTGTTTTTCTTAGTTAAATGTACAAGAAACTTAATTTAAAACTTCAAGCCTTTTTAATCAAAGCAGAACATACATTTAAACACTATTTTTAATTTTAACTTTCTAGAGTCGTGTTTATTTGTATACTTTGCGAATCCCTAGATTTGTTTTCACCTTTTAAATTAATTTTGTTTAGTTCGCAGGGAATCCCTTGAAGCAGATTTCCCCCACCTTCTTCACTTCCGAATTTCCACAAAACTTTCACTAACAAATAGAGCTTGTTCTGGCTAAACAGCTTTCGATTTTAGTCCCTCCCCCGCACTTCTTAGAATTCTTTCAGTGCAGGAAAAACTGTTGCTTTCCACCAGCCTCAATTTCCTTTTGCCTTCCGTAAAACTTATGTGAGTGGAGGCTCCAGAGCCTGAAATCGAGATGGAAAGAAGACGTGGAGCAAAGACTACCTCATCTTTAAGGGCAACCACCCAAAACCATTTGAAACCACCAACCCACCCAACCACAGGCAGATGCCTTCAATTTGGCAGTTTGCTGTGTCGCCAAATGTAGTACGAAGAAAGTTTTCCCCCAAGCCTATGTATTTTTGTCTTTTCTTCAGAAAAACCATTTTACGTTGTGTGTACCGAGAAAATATTTTCCAATTAAAATATGTATTTCCAAAAATTAATAAATGCTATTTTTGCGAATTTCTTTATGTCCGTGCTGTATTTAATAGATTTTCAACATTTTGGTTGTTATTATTATAATATATTAAAGTAACTTATATAAAATAGCTTTTTGGAGAAAAAACAACAAGTTTTTTTCCGTGTGGCTTAAAATAGCTGAAAAATGAATTGAGGCCGTCGCCTGGGGCCTTGATGTTGGCGTATCCTTATTGGTATTGGTATTGGATGCAACTTTCTGCCACAAGTAAATCCTCTCCCGACAGGCAGAAAGTTTTCAGGCCAACTGTTGCCAAACATTACTGACTTGTACGCATTTTCGATTGCTATTTGCTTGCCAGTTGTCCCAATGCCCGGAAAATTTCAATGCCAGCATCTGGAATTTTAAGCAGAGGCTGGGAGCTGGAAAAAGTGTCGTCGTCACGTCATGTAATTGATTTAAAATTAGCACATTGCTTTGAAAATTTAAACTGTTTACATGTGCCTAGGGACAGATGCTCTCCGAATTTCTACAAGTTTTCCTATCCCTACACTTGAAGTAAATTATTGTAATTTACAAGATTAAGAAACTGTGTTTTTCGAAAAAAATAAATTTAAATATTTTCGTTTTATTGTTCAAATTTAATTTTTGTAAGATATTTGTAAGAAATCAAATACTAATTTGTTAAAATAAATGTTCGTATTAAACTTTATTAATCTGTGGTACAGAACGACGAATTTTGTTGAGTGCAGGGCTTTTTGCTCCCTATATCCTTCTACATTTCCATTTCACTTTCTCCTTCTGTTTCTGTGTTTGTGTAAGTGGGTATTTGCCAGTGTGAGTTTATGCATGTTTAATGAACATGAATCCACCAGCCACCAGGGCAGTCCCGTAATCGCATTTCAATATGCTGCACCGCCAGTGTTAACAAAAAAAAAGCGAGGTGGGTTGAGCAGAAGAAGTGTTCAAAAAAAAAATAGGAGTGTAAAAAAATATAAAAGAGAGAGAGAGAGAGAGAGGGAGAGAGGGAAAGAAAAACTCAAAGCCGGTTACCGTGTCTTCCTTCCTCCAGTTGCAAACGGCAATTTAGTTTGCAGGGCAAACTTTTCATAGCCGCCCTGACCCGTAAACGAGGTCAACGCAAAAAACATTTTGAAAAATTCATATGCAAACGTATTTTCAGTTGCCGGTGCAACTGGCAACACACAGGTGCCAATGGCGGCACCACCCGGATCCGAATCGGAATCAGGAGCAGTTTCCCAGTAGTAACCGACTCCCAGCAGTAGCAGCGGGAAAGCGGGCAAGCGGGAAAGCGGAGTGGAAAAGGAAAACTTTTTAATGGCCAGCAAACACACGGACACACCGCCCAGTGCACACTTAATAGCACTCCTGCAGGCCAGTGTAATTCTGAGTCGCCCATGGGGCTCAAAGTCTTTCCCAGTTTCGGGCGTAAAGTGAAACGTTTTGCTTTTTATTAGTTGGTAAACATAAAATATAATGAAAAAGAACTTGATACTACTACACTAAATTAAATGCGAATCAACATGTCTTTGGGGTAAATGAAATGAAATGGAGAAAGGGATATAAAACTTAATTAATATTAACTTATTTCCAGGTAAATGAAGTATGGCATTGAATAAGCTTACCTAATAAAAGTTGTACTTTCTCTTGGTCATATTTATTTTCCATAAATTTTTCGTTTATTTTAACTTCTTGAATTTCTCTCTACCCAATAAATATATATGAACGTCGGCAGATTGTCATCGGCATGTAATCAACTTGACTTCTAGCATTTCCACTTTTTAATCACTATGCCGGGGCTAATTGCTTGCCCAAAAAACCTAAAGCGGAAACTCTTCAGCTTAACACAAAGTGAAACATTTTCCGCCTTTCCGTTTTCGGGGCTTTTTTTCGGGGGATAAGACCTAACACAGGCCACGGGTGTAATTGTTGGACGAGGTCTGTAACCTACGGGTCTCTATGAGTAATTAGGGTCGGGGATTAGTTCAGTCGCCTGCGCTTCAATAAATTTTAGCCGCTGGCCGCCCAAAGGCGACCAGAAACAGACTACGGGCGATGCTTATTTAAGGCTCAGCCCGGGTCACAAGGTGTTCCGCCTTAAAAGGGCCTAAAAACGTGTCAGAGCAAAGTAAAAAAACACTGAACACAATATTTTACTTAGTTCCAATATTTAAAATACCTTGTATTTAAATCTGTAAGTCCAAAAAGTATAAGCATCTATGAGCAGAGCTTCGTTTGAATTAAACTACAATTTTATACAGTTAATATAAGGTAAAAAAATTAACTTTCGGAATTAATTATGAAATACAGTTTGAAAATTAACCTTTTTGTTTTTACTTAATTCAATAATCAGGGTAGTTGAAATACTTGATTTTGAAAGGCGAACTTTTTCAATTGAAAACTTTACAGAACTGATTGATTTCTAAGCTCCAGGTATTACGTGAAACAGGACTTGAAGCTTCTCATTTTTTTAGAGTGCCGAGTTCAGGGGAAGTGCCCTCTCATATTATGCCATCTCGCGTCCGCTGACGCTGATGTATGTACGTGTTTCGGCTTTGCTTCCGTGATAATTTTCAAACTTTTTGCACCAATTATGTGCACGGCAGCGCGATATTCTCTTAGCCATCTCGGCATTGTGGGTGTGGGTATGGATGTTGGCCTTTTTGGTGCCTGTAGTTTATGCTCATTACGTGAGTGCTGAGCGCAGCAGACTCACAAATTGTTGTACAAGAAATTGCCGCCACTGGCGTAACACGAAAGTACGTACAAAACGCAGACATACATTAAGGACCTCCGGTATATAGCTATATATAGATTTCTTGCCTGGATGCAAAATCCACCAATTTAATTTTCACGTAAATTCCAGGCCGTCGAAAAGAGAACGTGTCCACGGGGCGTATGCGCGTTGTATAGTTGACCAATTTGCAAAGAAGGCTTTTGCCCACTTAAACTACAACCGATTGAAGCCTGTTATTTAAATACATACTATAAGTGGCGAAAGGAAAGCATTAAACGCTTGCCCATTTTTAATTAAATTAAGCTTAAGAGGAATCGTGTTCACGGGGCGTATACGTGTTATTAAATTGACCTCTTTGCGGCTCTTAAGCTAGGTGCAATTTAAACCTTAATTAAGAGTGTTTGCCAAGCGAAATGGGAATATTTTATAAAATTGTCAAGTTTATTTCAAAATAACACCCAGGGCGTATGAGTAATATTTAGTTCACAAACTCTTCTGTTTGCAATACATATAAATCCATTTATTTGAGACCCTAGACTAAGCAATTAAATTGTAAGCAGTTGATTAAATTCAAATAAATGTGGCACACAAATTAAG